CCCAAGCAGAGTATTTTGTCAGAGCACAACGTGGTCAAAGGTGCGGGTGGATCATCTCCGTGCCACACATCCTCGTGACATACTTGGCCTGCCTCTAGTGTGCACACCCACGTCATACACTCGGACATCCAGCCGCAAACATTCAATCGAGAGCATCAAAACAGGGAGTTTACTTGGTCGAGGGGACAGTAGGGTGCATGAGTCGGCGCAAGGGGACGCAGAGAAAGAGCATTTCTGCAAGGTGACCATTCACCAAACGTTTAATGGAGGAGGAGCGTGAAACCGGACGACAAATGGCAATCGAAAAAATAAGTTTACCTTGTTCCTTGCCCCAGACAGTGTAACAAAAAAGTCGAACGCATCACAGACCACCCGGATGCTCCACTGCACTATCGAACTGAACGTAACTGACTATTTGAAGGAGCCGATTGAGACAAGGAACCCATTTCAGGTGCTTGTGGCACAGAAGCTCAAACAAGGCGATCGTGGAGTCACGCACTTGCGAAGCCACTAACTTCTGGACGAGTTAGTCCAACTCGGAGTGTTTACTGCAAAAAGCGTACCGTGATTTGATTTAATGACTAAAGACGGTTCGTTGGAGGAAGGCTTTAGAAGGGGGAAAAAGACCTCAGTGCAAGAGGCCCCAATGCCATTGTGACTGACTGGCGTTAGACTGGCCGCGTTGTACAACGTGACGTTCTGCCACTGACTTCATCAACCAGTCAATAGTTTGGCAGCGAACGTCACATCCCACACTGCTTCCTGAGACTTCTTCTCCTCGTGACTCACCGCTCCCGACTGTTCTTAATCAACTCAGATTAGTGTTGGCACCTGAATTAGTCCATGCGCCTTCAACTTGTGCCTCGAGAGTAAGTCATCCTGCAAAGCATTTAACCTTTCACCTAAGTTCTGGAGAAATGCAAACTCCGGACACTTGAACCTTCCGGTCACTCTCACTGCTCACTGCCTTACCAGCACACGGTTGCCTTCATCACTTAGAAAAACCAACCATTAAAACAAGCCCCAATTTGACAGCTTCGGAGGGATGCAAGGAGACACACACACACTTTCACTCACCTTGAAGAAGTCGAGCAGTTGATCGGTAACGACCAGTGGTGCATCCAGAATGACATTGTTGACGTACTGCGGAGTGAAGGCACAAAAAAGGAGTGACAAGTGTGAGCAAAGGCAACTGTCTACGCACCCCCCACTACACTCTGCTGCATGTGGCGGTGAGGTGGACTTTTCCCGTGACACCACATTACACGAGGCTGACGTTGTCATCGAAGAGTGGTCAACATCACTCGTGAAGTCTTCCTTCGTCTGCATGGCATTCAGTTGCCTGATTGGCAACTACTCCCTTGAGGCCACCATCAGCCTCACCAGCGTCAGCATTATCAGATGGCCAGATTTCACACGCACTTAGCCAACACACATGGAAATTGACGCCTACCACTCTCGTTGTCATTGTCATTACCTCGCTGTTTAAAACGCACATGCAAACACATACACACACACACACACACACCCAAGGTTATTCGGGACTATGCGTCAAAAGAACTCCCCGATGCAGTGTTTGAGGCAGTTCAGACCGCAGTCTGGATATGCTGTGCTCACCGACTCAGTAACGTTAATGATTTGCGAGTCCTTCAGCGTGTGTGATGATTCAATCTACCAACCCCAGTGCCTTCCACCTGACCGCCCAAGTCCTCTCCGAGGCCTCTCCAACGACGTCATGAGATTTGTGAGGTAGGAACTAACTCTACCGTTTAATCTACTCTACATAAGGGCCAATGAGTGGTTAGCAAGAACCAAGTGCCATACCACCACGACGTGGCATCCGCCACCTCTCCAGCCTGGTGACCCCACAATGGGAACACACAGCAATACCATCATCTACTCTATCGAACGCGGACAACAGGCCCTGACAATCGCTGCTCCTTATCACGCGGAGGCAAATCACATGAACGAATGGCGTCGTCTTGCCTGCACCTCCATTTTAGCGATGACAAATTCTCCAGACGTGTTTATTTAACCACACGCCACACACACACGCGGAGTGTTTGCTTGCAGCATAAACACACTCCACCAGATCCCACGAGATCAGCCATGTTGCATCCTCAAATTACGCCATAGTTGCAAGCTCCTTGCGGATTGTTCGAGTTGACAAGTTGGCATTTGCAGGAGGCGTAATAGATGGATGTCCACTTCTGGTCTACCTTTATCTTCGTGGTTCGACCACCACTGCAGTTTCCAGGATGCCTCTTTATCCGCACAATCGCGTAGTCCTTTAGAGCGCCAATATTAGGCCCTTCTCCCCCGTACGCATTCCACTCCTTTAAACATATATTTTACTCCTAAAGATTAGCCATCTATCAGTCCCTTGACTCATTTTTACACCACTTCTCTGTCCATTTGTCCCACCATTCGATCAATTTTCATCCATGGCTTTCAAATCCGTCTTTTTTCCAATCTTACCGGTAACGTTGGCATGTCCTGTGGGTGGCCAGAGGAGAAGAATCAGGAATCTAGGGCGGGTCATTCGCATATGGCGTGCGCTGGTGACCAAAGCATTCATACTGATTCACGAGTGACGCAGTGGATCACCTGCGATTGCAGGTCGAGACTTCGTTCTTGCCTGCTTCCAACCTTAGAACAAGCAGTCAACTTCCGCACACCCATCACATTCGTCTACGGAGAGACCGTATTTGCCATCCTTTTAGAATGCCTTCATTTGCACAAAGCCATGGTCAGCTAAGGGGAGAAAAAGCGTAAAAGGCAGAGCATCTTTTCTACGCAATACCTTCCATTCATCTCCAAACCATTGATACCTCTACTTCCAATCCATCACTGATCTCCAGTCCGTCAACCTCTGCTTCCCCGCCTCGCATCTTTACCATGTTCTGATGTAGGAATTTCTGATCCATTTGCCCACCAATGTATCCGCCCTTGACCCATCTACTCACCGTCTCTCCATTCACTTGTTATCTCAACCATCTACCCCGCCTCTGCTCTTCCAACCATTCGTTCAGCCGACTACCCGTCAATCTACTTGTTGCTCTCTACCAACCCACGCCTAACCCACCGTTCCACCGACTTCAACCACTTGTCGGCATATTTCTGCAGACCAAGGGTAGCCACTGGTGGTGAATCTATTCAATTGACTTCGTATCTGGATTTGCTACAGCGACCGAGCTCAGGAAATAGGTAAGGAGAAGATGAGGAGAAAGGTGGAAGTTGAAACTCATTTCTGTCTTACAAATTACCTATTGAAGGCGAGTGTATTTTCAGGAACACTTCAATGTTGGAAACTCTCCTCAGCACTCACTGACCTATTCTGCTTCTGCCGGCACGACAAATTAACGAGGTCAAACGACTACCAATAATTGCAAGGATCATTGAGATCAAACGTCAACCATTCATTTCAAACTATCATGGCAGCAAATTATCCAGTCTAGCGACTAGGCAACATTCATCAAGATGGCGGACAGGCGAGATGGAGACCAACATACCTACACCAACCTTTTGGCAATGAGCCATGTTTTCGGTCAACGAAGGTAACCAAATCCAGTGAATGATAGAAAACTTCAACATCGTTGCCAAAATAACATGAAAACGTAATACAGGAAATGGTCTTGCCTTCAACAACACGATTCGCAGCTATCTCCCAAAAAACGCCACTCAACAGTCCCATACAAAAATGGAGAGGCGGTAACGTCGACAAGGCGAATTTTAGTCGACTGGCAAAGCAGTAAAATAAAAACCTTTTTTACTGAAAAAAGTCTCCTTGAATAACATGAAAGTGTACACTAAAGGCGGACAACAGGGCTAATTTCTTACTAAAGGCAACAGGAGAGTAAACAAAAAGAGAAAATTTACAGAGAAGGTAGGGGGAAGAGTGGGACCTCATACGCGTGCGAAAACACCTACTCCTGTGGGACCGAAGGACACCGATTGCGCGTGTGACCGGGAAGGTGGCAAATGCTGCATTTGCGAACACCGCCACCGCCGCCACCAGTGCTGTGATTACGACGACTTCTGGAGCCTGAAAGAGAAGGGATTATCAGTGATAACACGTCTCCATGTTCACTTGTCAAATCATAGAGACATCACTCCATCAAGCCACCCACACAGCACTTCATCCACATATGTAGGAATTCGTTTTTCTCTGGCACCCACTCATCTATCCACTAGCCCAACAATCAAACCAACCACCACCTACCTGGTTAGGCATTCTTTCATCCCTTTATTCAATCAACCAGGCGTCAAATCATCCCTCAGCTCACCCACATTCACATTTATTAGCCTAGTTTTAGAACCGTTTCCACAACTACCGACTTAGATATTCCATTCATTAATACGTCAACTTACTCCCCCATCTACCCGATCGTCTGTCCATGTATGGATACAACTATCCGGAAAACAATAGAACCAAATAACATCTAACCCACTTGTCAGTCCTCAGTTCGCCTACCAACCCATCATTTCATCTAGCCGTCTGTTCATGCCTTTGTTCACATAATCCAATAATATTTGATGAGTCCATCCAGCCGCTGCATCATTCAACAGAATCCACTTGATCACTCTATCGGTAGACCTATCCACTAATCCATTCGATTTGCCCCCAGAGCGCATGCTCGGCCTTCAACAAACTACCTATCCATTGGTCCACCTATTCCATCGTTTAGGTGGTCCTACAACCATAAATCGACATTTTTGTGCACCCGACCATCCATCCAACCACTTGCCCATCAGTCAGTCCACCTTCACGAATATCTTGCTAACCATGCTGCCTAAACAACTAAGAGTTTCTGATAGCATCAATGATGTTTAATCAGCATGAGAATCGACTGACGCGGCTCACCAGCACCACCTAGTGGAGTTGTGGGCGGCCAACTCTCATCCTGATCAGCAAATGAGGGAGTGCTGATGCCAGTGCGAGGACCACGAGAACAGGAGGAAGGTCGGCCGGCAGCACCAGTGGGAGCAGTGTCTGCCCATTGGAAGAAGTGACAGCCACTGCCACCACCGGGTGCACTGTTCGGACAGACGAGGAACTGACGACCACGGTTGGCTGTCGCCTGATTCACTGTCCGTCTATGAAGTGCGGTTGGAAAAAAAGACCCAATCATTAATACACCCATCAATGCATTCATTCACTATCAAAGCCCTCCCCCCTTAGCCAGTTCTTCTGGCTGACCATCCGACCACAGCATCATTCATTCATCTATCCGATAAGTTGTATAGATCCTCCAGTCTACCTATTTACACTTTTATCGGTAAATTTAAACATCCTTTCATATACAAGATACAAAATTACCGGATTCATGAAGGTTAAAATTGAGTCAACAAACCTAACGGCAGGAAGACCGCACGAGCACATCACATTTCCATTGGATAAACCGACACCGGAATCCCCATTCAAAGAGTGATTTGGAGCGCTGCTTTGGGAGAAAAGATGCAAGGCATGACCACAGGATGCACAAGAGAAAGATTGTTAATTAGAATCACTTAATCCCACCTCCCAGCTGAAGAGTCCTGCCAAAGGAAGAAGTTGCACACATTGGAGATATCGCCACACTTGTAGAATTTTTTACCTGCCACAAAAAAAGAATTAAACAATTTTGCCAACTTAATGCAACTGAGTAAAAATTATTTTCATGCAACCAACTCACCTTGGTTGGGACCAGCCTTGCGAACGGTGAGGAGACGAGCTGGGATCCCACAACTGCACACGACGGGGTTGCTCTCATCGACACCATGACCGTCATTACCTTGGAAGTCATTTGCATTGAACGAAGAAGATGGGAGGAAGGCGAATGAATGACGGAGAGAGGGCAGTGCTGGTGGAAGGCTAGAATGCTAATAAGAAAGGCAAGTGTAAATGTTGAATCCTTTCAGCATCGTGCCCTAGTGATTACCAGATGCAGCACCTACTCACTTCCTTTCAGCAGCATCTTCAAAAGCTCAAACTACTGAGCGCAGCAGCATAAATGCACCGAATTTTAACGCATAGAACAACACGATGATGCTGGCAAACACGAATTTAGCAGGTTTCATAATTAATAAGAATCTATTCATAGAAATATTTTAAAGTTAAGGAAGCATTTGGATTTCGCTCAGTGAAATAATGCCTTGCAATGACCAGAGATGAACAAAACGAAATCAGGGTGGTTGATAGAGGATTCTGACGTACTTATTCTGTTAGTCATAACTGCATCCACAAACTCATCCACTATTGCTCCGTATAAACCAACGCTGATCTAGGTGTAACGAAGTTCACCTATCCTCAGGATAGATTGCTACCGACGATAACTTTATACGATCACACCAACCTGTGCCGATGACGCAGCTGTTAAAAAGCCACGATTGGGTTGGCGAGGAATGACGGAAGAAACCGGTCGTTGCTGCCCGGCGAGCGTCGAACAGAGGGCAGGGGGAGTTGTGGTAACCGAGGCGATGCGAATGCCGAAAGCCATTCGAAATTCCTCGTCACAGAAGAGGCAAGTTACGTATCTGTGATGTAAAATGGACAGGAAAATTGGTGTCTAGGTACCCTCTTGATAAAGGAAAATAAATAAAAAATGCTAAATGATCTCCAAAGATGTGTTGCATGTAGATGTATACAGACTGCCAGAGTTATCGGGAAAATTGCCAAATGTATTTGATGTTTGCATCGGCAAGCATCCTCAACGCTACCATACAGATTATCAGACTTTGATCCTAAAAGGCCTCGCCCATTTACAATTCAAAAATAGCAATATTTTGATGGAATGATATGTTATTTTTGTATGAGATTTCTAAAGGAACACCAAAACCATAGTTTATCGTTCCGAATGCACTTTGTTATTTTAATATCAAATTTAATAATACATAAACAAAATCTGGAAAAAAAGCAATACTATAGCGCAAATCAACTCACTCCATGTCGGGATCCTCCTGCACATATCCACACGGCAACACCGTACCAAGTCGAAATTTGAGACCAACAAGCTTGCCACGGCCAAAACAACTGGCACCATCAACTGACTTGCAAGGCACCGAGGGAAGAGTCCCCGTCACTCCCTGTCCTATTGTCGTGACAACGCGAGCAGCAGTCACCCCATCGGGCAGCCAGATGGCAAACTTGCAGTCAGGGAACCCAGTGCATGAGAAGAACCACCGCGGCCTATGAAGTCGACGCTACTCATCAAATTTCAGTAAGCATAATATCCCAACCAATCCAATCTCAGTAGAACTGACCGATTCGCCGAGGACTGAGTGCTGACACCAGAGTCGATAGGATCTTGTGGACCCTTTTGACGAACTACGACGTCCTTTCCACAGGAAGGACAGGAACAGAGTTTCTGGTAAGCTTCTGTTCTCCTGCTTTCAGTGGGGTTATTTGTGGATTCTAAAAGTTTAACTGTAATTTTTTTCCTTAATCGAGGCATACCTGGAATGTTCTCTGCCTCCTGAGCAAGATGCTTGCCAATCGCCATGTCCAATTTTCGCGCCTCCCGGACAACCATCTCGTAAGCAGATTTGTACTTGGCCAACTGGGTTTGCAGAACCTCTAAAATGTTTACTTTAAGGGGGAATTTGGACCTGATCAATTACCTTCTTTTGTCTTTCGGCCTTCGCATATTCTACAGGTCAAGAAACAGACGTTATTTCATCACCTTCATGAATCTTATTAAACAGGGAGATTGAAGAGCTTACGCCTTTAAGTCGACCTCTAGATCTGCGCGTAAGTAGGGCTTTGCAACTGCTAGATCCATTGAATCGTAACCTAAATTGAGGTAGACCAAAAACGAATTTATTGACATTACATGGCATTATCGACACGTCAGGTCGCAATAGAAAATTGACAACTGAAGCGAAATTCAGATATGGAATTGACTTCAAAACGTCGATTGTGGAGCTAGCCTATGGCACTCACATGAAGATATATGTGGATTACGTAACAAGAGACAGTTCTGTCTCCTTCCCCCACCGGGTCCCGGCAAACTGAATCCAATCCTGAAAAAGGTGGCCGCCATCGACAATGACAACAAAGTGACAAGAAAAATATTAACTATGAGTTTTAGCGCCAATTATTCTACTTATTTAAATTACTCCGCCTTTAGACAAAATTTCCAACAAACAGTCATTGGTATTTGAAGTGGACTCGTTGAAGAGTGTCTAGCTTTAAACAATACAAAGACGGTGAATCCTTCCCGCCCCTCAAAGTAGTTCACTAAGGGAAGTCAAATCCCAGATATAATGGAATCGACAGAGACGCATCACTGACGTTGGCGTCAAAGGTCATCTCATCTCTGTAAAAACTTGATGACTAGCATTCCTGGCTTCTTAGTACTTTTTCAAAGTACCGACTACATCGTAATCGCGCGAAGCGGCGAAGTAACTAGAGGGAGCGGCGATGATGACCCATGGAAGGAGAGGGGAGCATTGCGTTCAACTTGGTGGGCTCCCCAATGTCAGCGATTTGTGCTCTAGTCATGGCGGTGTGACTTTCGCGTCATGTCTATAGCCTCCCTGTTGGTGCTGCTTGTTACGGACGCAAAGAACAGCTCAGTGCGTCACATCGGCAAGCCTGAAGAGGCCAAGGCGATTTTTCCATTATACCTAAATTTTCCACGCTATTTCATCCGTTGTAGAATGAACTATCTGTAACGTCTGCAACCCTAGCAAGTGTTCCAGTTTAGGATCTCCAGAAGTCCCCGCTTTCCCGAACTTGGGCTCTCATTCAATTTCTCTGACTGGCTAGTACCAAGTACAGGTAGACAATTAAATGCCACAGTAATCATCATAATACCAAGGCCAAGGTAGTAAATGTGTGGAAGTGGAACCACTCTCCGTCCGCAATAGTTAGCAAGCGATCACGTACGCACACGTTGTACACCCAGCTTACTCATCCGTAGAAAGTCTAGCTCTTAATTGCACCAATTTAGAGCTCAACAGGATGTAAGCTTATGCGCCCGTACAGCAAAAAAATTAATCTTTCGCACCTTCCACAAGTCCTATGCCGAGTTGACTAGGCGCCAGGAACTTGGTGTCTTGCAGAGCGACATACATGCGTTTTTTGATAGTCTCAATGTGCTCCGCGTGCGTGGCATCAGTTCCAATGCCATATTTGTCCATCAAGGCGATCAGATCCGCTTCAGTTAGGAGACTTGGTGCCGTTGTAGTGCCTTCAATCATCTGGAGGAAGTAAATAGCCACAGTTTTTACAGAATTGAACAATCGTTGGCTTAACTTTGAGTAAATTTTAAGCAGGTTCTTTCTTCCTCTATGTATTTTTTTTACCATTCTCTTCCGTAAGGGCAACAGAACCAGATCCAACACGTCTTCTCCTTGCCAATTTTGATTTAGCCAAAGGATAAATTAATAACGAAACTCTCTGTCCACCCACTTATCCCATATTTACTCACCAAGTTATCCCAAACATCTTCTTCATGCATCCCGACTCCATCTAGCCGTTCGTTCAGTTTCCATCAATCCCCCCCGGCCCCATACACCTCATTTGATTCCATTCTATCATTATTAATTTCAGTTTCACCACTTCCACTTCGTCTACTTTAGGGTAACCGGTGGTCAAATAACTTCAAAATCACCTCGATCTTGTCTGGAGTGACGAGCTCTCCCAACTTAAAAGCAGGCATGTATCGTTCACTCCAACTCTCGTAGGGATGGTACACCTCCAAGTAGTTCCGACTGTGGATGACCAGTCCTCGTGCCTCAAACACTTCACCTGTATCCAACGACGATGCGGCGGTAGAATCCGCTGAGCCTAACATCAGGCGCACCGTGGTCTCTGCACCCTTAGCGTCGTCTGAGAGACAGGCGAGGAAGTGACGTGTGATGAGTTCGTACAGACGCGCCTCATTACCCTGGGAAAGGAATAATGATTTGCCGAGTAAGAACTAATGCAAGAACTAGTCGTGGAAGGTATTTCAGCCGATCAGGCCGTCGGAAAATTATGCAGATATCATGGAAAGCGAAGAAACTGAGGTCCACTCAAACAATACGAACACTTTGGAAGAATTTTCAGTAGGAAATGCGGTGAGATATTGGCAAATAATTTGCATCGCTAAGTGGAAATCTGAGAGAAGACTACCCAAAAACAGTACCAATAAGATTCAAAACATCCGCAGCCAATGAAGTTGCTCAACCAATTAGTCCTGCCTTTTGTCACTGTCCCAAAAGACGAGACGATTTTTTCAGTAATTAAATACTCAATTTTTTATTTTTTTAAGCTCTTCTTCCCTAAACACTTCATTGCATAAATGCTAGGATTATTTGAGATACATTGTATCAGGAGAAGCCCCATCTTCGTCAATCATATCGCTATCCTTAGCGAAAAAATAAATTATGCTTGATAGTAGCCGCAAAAAAACGATGAAATATGCGAAATTCTAACCTCCCTCGGATAATAATGACACCATCTTAGAAGGTGAAAGCCAGCATTAGTAGATCCATGTTATGCCCGATGATTCAGTTCACTATAAGTAGAACAGTTCCTTCGTGTATGCCTTTTTTTCTTGCATGACAGCAGTAAATGGCCACTTTTGAGGGGAGAACACTCGAGTGATGTAACAATTGTGTGAAATCAGTAAACGAACCAAGTCATGAACATATTTGAAAAATATCACACCCTGAATCATTGCCCGACCGTTAGAATGAAACACGGCAAGTATCAAATTGCTAAAGAAGTAAAATAGAATCTTCGTGGTAGATGTCTTTTTAAAGCTAAATAAGTGAAATTCTTGCCTATATTATGGAACGTAAACTTTTAATATCAACAATGAAAAGGTTTTCATTAGGTCGATTTAAATGAATGCTCGCAAACGTACTTGAAGGTTGGTCCCAGCCTTCAAGGGATGAATGGGAGGATGCGCCTGGTCCGATTTTCTTCCATTCCTTGGCTTTAATCCGACAGCCAGTAATTTGTGCGCAAAATCTAAAGGTAACCGGAAGGTATAAAAACTCAAAGTAGAAGAAATGGCCAAAAAGCATAAAAACACTCTACGTACCTGACCACCGACTGTCCTGTATTTGGGCCTCCACCAGCGGTTTTAGATCCAACTCCTTTGGAAATGAATTCGTTTCCGTTCGAGGATAGGAAACATACCCTTTGGTGTACAATGACTCTGCCAATTGCATGGTTTCCTTAGCGCCAATCCGCAGTTTACGTGAAGCCAGCTTCTCCATCTCTACCGTGTCCATTGGCAGAGGTCTCCACTTCGATTTTGGTTTTCGTTCTACATGAATAATTTTCCCGATGGGGTTCTAGACAAAGCATGTGAAGTCTCCAAGGTGGCCTACCTCTAACAAGTGCTCGTGATAAGCGGCACAGCAGGCTTGGTCAAAAAGACGGCCTCTCTTCCACTGGAAAGTAGCTCGAGAGTCTCCTCCCTCTCTCATTACCTCAGCAGTAATCTTCCAGAAGGGCTCTGGGATAAAACTTTCCACCTCGCGAAAGCGTTCAACCACAAAACCGAGGGTTGGAAATTGACAGGATCCATAGGAGATGAGTTGATCGGCAAGAGCTCGAGGGAAGACACGTTTCAGACGAAGGGTTTGAAAGCGAGTGAAAGCAGCACCAATGCGAAGGTCGAGTTCTTGACGTGCGTCGACTGCTTGACTCACGTGTTCATCGAGGGTGGTCAAATTGTTGATGGCACGGGTGATGGCAACTGGTGTGATTTCGGAGAAGCGAGCTCGAGAAACTGGATAGAGGATTTGACACGTTGGCAGACTTCGACAACTTCCATGCCGATGTTTTCACCTTCGCGATCGCAATCCGTCCAGATTATGAGATGGGAACAGTTTTTGATTTCGCGTTCTAGGGTTCGCTGAATGGCAAGACCACAGTAATCAGCACGACAAACATACCCTGATTGGTTCGTACTCCGCTGTGCATTTCTTTTCGATGGGGGCATCAAAGAGGGCCAAGGGGTTGCAAGATTCCCTGAAAATAAGATAAGCTTTCAAACCGAGGTACCAAGAGCGAAAGCACTGTGAAAACTCATAGTTGAGAAGGTGACCAGAAACTGAAGTCATCACGAAGGAACAGCTTGCGCCGTTGAGCGTCATTGGAAATTCATAGATTTTATTAAACTTGGAAAAACCTTCTCGCTAACGAATAAATATTCCTTTTAATTGATTAGAAAACATACTCGAGTCGTACGACCCCGACCAAGAATCGCAGCAATATTCTTCGCTGCTTCGTTCTTTTCGGCTACATTGAGGACACGCATGGACGCAAAGGGACGTTGGAAAAGCTTAAATATGCGGCGAAGATACACCATGAGCCATCAGGCAATCCCGGGAATTGTGAACAAACAGGCTAAACAAACGGCTCCAAAACGCGCCCTTTGTCGTTCCGTCTAACCTTGAATTGCTTTCATCAGTTAAACATTTTTTAAACAGCTTTGCACAAAACACAAACAAAAGATTAACTGCGCTAAAATAAACTTGCTCTGTTTTTATTTAAATCGTATGGTGGAAATTGATTTTATCTAAGCACTAGCATTTGCGCTAGCAAGCATTTACATATTAAAAGCGCCCACAGTCATAAATAAAATCAAACGTTCCTAAATTAGCATGACTTGTTGTTTACAACTTTACTGCTTTAAATTAAACTACAGTAGGACTATCCCGATTGAATTTGATTCCATTTCAACAGATACTTCTTCAGCAACTAGTTGAACATTTTCGAAATGCCTGACTAAATCTTCCTGACTTGCTATTGCCAAATGTTATAGTAGAAACAATTCTAATAATTTAAGCTGAAAAGTTATTTTGGCAGCCTCTCCCGGCAAGCAATAAAGTGGGACTGATGTGTTTAGCAATATCTGTGGCACACACCTCTTCTATCTCCTCTTTCCTGGCCTTCACACCCCTAGAACACTGTGGATGACTGAGTTTGGACATATTTATTGTGTAGCTACAACAAGGATAGATACAAGTTTAGAGGGACATGGGAACAGGACTCTTCTCCGGCTCGAGAGATGTTAACCGCCCCTCATTTGTGAGGTTGGGTTCAACTACCCGCATCCTCTCCGAGTGGAAAACTTAAATAGCACACGTATTACATATCACTGTTATAACGCAATCGTAATTTGAGTATCACGACCCATTTCCCATGGAACCATCTGGAAACAGCTTTTCTTTCCTCGTAACTTAGCTTGCCAGTTAAGGTTAAGGCAATCTAATGCTTAGGAGCCTTTTATTTTTGTTGGTGTGTTGAGTGAGCTTGAACGGAACAAATGCCTGCTAATAATAAAGTAGTTTTATGAATCGCTAAACATGTGCAACTGGTAAAATCATTCCGCTTCTTGAATTAATTATGGGGTATTTCCAAACGCCTCCTGACGCACCTAAATTGAAGAAGGGTAATTTAAGCACTAGAGTTATTCTCAAATCGCATTAGTTTCTCGGAATTGAAACCGCATATGAGGCTGTTAGTGGATGACAAGTCATTGTCAAATTCAAGGGCATATCAAAACAGTGTTCCATCCTCCACTACAAATACTCGGAATCCAATTAGCAGAAATCGGTGAGCTGTCAAAAGCGCAAAGCATTTGTTAAGGCTACGGCGACTGCCTACTGCCATCACCCCCAGATACTACCCAATTTTCGTCAGCTAGATTGCGCACCCTAGAAAGTGAACATGAAATTCTTTACTATTTTTGTAATCCTTATCTGAATTTCCAATCCTAAAGGCGGTTTGATAAAGAGTGTCATATTTTATTTCAAATTGGAACGAGATATTGCCTTTATAAGAGTACTGAGCCACTATTCTAAATATCAGCAAGGATACTAAACAAAAACAGGATTCGCATTTCTCGATAGTACTCAATTCACGGCCTCTTTGAAGCCGTAATGGGTCATTTCAGAAGAGCAGAAGGCTGGACGGCTAATAGGGTTGACCGACAAGGTGGATCGCAATCTGTGGCGACTGAAGTGACCAGGTAGTCAACCTACACACCAAATCACTGGCAGATATACCAACAACAAACGCCGCTAGAAGGAACTAAGCCAACTGCAAAAAATTGCGGCGTTTCGATATGAGCCTTGAATTTTTCAAATGTTTTTACACGCAAAAGTAAAGAAAACAGTAAACATGTTAGAAGGAAATTCAACACCACCATTTCGACCTTTGTACTTACCCTGCATACCTTTATTTCCTCAAGCATTTTTACCAAGGAAAGTTTTGACTAACTTAGGTGGTAGCTAGTCTAGCGTCCAATACACACCTCTGAAGCAGTTTTTTGGTTAACCATTTTGCCGAGGATTTTGCATCACTACTTCAAACGTTTATCGTGCAATACAAACAGTAAGTTGAGGTAGGATTGGTGAACGGTGATGTTTCGCCCCCGTAATTACACCCTCCTCAGTCACATCGCAACCTTTCATACCAACTTCAAGGTGATGAGCCCAATGGCTTGACGTAGGCCGACTATCCCAACGGGATCACCTGTCTCCCAAGGCGGAATGCAGAATCGGATCATGGTGCAACGCAAGACAAAATTAAGCACCCATGATCTTTTCAACCACGACAAATGGTAATTGGTAATTGCTGAAAGTTGAGAGAAGCTTTGACAAGGTGACTGTGATTCTAGCGCTCGGTGACAAGTTAAGTTCTAATCAGGAGGCCTTGTGAAGCAGGACTGTTAAAACTAACGGTGGATTTTTAACTTTGCCTTAGTCAGTGGGTGGTAGTAGGTTGGAAAAAATCCAAAGCACTGACCTTGGAGAATAATAAACTTACCATTTATGGCTGTAGAAGCAGCGGAGAGTTAAACACGCCAGCCACGCATTGTAAAAGCAAAATTCGTTAGTTCAAGTTTAAAAACTGCTTGTGTTAAAGAAGCATAAACAAATTCACCTGGAAATTTATGGTCGGTGTCTACCCACCTATTCTGCTTCAGCAAGCCCAAATGGGCATGGGTAAGGTAACCACCATTTTCTCCAACAAAAACCATTACGGCTTCCCACTGCCAGGAAAGTAAGTTAAGGTTTGACATTTCTTAACATGATGCCAATTGATAGTCCATTTTCTTAGAAAAACAGATTAGTAACAAAAAACTAATTATTTGCCAGAAAAAAATTCCTTAACTCATGGTCGGCATTTGCCTACTTAACTCATTTCAGCGAACGCAAATTGGCATGTTAAGTTGCCAAGTCAAGCCAACTCTTCCCTATCAAAAATTATTAGTTTTTAACTGTTAGCGAAGAAAATTTAGACTCGATGTTTTAATACTTATCAATCTCTAACTGACAACCGGCCCTCGATGCTATGCCCAGCACCGTTGCCCCTGCGAGCCTCATAGGGCTGCGTGCCCTCTCGACGGCACAGTCCTCCAACCATGCGCATAGCCTCTCAACCCTTCAATAGGCCGACAGCGAATTGCTTTCCATACTGATACGGCTTGCTATAACTTGGGGATCCGCTATGGTGACGGCGTCAGTTGAGCTATAAGAGCACCCTTTACGACTGTCTGATTACCTCCAATTCTGTCTCCTCTCACCACCTAACGCGGTCCACTTTCCCCATTGGTCGGTGGTTACTCATGGTGAAGGTGGTCGGGCGCTTCTGCTCCGAATTTACAAGTGAAACTGCTAAAAAAAGCAAAGGTCTGGGCTTTGGAAGAAGAAATATCGTCATGAATAGGGTTTTCCGATGAGTGAACAAGTCAAAAAAGGAAACAGGTGTATTCAGGAGAGCTTCCGAGATTTCAAACACTCATTCAAACCGCCGAAAGCGAACAAACCAACTAGCTGGTAATTGTGCCCTAGTGAAACACCAAAAATACAGGAAAAACCTAAGCAAGAGCATTTGATCTGTCAAATCGAACTCGGGAGATTTGTGTCTTTCTCTTCCTCACCTACTCCTTCCTTTGTACAGCGCTATTAAGCTTGAAGTTGATGGAATTCAAAGGCGATTAGTCGCTTGATAAATGAGTAAGAAGGTACCTTCTATGAGGCAAATAAAGGAGGTTTTTTGGTCAAAACAGTAGGCTACTTAAAGTAACCTATTCTTTGCAACAATTGCGATGCGGGCCACTCAGGGTTTCACCATCATACCTCCACCGGGCGGCGCGGTCCTTGGACCATGCCAGAAGACCTCAAGCCCTTCTCTAGGTCGACAACACGTATTCTACCCGAGTATTATGCCTCCTTTCACCTTCGGGGAAGTCTCGTGGTGCTATGCACTTACCATTAAAAGCTCCCCTAGAGAGACACCACCCCACCGATAATTCCACTTCCATTGCAATATTTTGCGCCTACAAACAAAGAGGGAAGCAGATCCAGCCACCGTCGTTTCTTCCTCACTATTATTCTATTCTACTTCGTAGGTGATGGTCTACTTCCAGAGGAATGTTACCGATCGCTCAGAGAAATAGCTTCAGGCTAATGCGTGGAGGATGAGAATGAAGTAGTGTGGCAGGAACTCTTTTTCTCTCAGATAAGTTTTGGAAGTAATAATAGGACCTTCCTCCTACCCGGATATTTCTGCAGAGAAAGGAAATGCTCTCCACACCGCGTTGTATCGAGTAGATAGATCGCAGGCACAAGTGGTGAACAACGTTGTCTGTAGTCCACCAGCACACAAAAGGCGCACAGTATTCCGAGCATAAATTGCGGCGTAAGCATTACAAACCTTACAAGCATCTTCTCCAGCTTCGAAGCCGAGGCGACGGTCTTGAATCACATCCATTAACCTCACCCCCTACTTTATGAGGAGTCAAACAGGACAAGAGTAGAGGGTGCAAATAAAGGCGGTATTCTACCGACAGACCGACACAAACCTACCCTTCATAATGCAGTTAACGAAACAATCAAGTAGTACATGTTTCAACAAGTCAATGTAGAAAAATTTGTTGATTACCTGATAACGTACAAAGGTGCTGCCTCATCCTCGTGTTGATAGTGGAAGCCTGCCTGCGTGAACTTGACACCGCAAGATCCCCAAATTCTGATCTCTCCCAATTCAGCAGATCATTTAAGACTCCAGTTGCAGATCGTGTGGTAACCCTTCCCAAAACTTCATTCTACCTAAGCATTTGAGGGGCGCAATGGACAGAAGCAATCAGGTGGGATCCTTTAAATTCCAAAAGAGATTAAATGGTCAAGAAAATATGCAGTTTTAAAACACCAAATTTGTCGCGTTGATCTGCAGAATGACATGGGCAAGGCAACCTTTCACTAGGGGATAAAAACACCCACGCTAGAGTAATAAAAGCAACAGTATACAGTTAATAAAACATTGTATAATGAAAAAAAAATAATCACATTCGGGCGCGAATTCGTGTTGCAAAATGGGGGGAAGAAGGCAGAAGGGAGAGGGAGCTAGGAAGGTTAGGAAATCTGATAAACTAGCACGCAAATGAGCAAGAGGGGGGTAGGTCAGCCATGTCGATTTAGGTCATCACTATTACTACTACCAACATCAACGCAGTCCTCGTTTCCCCCATTCTCACGGTATGTACAAAAAAAAAGTTTTCCAGCAATCTCTTCACTCTCTATACAAGTGATCAGTTCGGTCCCAGGGTTGTCGAGGTGCTGGAGCCTGTGGAAGCGTGCGAGCTCCCCCGACTCAAATGTGTGCTTCCGCTACTGGTCGAATTCAGCTGATCGGGACTCACGAGACTTCCACGGAGCATCCAGTTCTTCAATCCAGTCTCGTTCATCACCTTCTTTTGCTCATAGATAGAACTGATCCGTCGACAGATGCCTGCTGGAACTTCGGGAGCTGCAGAAGTCTTCTGAAAGCCTGGAAACATCAGACACGACTTATCTTCAAGGTATATTGCCGTTGGACGTGGTCGAACGCCCGTCGGTTTGGACCTATCGATGGTGACATTCTCTGTAAAACGTCGAGCAAGAGGAGCCAAATCATTTGAAGCATTTGGATCAACTGAGTCATTTTTACCCCCCACTTCTGTGTAAAGTCCACACGTCCAACGTGTCTCACATCGATGATTCCTAGAGCTCATGCGTCGTGCGGCTACCGTGTTCCAGAAGAAGCACATTCCTCCTGGCTCCGTCCCGTACTCCAGGAACTGTGGCGAATCCAAATTCTGTGACTTCCTTCGAACCGTCATCTGCTTGTTCATCGGATGAACATCCACATCGCTGGTAGAACGCTTTAGGGTAGTGGTAGTTTCAACTTCCTTCAACTTTAATTTCGGTTGGTCAATAGCTACATCATTTGGAATAAGATTTAGACCTTCATAATCCTCACAAATATCTCCAATCATCAAGGGGCGAAGACTCTGGTCGCTGCCATTGACGGTGCATGAGCGAACAGGGCTGCGAGAGGGGTTTCGGCGACGTGAGAAGCTGCGTCTACGGTCAACGACAGTAGTGCCAGAGGAGAGCGTGTCCTTCGACACAACACCCATCTTTCTGCGTTGCTCATTCTGTGTGTGAGGAATCTGTTCGAGCAGACCAAAGGTGCGCGCCGGCAAAGGTGGAGGGCTGTAGGTGGCCAGAGCAAAAGTGGTACAGGCAGCGGGGGAGACAGGGCTAGGAGCGAAAGAATTGCTGGAGGTGCTCTTGTGTCGGTAGCGCGGGGGGATGGGGGGTGGTAGGTCAGCGCTTTCTTGGCTGTTGGAGAATTTGGAGTCCTTCTTAAGGGTTCGGAAGTAACGTTTGAGACCGTAGGTCATTTCAGAAGGCTCTTCTGCACTCGAGGAGCGAACTATCCAGGAATTACGTTTGTCCTTAGCCTGTAGCGGTTCCACTGATCTGAAACGGTGGAAATGTGGGTAGGCGTAAGGAAATTTACCCACTCGTGTAAGTGGATACGTGATTCCGTAGATTCAGGCACGTGAGTATCAGGGCTAACTTCGAGAGACTTCCTTTGTGTCACCAAAATCCCTTTCCATTGGAAGGACGATTACACCTGAACTTTTTGCAAACTGGTACTCCAAAACCTCATTACTTCTTAAGATACTAAAGGAGTATGAAATATGGCAGCAAATCGACACAAAAGGGAGCAAATTAGGGTCCCGTATGAGTGTAGTTCTATCGTCTGGGGTATTTTCAGTTTCTTCTTTTGCTACTATTCATTGTTCACGTTGTATCACAGGTAGATGTGGATTCTATTAGTCTGTCTGTTGAAAATGTCCATGGATTCAATCCTGCACGCCAGATACATTACTGCCTCGTTATTTTTCGTGTGGCAAGAGGGAGGCAGAAAATATTGTTTACGTATGACATCAAGCAATATTTCAACGTTACGGAGAACAGTTTTCTCACATTTTTCAAATTTCCCATGACTGAGTCATTCGATGAAACATTAAAGCAAACTTTCAAAATTCTTTCAATGCTTTTAAGTAACGCATCGGATTAACGCCTGCGGTGGAGGAGTTCAAAGAGTGAAGCAAGATTGCTGCCAAAAATTAGAAGTGTGGATTTCGAGAACAGAAAAACAATCAGTAATAATAAATTCAGATGGTGAAAATGGTGCCCTAAAATATTCTTCACCCCCTTGAACGTAATGATAAGTCACTTTTCAATTGAGGGAATAGTTTAACATGGTTAAAGCCAGTACATGTTCCCCGCCAGTAGGATTAAAGAGCTAGACCACCTCGAAGTGCCTTTCAACACGCAACACTTTCCAGCACATCCAAATGGAAAGGTGATCAGAGAGAGCTATGAAGGTGAACTGTCAACTGCATGACATAACGAGGTGTAGCACTTGCCAACATGAGAAAGCAACACTTAGTAATATGGAATTTAGGGGAGCCAGGATGACAAGCTAAAATACGACCTGTCTACTAGGAGATAGTGTATCGTGGCAGCTAAACCACCCCTGTCGTAATGAATGAGGGCTCATGAACATTTTTTGATAGATAAAGTGCGTACGTACCGCCCCCTCATGTGATTGGCTGTCCAGTAATCAACAGACTCCTCGAAGAGCTATGACGAACTTCAACAGTTTAAAACACCTCTGAATGGTGAAATGGGAAAAAGAAATTCGCATTATACGAGGAAAATCAGTTAGGCGAATTCATACGCAAATAAGCAAACTTAGGAGCGATATTTTCACGCAAAAAAAGAGACTCCTTATCCCATTGAAACCCTGGCAGCTTTCTAGATCACCTAGTGGCTGACACTTATCAATGTCATTGACCCGCATTGGCACTAAGTACTTGTACGAACTCCGAGAGAGGGGGAGTGAGAGGGAGGAGACACTTCTACACCTAACGACCCCAAGAAACGATAAAGAATAGGAGTTAGCTGGACAAAGGGAAAAGCCCAAATACTGTCTTCGAAGGGTTAAACATGACTATTGGAAACATCTCAGGTGGTTTAAGACATGCGGTTCAGTAAAAATGGGCGTGAATGCGTCACAAGGAAAGCCCCTTTCAAATCTTTGTACCCTGTGCGTACCACTTACTGCTATAGCTCGACTCTCAAGAGTAGCAGGAGGTAAAAAGAGGGCAAAGCCGCAGCAGCATCAAGCACGAAGCCCAGTGGGTTTTTTATCTCTAATTCTCACAAACCCTGTGCCCTCTCTTGTGTGTGTGAGAAAAAAATGGTTGTCAAAGTACAGGGTGGTGGCTTTGAACGCGGAGGAGAGGATGAAGATGTGCGATTAGGCTATGTTGGTAACGCAACACCTCGATTGTCTTACCCAAGGCCGACGGAACACACATGACGTGTTCTTCATCCCCTTCCCCTAACTAATTACACCAACTCGTGTCACAAATAGATGGGTTGAACTTAAACCGCTAAAAAAGGTGAAAGATGGTTTTGGTTTGCTGATGATTGCATCTGTTTAAGCTTTTGAGTGGTAGCAGCAGCAGCAGTTGGACTGACCAGTTGGGTAGTGGAAGCTTTGGTGTTATATTAGAGGGTTAAAACGCTTAACGACCAGGTTTCTCCTCCGACTCCAGCAGCAAATGTGGTAGCTTACTGCCTGGGAGTGTACTATGTGCTACAAGAAAGTGACAGTCAGTTGAGTGATGCCTGAAATCCAGCCAATGTGGAGGGAGGAATGATCAAACTAATTGGCCGAACTTACGACCGCACATCACCAATCTGACATCAACTAATCGCTTCGAACACCTACCAGATGGTTTAGCATACTAAGCTACCAGTTGAGGAAACTGGACGTACTGATAAAAGCAGTGCATCATTAACAAAAGAGGTAGACATATGTAATTTCTCTAGGAAAAGAGTTGTGAAAACATCAAGGTAACAACTGGTCAAGAATGACAGGAAGTTGCTTTCGAACATAATTTGAAATAGCTGTCATACATTTTATTATTGAACAAAGAGGCAGTATTCATAGTAAAAGATGGAGAGGGGATGGGATTTTTGGTTACATTTAACTTTTAAATACCATCAACAAAGCTGACTGGTATGAAAGGGAGAAATTGCTGAGGTGGTGATAAAATCTGCCTCTTTTCAGCAGTTGAAAGTACGCACCTATTTTAACAACGCAACACGAGACGAATGTATTTTGTGCCATCACTGGCGAGAGACAATGTCACATGGTGAGGCGTATCAAGTGATTTTGCTAAAATTTATTCGAAAATGCTTTCCGAACTGCCCCCGCTATAAGATATTATTGCATAGCGTCAGGGTCTTGACGATAGTTCTGTCAGACCATCCCAATTTCGTCGCTTGAGGCATCTCGACGATGGAAAGCTGTCTAGTTAAACCAGAGCTACCATAAGGTAGATGCTAAACAGGATGTCTGTGCTTGTACAGCTGAAATACTAGCATGTGGTCAGCTGGGAAGGGAATTGCGATGAATAAAAAAAGAACACCACAGTAATGAAAGACACACCGCAAGATTTGGTACGCCTTCAAACTGCTCAAAGGCGGTGATAGTGATGATCGCGATGTGCTATAAGCGAGCAAACGGCGGTTGGTTGAATGGGGCTGGTATCGCACAACACCGCAAAAATGCAACAAAATCATATTGAAATAGAGTCACCAATCCTAAGGACAAGATAAAAACGCTAATTCACTTTATGAAAGAGATAGCAACGTCTAAAAGAGGAATACCACATGATCAACAGCTTGCCCGGTGACCCGTGAGGATAGAACAAAGGGGGCGAGAGGGGTTAGGCGCTTGAAAGGAAATAATTGTTGAGCGTTCTCTAAGAGAGATTCCAAACATGCACCGATGCTTTGATGTTCTTCGCTAGAAAATGTGCACAATAACGGGTTTTGGAGCACGAGTAATGGAACATAACTGGCGATCTGCGAATCACCCCATGGAACAAAAACAATTCTCGTAGATGCTTATTTATCATTTCACAACCATCTTTTCAACCACAATAACCGTTTTTTGTTTCGTTAAATTTATTAGAGGATGTTTTAGAGAGCATGTCAGTCCAGGGTTAGCTAGAGGCTACAGGCAACGCGAGGTTAAGCTGATTCGTCCATTCCAAATCAACTTTATCTGCATTGTGAAAAAGGGAAAAGAAAGTCAAAGTTGATGGTGACGCTGAGACCGGGTCATAGGTCATGTGTTAGGCTTGAGACAAGCAGCCTCTTACCTGGGACTTCCCAATGCACCATTCGAAGACGTGATTTCCTTAGGTTTCTCTAAAGCAAAAGAAAGATGAGTACTTGGCATACATCTGTAACCACAGTTGGATCCTGAGCACGTTCTCTACCAGAGTCAGACAGAAGTGACGCTCGAATTTCTTACCTTGAGACGTGTAAAGTGCGAACTAAATATCTAGTCGTCCACAGTCCACCATCAAGTAGGCTTGTCAGTAGGAAAAAGGACTTATTGGGATGGTTATGAGCCAATATTACACAAATCCATGACTATAATACATCCGGTGGTTAATTTTAGCCAAAAAACTCCTTAGTGCTGAATGTGATAAGGAACTCACTTGTTGAATAAACCTAGAACAGGAATTTCCAGTAAGGGAAACCGAAACGCTTTAGTCAACTAACAATAGTCATTTTATTTAATCATGCAATCATTTATCCGTCTAGCACGGTTTCATTAATGAAAGCTTTGTTGAGGATAAGTTTCAATTGACGTCTAAACATTCCAGGATCCTGACACTTTTTGATGAACAGTAAACCTTCATTCTTGGCTTCAGTCAGACTTACGCTCAGGTAATTCCAGAATGCTGATTCCTTCGGGTGGAGGCTTTGTTGACGTCTCCCCAGGTGGCATCATTTGGCCCCAGATCTCGTCGAAGAAAACGGAGAGCTTTTGGCGGAACTCAGAACTGCGCAGACAGTAAGCATCAGTGAAGGGGCCAAGGAGGCAGGCCACCACGGCGACGCACATTACGCTGTCCTCAAAGCTGGGTGCAGCGTTCGGACGCTCGAGGAGATTTGGACCCCACACCGTGGACAGAGCGTCCACAGACATCTTGTTGGACTCCTGGTTTACTCGTATTTGAGCCAGGGTGAAGAGGAGGAAAGTAAGTAGGGATTGGTTGATGTCAGGGAGCTCTCGCAGCATCCTGGAGTGGAGGAAAAATAGAATTATTGACCTATTCGAATTTAAGGCTCTTGTGTGGTGTTTGGATCTTTTCACGCTGATGGCAAGGGCCTCTACTTACGTCATTTCTGCTAATATTATCGCAGCTCTTCTTTACATCGACAACAATGCTACTTTTTTAGGAATGACTCAGGGCACTATATTGGTGGTAGTGACAAAAATGTGGTAGATATAGCCGGCTCAACAAGTCTTATGCCGTAATTAGTCTACGAAATGCACTAAGACAGCCAGGTTTGTAAGTCTTTCCATTCTGAAGAGTCAACGTATGATCTTCACCATCCTCTCATTGTTGCCTTCATTCCATCTGCCTGGTTATTTTGATGGTCCACGATGCAGAGCGATGACAGAAGAGGGTGGGTTTATAAGTGATAAGACAGACCTTTTCTATCACCCGTGATTTCGCCCTCCTACTGTAGACATGGCAGAGGTTTGCTTGTGCCAACTCTACACTTTTAGCCCCGTAGCACTCTTCAGGGGCAGCCAATGCGCAAAACTGATGGCAACGCGTTATGGGTACGCACACTTACATTCACCCCGCCTCGTCGATACAAGAGCGCAGAGTGACAACCGCATGCATTCACTCAAAGAGAAAGGAGTAAGAAATGTGCTAAAGCGGTTATTCTCATGACAAATTAAAGCACGATAATTGGATTAAAAGGGCTAACATGTCTATCAGTAAACAAAAATAAACCTGGGATCATGAGAAATTATAAATGCGAGAATACAACCATTGACTAACAAGGACATTAGCATAAACGCAAAAACACTATAAAAACGAGCAAAAAAACCCACGCTAAAAGGAAATAATCATGAATTTCATTGCCTTTGAAGACTGCTTTTGTGTAGCTGTGTGTGGGTGGACTTGATGGAACGATTGGTGACCTTGAGGGGGGAGTGGGATGAAGTGACTCACTTTTTTGCGTAGTTTGCAATCTCCTCGTCCGTCTTCAGGGTAGTCATTTTGCACCAGTCGTCCCACTTCTCGTCAATTAGGAGGTGGCCAGGAATTTCCTTGAAATACTTCTACGGTGAGGAAAGGAAGAGATGTTGTCGCGTTTACTTGGTACTGCTCTAACGGGCAAATCGCCACACCAAACATCCATGTTATACATTCACTCTTGCTACCCACAGGGTTAGTTGAGCCCTAATACAAACTGCTCAAATATGGCACTAAGACTTACACTGCCAAAATGACCAATTCAACTGCTACGGCTCAACAACGAAGAAGGCAAGGATCCGCAGACCACCAGAATCCTACTTCCGTGTGACCTTTTTAAAACCAATTAATCAGTTTGTGATACGATTCGGTGGGATGGGGCTAGCTATCATAAACAAGTAAAGAACACACGTTATGTATTTGTAACGAGCAAGCTCAGACTAGGAAATCGAAGTTCAATTCACAGGACAAATTTCTACGCCTTCCAGTGTAGTCAGTCACCATCAAACACCTTTCGGCAAGCGTAAAAGTGCCTATCAAAAGTCAAAACTTCTCAACTCATCACTAAACACTTTTGTTGGCTGGCGTTTTGAACCGCCCACACAGTAGTACTAATTTCACAGTGGAATTCGTATCCAAAAATAACGCCTTTTTATCTACTCAGAATTTCACGAGTTTGCACCAACTTGACAAAGCAAAGCGTGTAAACTAAGGAACAGTGACAAGCACGGAGAGAAATCATCATAGTTAGACGTTATACAGCTACAAGCTCTCAGAAAGATTGAAAGTTTGTTTTACCTATTTATTAAAAAGGTCCCAAGATCCTCTTGATGAGAAAAATGCACAGTGAAATGTCTTAAGCGATTCAACCATTCACAAGAATTCGCGAGGAAGTATTCCGAAACATCGTAGGGTTTTGATAGAACGTATATCCACTGCAAGCAAATTTTAATATTGAAAATTACAAATAAAATTGACCATTTTCAGTTGATATGTCACTGGTAGACTTTATCCAAAGCCTTGACTAGACTCGACGAAACTTCCAACAGCCCGAGCTACTACCGATCGATGTGGATGTCTGAATAATGCGTTGAAAGAGTGGTGGTCGCCGAATCCAGGGGAGAGTGTCAGATTCATTTAACCACTATCAAAATGACCGGCATAGAATTAAATTCTAGAGATTTCTACTCGTTCCATCGGTCAAACTCTACCCAGATTAATCTATTTGTAAATGTATATTTGCTCATCATCTGGTCATCTATACCACACCAGTAAATCCATCCTTTCCTCCACTTTGCATTCATCTATGGCTAATCTACCAATTTCTCAATCAAACCATGCCAAATTAACCTGTCTGCCCAGGATTCAAGTCTTCACCAACCACACATTCACATCTATAGATCTTTGCGTCCGCCTATCTCCATTTCATTCCTCGTCAATCTACCCATTTATTCACCTATCTGTCTAGCCATTCCTGTTTGAATCTACTAATTCCTAATATGCGCCCCCACATAAAACGATCTGCCTTTCTGTCAACCCTCCCCCCTGTCCTCTTCTCCAACTCACCTTGAGGATGTTGGCGGCATGGAGGGGCGGGCACTCCTCTGCCATGAGGGGATCCTCATTGGTATCCACGCGTTGAACCAGTGCCTGCAAATGCGATATCTGAACCGACCTACGGAAGATGCCCTCCGTGAGGCTGCCCTTGTAAAAGATCACCACGAAGAGACTCTAGATGACAAGGGAGATCAACAAAAAGGCAGCATAATTTTCCAATCACCGGAGACAATTATCCACTAGCGGATACTTATTTGTAGTACCAATGGAAAGGCTAATGCTCCCCTGCAAGAATTTAGAAACGAACAAGAAAACTATCTACTTTTATATCAAGCTTAGTCTTAAGAGCTTTTTGCCTCAAAAGCAGTTGATCGGCGATAAAGTAGGCCTTTAAAGCGCATAACTTTGCGGAGACAACCACGTAAGAGTCTGGATGCGTAAGACTTGCTTATTCCGCACCAAATGCTCCACAGGTTAGTCCCTAACTTATGCTGGGCGTGCGCAAACATGATGGATAAATGGATGGGTGGACGGATACAGGATGGATGGATGGATGGGAAACGGGATAGACCATGAGCAAATAAACCAGAAACGGATGGATATGCAAGCGAATACATGACCTCATCATTTACCTTTGCACGTAGCTCTAAGGAGACTGATGGTAAACAAAAACCCATCTTAGCAGGACTTACAATATGTTCAACAACATTTGCGAATCATACAGCCCTCAGATTTGCCATAATTGGTTAACATAGGCCTAGGTAATCAATTCCGTTCTCTTAATCCAACTTCTTCCCATGTTGCCTGATCAAGGCATATAAACAAACTTAAGAGAAGTTTGAAAAATCGTCCAGACACACCATCACAGACATGGAGACCCGACAATCGGGCCAGGCCTCCTTCGGCAGCCTTCCAAAGATGCCAAACTGTTGGGAAGATGAGTCCTTATCATCTTCCTCGTTGTCATTTCCCGCGGCGAACATACTGCTTCGAGATAGATAAAGACGCAGACGTGAACGAGAACGACCCTTTCCGCCGGCACCGACACCACCACCACCACTACCACCGCCAGCAGCACCAGAGGAAGGGCTGAGATTGTGCGAGCTCTGCGACAGACCATGGAGGTGGGGAGTGCGATGGGTGCGGTTTGTATCGTGGTTAAGGATCGATTTCGAGCGATCCACCAGGTGTGCGAGGGGTTCGAATGCGTCGTGATCCATAGAGATGGGAAAAGAGCAGACGACACCATTACTGCTTGTGCTACTATTATTGCTGTCTGTGAAGGGGAGACAAAGAAAAGTACAAACAAATTTAAATGGCAGTCTAATTCTTCGGTTTACTTCGTCTTTATGCATTCTCGTTCTCCTCTTCCTAGGAAATGTCTCTGGCACAAAATCAATGCGCCTGAAATGTTGGAGTCTGGTGGATTACTCGTAGAAGTGAAAATTGACATTCTCATTTTTCCCGCGAATATGTGCTATTGTCATTGGTTTGGTGGAGGAGAAAACAGAAGAAAATCCTAAAAACTACTCTTCATCGTCGTCATCGTCTTTGATAGTTGCTAGAATGGTAGATATAAGTTGAGCCCATCAGATAGTCGGGTAGATGATCCCAATGATGTCATTGTATAGGAGGGGGTTACAAATGGATCTATTCAAAGGAGAGTCTTCAGATCATCGGCAATGCTGTCTGATGCAATTTTTTGCCTTAATATTCCAAAATTATGAGGGGGGAAAGGTCACTTTGTATCAACTCTCTGTAGATACACCACCTCCTTCGAGGTTTCATCGTGGATATTAATAGTCACTGCTCGTCTACGATAGCTTTAAAGTCCAAATATCTAGCTCAAAATGGTCTTTTCTTGGGTCCCTTAAATATGTGTGAAGGGTCTCGATAATGCGTTTTGCGTCTTTTAAGTCTGTACTTGTTCAAGCGCAAACTAACATTCTTCTTGATAGCTAACTAGCTTTCTAGCTAAGTAGCTAGTCAAATTACCTGCCTACCTTTCGTAGTTTAAAAGTACCACTGTGCAGTCACGCAACTACGCTCAAAACGCGTAGAATGAAAAAAAAGAGAGCATTTATGTTACGAAGTAAAGGACTAAATTCCCTTTTTCCTATTGAAAGCACTCCATCCTACCTTACTTTGCTATTCCACGTGGATTTTATACAATCAGATTTAGCCTTTGGCTTTGCTTGAGGCACTAATTTAGGTTGTGATGCCTCTGTGCTATTTCAGCTTGAATATTTTGTCCTCAAATGTCTCTTCCGGCTCGCGCCTATTCTTCTCCTAAGTGGCCTAAGACGCGTCAAATGTAAAGGTTGACGATGTCAAACAAAAAGGCTGAAAGTGAGCTTGAAACGGCTTCTATTGTCCAATCTTTTAGACATAGAACAGCTTTCCATCAAGTGTATAAATCAACCCGTCAGACTTTCGCATTTGAAGGTATTTAAGTCTTCTAAAAAGATGCTGAGTTTCACCGTTTAGTTGAATATGTCGGCTCTTCGGCTGCCGATGCCTCAGTCTCCATTCATGGACATTCAGACCTTCAGTGAATTAAAAGGTCAAACAACGCTTTCACCAAAGCTACAAACCTTGCACTCCAAAACTGTCGCCATAGTGAGTGGTAACTTCAATCCATCACGTCGGAGCCTTTACACTAGACCTATGGCCACTACTCCAAAGAGAAATATCCTAAAAGTGTCACCAGAGCTCTCAAAATGAAGTTGGCTAGAATTCAACCAAAGTAGCTTAAGGGTAGAGGTGTATTTTAATAGACTCTTAGAGTCATCATGTAATCAAATACTGGTCAATTTGCATGTAATATTGTGCCCTACTAGAAGACCCTATAGCCACTATAAACGCAACTAGGGGCTTGTTTAAGCAAACTACCAACGATTAGCTTGCAAAAAATCCCTTTCCTCCTTACCCCTAATGGTGAAGATCACCGGAATTCGATCTGGGGTAAGAGGAAAGGCGAGGTTTCGGGGTGTGAAGCTGCAGTCCGTCTGGTCAGTGGAAAAAAGATCGACCACCTCGTCAGTTGCCTTTTCACCGGTCAGGGTGATCACGTACAGCGTTAATAGGAAGGGTCTATCCTCATCTAAGTGGAAGAGAGAGAGGAATGAGATACAGTGAGGTAAAATGATGGGAAGCAAAGCTCGCAAGTCATTCCAACAATGAATACCTGAAAGAGGGAGCTCCAAGCTGCCACGAATTGGATCAACAAAGGAAACGGCTACCTCGGCGTCGACCTGCTGACATTGGGAAGGAGGAAAACAGGACAGCAATAAGCTTTCTCGAAGCTTGATCTCAGTCTTTATCACCAATCTTATCTACCGTTATTTTCACTCATCCAAAGATTGGTAGATAACCACGTTATAATAAAATCGTTCATTTAAAAATCCGTTTATCAGAACACCGGAAAAATTCAACCTGTTTGAAATTTGAGGGCGATAAATAATGCTGTGAGTAAATCGGTTTTTCCCCGTTTCACCTTCGTGCTCGGGTAGCCTTGAGGTTGCGTGCTTGTGTGCCTTCAGTATTCCACGCAATACTGAGTGACTGTTTGGGTTCGGCAGTTTTGTGTGCATGTGGTGTGCGCACAACCTCTTGGAATTTGCACACCTAGTGTGTTATACGAGCCGGATGACACAAGCACAGAGAGGGTCAACTCGCGAATTGGGTCAGCGGAGAGCGAAACGCTGAATTCGATCAGTCAACCATTACCCAGCCACTAACGTATGTGCTCGTCTTTTCATCAGTCAAAACAAATGCATTCATGAGCACTGACGGGCTTGGTCACGAAACCAAAACAGAACCGCTTTTAGCTCATTAGGAAGGAAATGTTTCATCTGGATTTTGGAAATAATATGGGCAAAAATGTGAATAGAAAAAGGAGAATGCAAATGAGATTAACCACGGACAGTTGATTCCCACTGACATCGATGGTGTTGAAAAGGAACCGATTTGCAATAAAGGAGAATCATTTGTACATAAACTTATCTTCAAACGCCAGAGCAGCAATGTACCACCTTCAAGAAGCCAGTCACGGTTCCACGCACAACGCTTTGAATTGGTAGCAACTTTTGGAACCTCGCTGCACGCCGTGTACCAAACAATGGCCAAGTCTCCAAAGTACGGATGCACTGCCTGCAAAAGCTCACTTTTTGTAGCTTACAACGAAGTCGTCAGTAGAGAATTGTATTGTTTGACTTCACATATCGACATGATGCATCGCCGTCACCGCAGACACACACACACACCCATCTTGCAGTGAATTAAATGGTACAAAGTTGGCGTCTTCCAAAACCACCACTGTATGGCGTATTTCATTTTTTTGCCAACTTCACCCCATGCGAAAGTCAGCTGATACTAAATCACATGCATTTAGCAGAACACAGCAAATTCGCCTGTCTCTTAGACAGGACGGCATTTGGATGCAAACAGTACAAAGGAAATTAATGATATTGCCAATCACTGGAATTCAAAGTTACTTAATAGGAGGAAGAGGAATAAGAGTAGTCCCTTCTCTTGGGTAATGATGTTTTGAGGTGGCGTGCAATATGGAGGGAACGTTTTCAGTCCTCCGCTAACACTAGTCACTTAGCCCATACCGCCATCAGGGGTAACTCAAGTGGCAAAACGGTATGGCACCAGAAAAAGGCAGCTTTCAGTTATGCTTCGAAGAAGGCTTATCTTCAAATGGATCGGCTAATCACCATGTCAATGCCTTGGAAATAAGGAACCATGTGCCAATGGCTAAATCTATGGCGTAGGTTCACGACAGGAAGGATCGCTAATACTAGGTCAACTTTGAGCATCTACCCCTGTCCCAAGTTATGTAACATGACTGAAGGTGTTTAACCTCACAACGGAAGCGTTAAGACGACTAAGACGAGATGTAAAAAGGTGGGCGTTAAAGACTTAGCTCGCTTCAGGATCTACTGTGAATTAATAGTCGGCTGGACAGGGGCAAAGTCGTCCGGTGAGAAAAGATGTCCATCACCTAACCTTAAAAAGGAGAAATTCAGGCTAAGCCAAATTTTACGCAGAAAGAGAAATAAGGGAAGGCCAAGAAATCGTGAAATTACTTGACATCATCCGTTAGATCTTGCTGTGAACATAGAAAATGTGGGATAAAATCCTTAGAAATTTAAAAACTGAAACAATTTGTATGAAAAGTTAACGTCTTGTCGTATAAACTAAGGTATGATGATTTATTATTAACGCAAAGCCGAGACTAGCCCAGACAAATGAGTAGGTAATATAAAAATGACAAATGATAAGACCTTATAACGAAACTTTGGGAAATGAGGCTTTATTTTGGACAAATACTTCTACGGAAATCGAATGGCGCGTAAAGTTTGCTCACTGAAGAGCATCAGACGACCTTTGTCAACCGAGTGTGTAACAGATAAACTCCATCGAAATCTTCAGGCTGTACCTCTTTTGGTGGATACAACGGCCTTCTCAATGTGACGGGAATCGGCACATCAACTCCAGTCCAAATCCAAGATAATGTTCAGAACGGGACGGAAAGCATTTGGCTTCGACAAACCGCCCTTCACACCCTTCTCTGAGTCAATCACAAATCTACTTACAGATCCACATGCTTTGTGACTTGAAAGTAAATCTGGAAAATGTTCAACATCCGACCTTCGATAAGAGTATGGCCTCTTTCAACAGTGCTTTGAAGATAGATCCACCAGGCACTACGAATATTTGAATCTCCATGGATCGATCTAGGGTCATTTGCGAGAGGAAGGACTAAAAACACACACACTTTGTAGAGGGTAATCTTGAATGAGCTATCGAGTAATCAAGTGAGTGTTTTCAAAGCTTGCCAAATGGTTAATTAATAAGGTGTCGATTATGCATGCATGCAGGCATGCATACACCCCAACACCTTGGCTCCCGTATTAAGAGAGGCGAACCGAGGTAAAGTAGTGTGAGGTGGGAAGGAGGACTTACACCAATATTCCACGCCGTTAAAGCCCTTTCTTTCAACTCTCGGGTGGTGATGCTGGGACTCAGAGGAAGGTACTTGTGGACACACTGCAAGAAAAAAAAATAAAAACGGTAGTGTGGGGTGCTGTCTACTTTCATAACTGCATTAAGAAAAAGACAGAAAATATCATGAATGGTTCATCCCATGTTGATGAGTAGGTATGGAAAGATCGGAGCAGAAACTGAAAGCTTTGCGACAAAAGACGTACACATTGGTCAATGCACGCAAATCAAAGATTTGGAGGCGGCATTACCCCATCGCTTTCTGTAACAAGCACTTTTTGTCCAAGGCGTAGGCATCATTTATCCCGATTTCATTTTCATGTTTCTTACAGAAGTGGAGTATTGCATACTCTCAAGACAGTTAAGCCAACGGTTATTCATCACAGAATAAGTACATGTCCCCGTTCCAACAACCTTTTGAAGGCGCTGTTTGCCAAGATGAGGAAAATTTGTGTCCAACCATAAAAATCTACCCCATATTGCATCCTGATGTTGTGACAAAGTAATACTGCCCGATTTTATGGGCTAAATGAAGGGAGAAAGTACTTATAAAGTACACTTCTTACATTAACAATTTAGCATACTGGTTTACGACCATGATTTATGTAGTATCACTGATAAGGTGTGTACTAATCACAGCTTTATCGCGCTTTTTAAAGAGGCAAAATACTCACTTTTTCGGGGGCAATTCCGTTCACCACTTTGACTTGAAGTATTTGATTCGCGAAACAGCTCTGAATTTGTTCCATAGATCTGCAACAATCAGTGAAGAACTTGTTTAGGAGTGAATATAACAGCAATAAGAAAGCGAGAAGGAGTTCAAATAAATTGGAGCATTTAATCTGACAGGTGTAAAAGGCATGTTGCCTTGGCGGTAAGCACCTCGGGTTATATGGCGCGGATCTGTTGAATCCGGACCAGGAACTGTTAAGCTCGAGGGTGGACAACAATGGTAGTGGGTGCACGTGCGGTAGAAAAACCAAGTTTTTTTTTAGTAAAAGGTACGAAACTCCAGGCTGAGACCACCTACGCGATCAAACGACAGTGACATGACGTGAAGCCGTCTGTAGGTAAGACATTTGAAAGGATGTACCGACTCAAAGAGATTGCTCTTCTCGTATAAGCGAATAGGGATTCGTCTAACTGCAAAACTAATCCCCTTTTCTGATAATAAAAAGAAAGAAGTAATCTCTAAAAGGAAGAAATCAGCTTTCCAAACCAAAGCAACGGGGACTATAGTCAAACATTCAGTTTGCGTGCATGCATAAGAGAAGGCACTAATTGTAGATTTACTGAGTTCGTATAACTGAGGCGCTTCCATGTCACATCAACAGATTTACTACCTCAACTGCTTGTCAAAGCAAACAAACAGAGCTTCAAATAAACTCCTTTACCTTTTTTTCAATTTTGACCGATCTTCGAGTAAATTTTTCCCAATTTGGAGTGAATTACCGTTCTACTGAAAAAATTCCAACTCTAATCTCAGGTGAGGAACCAAGGCGGTGTCTTGTTGGAAAGATAAAGCTGTCGCCCTTGTCAGAACCTCAAAGACAAATCATGAAATCAAGATTTGTTTGCATGCCTCAGAAGTTGATTGTAGTGACCTGCTGAAGATAAATCGTCACTGGCATGCCTCAGCATGAATTTGGCAAGGGGGAATTCCAAGGCTTTGTAGAGAGAGCGTTGATTTTTGGATGTGGCTGGATAAATTACGAGAGCTTACCATTGTGTGTATTTACAGGGCGCGGCACCCATATTCCCCCTCTCCTTCCCCCAAACATGACAGAGAAGTATGGACCTCCGAAGAAATGGAGATGGTTAAGAAGTCCAATTGCAGACCTGATTTAAGAACTCACAAAATGATTCCACTGCCGATGCAGAAGGATTGCTCCAACGTTAGCTACCATAAACACGAACTCAGTGTAGAAACGCAGAAGAAGGTTAAAGTAAACCCATCGGACTATTTTGAATGTAGACAATGGATGGACGGATGGATACGGGGTGGGTAAAATATGCAAAAAAATTGTACGTTTTTATGATACAATAAAAATTTGGTAGCGGAATTCTTGAAATATCACATTTGCTGTCGCGACCACTGCAGCAACCTATTCTACAATCCAAGTGAGCCAAAAGTCAGTTATTAATACCACTTTTACAGGAAAAGAAAACAACCCAGCTCTAATCACTTCCTTTCCTATCTCGCTTTCATCACGAAACTGCTTCCTCCAGTTTCGATGCCACAAAAAGGTGATAATCACTTGGAGAAGTGTAGTCAAAGTGGATACAGCAGATGAGAATAGGGACTAGGCAGTATCCCTCCCATCCTATCCCAAAAGGAGGCGGTAGTGGTACGGGGTATTGCATCACATCGCCTTGTCTTTCTTCAAACCGATGAGCTAGTTTTGACTGTTTTGGAAGAGCCGGTTTCTCGGGCACAGATAGACCTCGAGTGTGCTGTATAGCTTTCAGTAGTAACAGAACTCAGGGCGAACAGTTTCATTTGCAGGCCCATACACAAGAGTAAAAAAACAATCCTGGGGAGGTGAAATTGTGTGCCTTAGTAAGTAGTATAATATCATCTTTCGCCTAACGCCTGCCGAATTGGAGTAAAAAATTAATCATCTCACACTAAAAATCTGTAAATCAACAAACGATCCAAAGTCTACGACGTGTTTTCATAACATAAAGTCAAGAAGAGGGAACTGACAGACCTTGAGGTCCACTGTCTGTCATCTTTCATTGCACGCTATGTGAATGCGACCCATTTGCTCAGCTTACATGGCTTTCCCTCTAGTTGATGTGGTGGTAAACAATGGTTTTCATAGTCACCGCTCCTAAGCGTCACCTCCACTAAAGTTATTAACGCGCTAACATCACATTAAATCAATTGATAAGCAGCAAACAATTCATCGTGATCAAGAATAGAGAATCTTTAAGAGCGCGGTGCGTCTATCATTGAGTAAATTACCGCCAGAATCCAATTCTTTAAACCATTTCCAACGGTGCCTTCTACTACAACACCTAATCCAAATGATGCACCAACATCACAAGGAGCTCCTACAACTTTGGAATTGAGTTAAACGCATTTCCATAGAGCAGACAAACTCGAAGCAACGAGAATTTTACCGAAGTATTCTATTTTATGAAGTCATATAGTGTGAGTTTAACTTAAGTTTCTTGGAGCTCGTAATTTGAATTACTTATGCAAGCAGCTCCGATACAAGAGTAACTTCAAATCTTCATTAAAAAAAACGACTTACGTCTGGAGATAGTTACGCCACTCGTTGAAAGAGCGCACCTCACTGAATACCAGCTGGCATCGATTGCCTGGGGGCCACCAGAGACTGAGTCCCTGCCTCGCCTCCTCACAACCCGACGCCGCGGAGCTATTCTCACTCCCCGCCTCCATCTCCTCCTCCGTGCTCGCCGCGGAGGAGATGCCCGAGGAAGAGGAGTACAGCACTGGCGGTGTCAACTTGATAATCGGCCCTCCGCCCACCAACTCGCAGCCGGCAGAGGAAGTGGTAGAGGGAGCAGAAATAGGAGTGGTGACACCAAGGAAAGTGAGAGAGAAACGGGCAAGAGTTTCAAAGACCCCTGGAGTCCAGTTGGGTGGTGGAGGGCTGTTGATGGCGGTGAAACCACCTGAGCTAGCGTTCCACTTGGTGTTGCTAGTGCTGCTGGCGGTAGAAGTCTTGAAGAGGCGGCATTTGGAGGCAAGGAGAAGACAGTCAGTACAGAGGAAGGCGCAGACCTCCATGGGACTCTCCTGACCTTGGCATAAGGCGCTCTGTAGAAAAAAAGGAGGGGAAAGGAATGTCTTAATCTCTAGCAACGGAAAGAGGGGTTTCACTGTGCTGAGACGGGGGTATTTCCGTGACTTCTTCCTATTTATGGGTTTGAATATAAAAACTCGATTGTAATTGGAAAAGGTAGAAAGCCGGCTTAACTGACCACATTCAGAACTGGTGAGTTACAAAGTCGCATTTTCGTGGCACTGAGGTAAGAAGTTCGAGTTATTAAAAAAAGTACTCTGTAAGCAAAAGTATTTACTGGACGCATAACCTCAAGACGAGGCATAACTTACAAAAGTTGCAGTAGCTGGAGTTTCACAAAGGAATTTACGGTAGGCTGAAGTCTTCTGTGCCTCATTTGAGGCACAAGGCATTGTGATTGGTAGGAGATTCTTCAGTCTAGAATTTGACAGGAAGAATTTGCAGATGAGTAACTGAATTGACAAATGATCACAAAAAAGAGAATTCCTTTCGACGAATCAACCGATTCGGCACATCCAAAGTATTGTCGCTCGTCCAAAAATCTTTTATTCCCGTAAATCTACGTCGTGAAATCTCTAATAGGCCTTAGTCGAAAGAGTTGCGTTAGTTTCTCCGTTGTTATGTACTGAAAAATATTAGGTTTCACAATTTTTTTTAATGAATAATCTTGATAAACGAAGAAAGAGTAGGATTGCGTCTGTTATCGCGAAGTGACAGCTGTCACAAATGGCACCACTACTAGCTTTTCAACTCCTGCAAAAAAAATATGATTTAAGGATTGCGTGGATTAGGTCGAAAAGTAGAAACTTTGTCAGGTTTTGTGTTGAAAGAAGAAGTACAGGAGAACCGTCCAACTCAAATCGGGATTTCCGATTTTTTACCCGTGAGAGGGGACACTGCGTGAGCCAATAAAGGGCACTGGCAACAGTAGTAGCGTCTAAAATCCACGGATGGCCTTGTCAACAGAAAATCCCAAGAAAACCTTATACAATGATGGGGCGCTCAGACACTCAGCAGTATGTCCTTCAGTGACAACATCTCCTGTGGTAGATTCCAGGTCGCAGCAGTCATTGGCGTGAACGAACGTCCAGTTCATGAAACCTCTGATCCTGGATTACCTGATGCGTGAGCTATCAGTTCACCGCAAAACATCAATCTTTCACGAATATTTACACTTGCAGCAAGTTTGCCACGCTGAAATATGTCCCAGGATTGATGGATCGTACCAAAAAATCTTTCTCTTTCACAGCTTTCCAGACATCAGTGAAACGTTGTAATAGTTACTTTTCAAATAAAACGAGGTGTCGATTTTCATCAAGAAATAAATTAAGAGGATGAAACGAAATGGTAAGCAACCGACTTACGAAAACAATCGCTCGTTGTGACCGGCTATCAAAATTGCGCTCACCGGGTTGCCACGAAGTTCATCCTTCTGAAATCAGAGGAAAGCCTAAATGAATGTACACCTTTTTCCCACAATGCAAGACCGATAAGTAATAAATTACGATCAAATGAAAAAATACCGAATTACCCCAGTAATGTCGGTTTTTCTCGCTTTGTATTCCCCCGTGGCACGTTGAAAACCACATTTTACCAAGATAAACCTACCAGCGCACCAGAATAGAGATTAGGCGCTACTAATTTAGATTTGGAAGCACTCTAAGCTTAAAGTAACTAGCACTCGAGTATTTGTGTTAATTCTGAGGTTGTGAAGGCCAAAATTAGTCCTACGACTCCACTCACCATTATGGCCATGAAAGCATCGCAAGCCTGAAGAAAGGCGGTAAAATCGGCATGGAGTTCCTTCAATTCGGCCTCATATTCACATTTCAGCGAGTTGCCTTGAGTAGTCAAGCGTCGTGAGTGTCGTCCTTTTCTAGCTGCCTTGTATTTTCGAAGTTCACTCTCGCAAGAACTCTTCACTCCCTTCACCCATTCGGCAGTTACTTTGAGCTCTGCCAGGTAATCGGAGACGCAATGGACCTGATAGTTGGAAAAGAGGGAAGAAACGTTCAATCGAATGAATCTAAACTCTACGGTGATGATGAATGCCTGCTAGTCATCTGGTAGTGTCAACAAAGTTGTTAACGGGTTGTCTACCTTTTTAACAAATACTGAGTACACATTGGTGTGGTAAAATTATTAAAAAAAGGGAATCTTCTTGAAGAATGTCTACTGTTCAACACAGAATATTGGCGATTTAAATAGCAGGCCCGTCACATCTTTAATATCAAGGTAGTGAACAGGATATACAATGACTTCAGTGCGCCATTGGGATGTCTAACGACAGAGATTATGCCCCTTAAGGGGACGCCCTTTTAACAAGTGTGCAATGTCTACGAAATGATTGTTTAAGTGCTTCCTGCTCATAGAGCGGTGCCAGAAACCTAGAAGACATGGTTACTATGTTCAGCATGTCCCATCATAACGCAAAGGCCGGTTTGGTCAGGGCCGACCGCCTACGCAGAAATTCATGAGAACACGTCTACTCGCCTCGTCGTGTGTAATGTACAGCGCATACCTAATGGCGACGCTGTCAGTGAACGCCTACTGAAGTTGCTGCCGTGTCTAATGAATGTCTAGTTCCTAATGTCTATGGCAAATGGAAAGCTTCTACAATACCGTCAAAATGTTCACCATTCTCGAAGTTTATGCCTGGAAATTGGATTTAAAAATATATTTAAAGTGAAAAAAACTATTATTGACCGTAGTTTTAAAGTACCAAAAGTGCATTTCGACTTATTTCTTGAGTAGATGGAAATGAAAGTGCTCAACCATCTTTAATGGTCTACGATCTTCAATGTAATTTAAAAGTTATTGCCCATAGGATGGAATGTTTACGGCTCTTTTGGGAATTATGCACAAGCATTCACTAATTCCGAATGCTTGCAAGGTATAAGTAGAGGATTGAGGAAAAATGATATTTACCGCCTCTTAAGAGTAGCAAATTTCGGTTTTCACCTACGAATTGACATTACTTCGACAAGATTTGGAGTTTAGCCTACCAAATATTTGTTTTTAGACAGGTGATCACCGATATGTCAAGTCAGAAGCCAGTAGATTCCACTCTCAAGGTATCACTACTTATTTCTAGTGAGTCAATAATTGTTAAATAATCATTGCCTGTCAGGGCTAGGTGAAACAACTGACGCCTGAAAATTAATGCAACAATTTTAACGATTTGATGACGATAACCAGTTCTTTTGTAAGTTTATTTCATACTGGCTAGAATTACCAACTCGTAAGAAAAGTTAATTATCAGCTCGTTACATTCGGGCGTGGTAGTCGTTGTTGTCAACCCACCCTAAAAGGAGTCCTTTTTCTTGTAAACCAATCAAGGCAGTTTACATAGTAAGGCAATAGAAACAAAGGCTAGATAAAAAGGATGGATTTGGATGTTTTTCAAGGTTCAATAAACACGTAACCTGAGAAGGGCATGAAACACGCGCTACGCAGTTTAAAATATATCCAATAATACCAGATAGAGAAAAAAATTTTATAGCTGAATAGGTCCAGATGCTTAGGGTTTCTTTGTCCAGTACACTCGCATTTGCTATCAAACACTCAAAGTAGCGTTTATGGAGGCCTGGTGAAGTAACAATTGCCTCCAGGCCATTCGGAAGACAAATAGTAGGCTTCGGTTTGCAAAAATCGACTCCATTACATCTACATGCACCCTTAAGATTGATGGTAATTGTTTGTAAGTTAATTGTTTTGAAAAAAAATTGAGTAATTGAAGTCACTGAAAGAAGTATGCACTCCGCTAGTTAGAAATACTCTACCGAATATTCCAGCTTATACCTTTCGAGGTGTTTTGAGAGAACGAATAAATGGTTCTCAAGAAAGCTTACATTGAATAAGTCGCCTCTTTGCATGCGACTGCATGTGGTCACCACAAAAGCCGGCGTAGACCAACGATCCTCCAAACTTCCAAAAAAGGTAATTTCCGTATTCTCGTAGATGTTGACAGAAGTTGAGGGACTGTCCATAAATTGGAGGAGGTTGGAAGGAGTCGAAGACAGTGGAAGGAGTCGTGATATGGTTGTCAGGAGGTTGGGTCGCCTTTCCCGGGACATGGAAGGCCGCCGTACCTTCTCCCAACTTCCTCCTTCGTAATTCCCATTTCCCCCTGTCCCGTCACCATCTCCGTCTGCGTCGCCTTCTTCGTCCTCTCCCCACAAATTCGACATTGAAATATCGATGAGTGAGCGGGATTTTATCGGCACCTGAGGGGATCCATTTGCCACATCTATTTCGTCGAAACCTCCGCCCATGGAATCCACATATTCTCCCAGGCCTAAGGGGCCCGTATACCCTTGTTTTCTTCCCGCATAGCTGGCTCGTTGATGCGGTGGAGGTGACGGGTTTTGATCCAGAGTTACTACTTTCCCCGAAGTAATTGGTGGGGCTGATTCTCGAGTTGCCGAGATATTCCTGTACCACTTGATGATTCGTGAAATGGGCATTAAGCCACCACCCCCACCGGCACCAGCATTATTACCCTGATTTCCACCGCTCTCCTTATCAAGCTGGGTCAGATTGTTGATACTTTTAGCACTTCGAGTGGGCATATCGATCCGTGAGCGTCGTAGACCGGCAGGAGTCTTGGCAAGGCCCTCATGAACCGACTCCACATTGGATCCCTTAAAGCGTCGTCTCCTGGCCCGATTCTCACGATTCCGCTCGTAATTCCTACCCACACTTTCTGTTGGCATCCTGCCGCCTAATTTTTGCTCTCTCTCTCTGATAGTCACGGTCGCGTGAAATGAAATGGTGAAAAGAAAGAAAGGGCGGTGAGCTCGTGTATGGGTTTGCCTGCTCCGGTTGAATCATCAACGCTCACACGGTTGAAGCGCGCGTTATAGGCACTAACAGCACGCATGTGCGTCAATGCCCACCCCGATGTGCGCTGTCATTGGCTGTCAGTCTGCGTGCGTGTGTGGAAGTGCAGCGCTTTGATGGGTGCACGCACCAGTGCACACGCATTTGCGAATGCCATTATCGATCGCATCCACGCTGGGTCCTGCTGAATGGTGAGCGTGCGTGTAATTCATTTGTCCACCGTGCCGCCTCGGTAATTGAATTAGACGCGTGAGACGGATGAGTCATCCCGGTTCAACAGCCTCGGGTCGTTGCATGGATTTGTTGGTGCAGTTATTCACAGGAGAATTTAGCACACCCCACCCCCAGCACACTGCTGAGACAGTAATTCTGTCGCATTAGGTATGTGTGCGTGTGTGAGCACAAGGAGGCCGTTAATACGGCTACAATTTCTCTCCTTGAAGTCTAGCTTCAGGACACCAGGAATGGGGGGAAGCTGAGCTAAGGGTGCAATTAATTGAGCAATATTGAGGCTGGAATCTCAAATAAAACCAACCGAATATCATAGTCCGGTGCTTTAGTTTCGCTACTTTTTGGTAATTAAGGTTCCAACTGTAGTTATAGGGGGGTAGTGACTCCAACAGAGTTCCACATTGGACAGAGACCTGAGCAGCCAATTGAAAGATAATGTAGCCGACACAATTATGGCATGCAAATGTTTGGTTCAACTGGAAAAGACAGATTTTTTTGCGTTTATCATTGCCTTACTGCATAGTCATATTGTTGGCTTGTGTGCTGGAGGTTGTGGAATCCAGACAAGAGCATAAATTCGTTTCAGTTGTGCATTAATGACTGGATGAGGACCAATTGCCCAAGGAGACCCGATTATGATTAGCTTATAAGTACTTTGTCCCCATAAATTCAGTGAGATATTTTACCCCTGGTTAATAAACGATTGCACAACTGACAAGCAATGCCAAATACAATGCAAGAAATAGAATAAAAATTGTACTATTTTGACCCAATTAGGCATATTAATGTCGAAACCATTGGTTAGTTTTGGCCTCATTCCTCATATCCTTTTGGAGTAAATTGCTGGTATAATGATAGAAATACGTTTTTCGTTGGTCATATTTAATGAACTAAGGTGGTTACCAAACTGCTTATTCTTCAATGAATTATGGTGCCACAAACCTAGCTGCGTACCACGGCTTGCCAATTTATGATTGTTCATAAAATCTTAGAGAAGGGCATCTCCTCCTCCAGAAGACAAAAAAGAGCGCATGCAAATGAGGCTGGGGAAGTTGACGACTGCATTGGCAGTGCGTTTGCAGGCAATAAAAAAGCAGCACACAGGCGATCGTCATATGTGTGGTTTCATTTGCATGTTTAAGAGGCCCCTGACATCACCCTGTGAATTGTAAATCCTGTTTTGGTACAAAATCTTCACTCAATCACAGCCACACCTACTGAAGGGGAAGGAGTTGTCTGGGCCATTCCACTCTCTCGCACCCCTTTTTTTGCCTTTGGTATCGGCGCACGAAAGGGAGGTATGGGGAAGAGAGTGACTGAGAAAAAAAGAGGGTAGAATAAATGAGTGAATGGAGCCTTTAAGGGTGAAAGGCAACGATTTTTATCGGACTGGGTCATGAAAAATGACAACTTTTAATCCAGCCAATGAGAAAACGGCGACCGATTGAGGGGATATCGATTTTGCACAAAGTACATCAGGAAATTGATAAGCGACAGCTGACTGGTCGATAAGATACCAAGAGCGCTCAGCTGGGTTAAGAATGGAAAAAAACGGCACTTGGAAGGCGCATTTTCACACCTTTAGAATGTTTCCAGTAAATTGTAATCACCTGATCTTCGATTTAATTTTAAATGCCACTAAAATTCTTAGGATTATAAACGAATTACCTACTATGCTGAGTGAAATTACCAAATTTACGAATCGTTCTTAATCAGATTATGTTCGAACGGACTTTTAATTTGTCAGTGAAACAGATATATTCTTACGGTAACATACTTAGATTTTAGCTACTCTCCCATGCAAAGAGCTGATCATGCCCACTACAATTCATTCGACGGGGAAAAGCTTCGAGTGTTTTTTGAGGCTTTGTGAGCAAGTGTCTTGCTTCTGTTAATAACTTTTACTAAGAATAGTAAACACAATCAGTAATAGAGCCAGATCTGTTTAAATTCTCCCACTCAATGAGATGGCATTAATAAGAGTATGAGCGGTTGATTAAATGGGTTATAATTAACTTAAGAATGACAACACCCCTAGTTCGATTGATGTTACTGGCTATGAACAGGTAAAGGAGAATGAACTCTCCTTCATTAAACGAAACAGGCTGACCACAAAGTTTGTGCGTAATTTTTAATTGATTTAATGCGTGCATTTTACTAGGTAAAATCATTCCCTGAGGTATGGGAAGAGAGAAGGAAGTTTAAATGATCCATCAATTTTATCAATCTGTTTAATTAATATGTTATTTCATGTATTTAGCAGCGTTGCAAAAAATGGGACGATTTCTACCCCACCGACAGAGATGCTGAGAGCATCTGCATCACTGAGGCAAAGTGACTGTTGTACACTCCACAAACGGGGTGGATTTTTCCCTGAAATAAAAGAACTTTTTAAACATTGTATTATTACCTCACTATTTATTCTATTTTTCTACACTGAAGGCATTATTAAAATAAAATCTTTTTCTGTCACTTGAACACGCAAAAAAGTTCAATTATTTGCCCCCTTTTAAACGTTTTCCAGTTAGTAGCCTATTTAATTGTAAATTCCACTAGATTCGAATGCTAATTCCCAACAAGTGTAGAGAGATTATGTGCTTACATTGAAACACAGTAGAAGTCCACTCATTAAGGCAAGAGGAGTTGTCAACTTCCAAAATTTTCCATACTGTTTAGACGTAATACTACATTACCTAAGCTAACACGTGCTCACCTTCTCCAATTGTGTACAACTATCCACAAAGTTGAAATAGGTCCTTGAGCAGGTAGTCATGTGTCTTTGTGCTGCCATTTCACTTATACAATTGCATACGCATAATGATTTGATGAATGAAGGGAAGTATTATAGCATTCGAGTTATCCCTAAAGAGGTTATAAAAGTTGTGCGCATAGGGACGGGTTTGCCTAAAATGTATTGTAAAATTAGCGAATTAACGGCGAAGGTGGTGTGAGCGGAGTCACATGCCGCTGACAGTTGTGTGGAGAGCTGAAAGGCCAACGTGGCATTATGCATGTGTTGTTTCCGCGACTTGTGTCATCCCAGGCATACTCATAGACGGTCAGCGCCACCATACGCTAGTATGTCTTATTGCCTCTTCAGTGCCGACTTGCAGGTGACATATTTTTGACGTCGGGATATTTCACACCTAAGTGAGGCTAGTGTCAATTGTGTCAATGGGAGACACAATGATTATCTATAAAAGTAGCGATTAAGGCTATGATTTGAGGCGATAACATCATTATGACTTTGCTATGGAACATGATTTAGTGCAGTTCACCTTGCAGAGGACGCAGCACACAAGAATCACCATTAAATTTCCAGTGTATACGAGGAGAGAAGAATTTGATAAATTTCTCCCCATTATGCTTTTCTAATCATCTCAGTTTCTGTCTCAGTTTTATTTGCAAATAACAGGAAGGCACGTTATAATCGAAGCCAAAATGAAGGAGACTTTGCATTTAATGCGTAACGCCGCAGTCTCACCAATATATGCAGTTTAGTTCGTTACTTTGGTACCATGACGTTCTCCCCATGGCAACAGTCTCCCATCCTATTTGTACGTTTGTGAAAACAACATTATTATTTCTCACCGAATGAATTGGAACACTAGACAGATTGAACAAAGGTTATTCCGACATAGCTTAAAGCTCATCCGTGTGAATGCTTCGTAGAAGTGTCTTAGATTGGAGTGGAATGAACTTAGGAACACAGATTTTGATCCTACAACGAGAAGACTATAGAGCCATTCATCCAGTGCGGTCTCGATTGGAAAACCAGAGCAAAAATGAGACTGGAAATTTCGTACTTCATTGACTAATTGTAGGAACTTCTACCTACAATGTAGTTGTCTGCCTGGGTTATTTTTAAGTTTGTGTAAAACCTTTAGACATATTTGCTGTTAGTAGATGCCTTTCCTCTATAAAGACCAGTCGATCCCTTCCAAAGGAATCTCGCTTCAAAGCCTCAGCAAAAGTGACTATGCCTTTCTGGACTTAGTCCACCACGATATCAGCATAGGTTAAGAGGTCAGTAGCATGGGTAGTATGAACAGAGATTCACAGCACCAGCGCAAATTCCAAATCTCGGCAGACCAAGTATAAAAAAAGCAGTGAAAAATCGTTTGTATTCACCTTACCTTTATTGCATCATTTATGAAATTTGCACATTAAAATTTTATTTACCATAAGGGATGTTGTCACATCACTCTATGCTGGTTGTAAGTGCCCCCTCCCCCACTAGTCTTATAGGCACGTTAGCAATAATTGACATCCCACAGGATATTGCAAAAATTCACCTCCATTGCGGTAAACACAATCAGGAAAGCCCTTTCGCTTTTTATTTCTTAGAGGAAACTCAACTTTTAGCAGTCAAGTAATAGACTTAAGATGCAGGCTAAAAGTCCCATCTTTGCCTGCTATCAGGCTATGGAGATTTCTTCACCCTACTTTGTCAGTAAGCTGTGTTCTCAATCTCAGTGACAGGAAGGAGGGGGTCACACTACTATCAACCACGAAGCGTCTGTCACAGCACTGAGAATGACCATGTCTTAGTGGTGATGGCTCACGTTGAAATTCATCACTAAACCTGAAAGCATTTAATCGAGTCAAATTTGCTTTGAATGATTAGAAAAGCAGTCTATTGAAACTACGAAGATAGCATCCTGCCGGAATCTCCTGTCATGAATTTTATATTATTTGACACGGTGTGCATAGGTAGTTCAGGGGAAAACTGTAGGAAAGGAAACAGTCTGTCTGTACAGCTTTTCTTGCTCTTGAAATAAGAATCACAACCATATAAAATCTGTGGAGCCTCTTAACATAATTGGAGGAAAGTACTTTGGACAAATCATCAATCATCAACACTTTGCTAATGGCAAAATCTTAAGCATCAGCATTACTGCAGCACAAAGTCACACTCAATGTCCACAGACAAAAAAGATTAAAAGGGAGTGGTCAACTTCAAAGAAAAAAGGCAAATATGGATGGAAAGGCTCCGGATAGATGGATGGATTCGGAAAAAGGATAGACTTAAGCTGTCCTAAGCCCTCTTTAAAATAATAAATCGGAGGGAATACCTGGTGCGTGGTGGTCTGTTGGTCCAAATGCAGCAGTACTTTTTCATCACATTTCTCGGCAATCTAATGATGGGAAGAGGAATGGAACGGAATGGAGACAACACCAGCCTATACACAGATCTGCCAGTCACATGCAAAATAACAGCTTCCTCAACAGAATTCAAAAATCTCCCACTCGGTGTTTTAAGCACATCAAAAGATTTTTGTGAAGTGTCTTGCAGCCTCCCTTACATTCTAGTCGTGTTGATTGTTTGCTCCATGGTTTGAAAATGAAAAGAGGGCTAAGCAGTGCTGCCACTTCGCTGGCTTCTTTAACCACCCCTTCTTCCGACTCTGGACGAGTGGCAATCCAGTAAGGGAGTGCAGTCTGGAACGAATTCGTGAAAGGAAAGCAGAGTGAGAGATTAACACTTGGATAAACAAATTATACAGCGAGTTGACCGAATGACTAGATAATTGACCTCCTTTTTGCCCTCTTAACTACCAACTATAACTTATGCCGTAGGATAAAACACTTCACTTGATGCCTTAAGGGGAAAAGCATTCCTTCTAGATGGAAAAAACGCATTTAAACCGCCATTCTTTGCTCTCCAGCGGATTGGATCGTTTCTCCAACAATAGCCGTTAATTCAGCCCATAAATGGGAAAAAATTTTTATCTAGCATAACCTTACGGGGCTTCTATCGTACATTTAACTAGCAGTCTCGACCTCACTCACATCTACGAATCACAAATTACAATAATCACTTACCGCCTATCCGCTTTCCTGTCACTTTGCTCACCCCTTCGCCAGTTCAAAAGCCAAGAAACACATCCCTTTCGTTTGACCTAGCATTAGATATTTCCGCTTGAATCAAATTCAGCCAACACCTTATGAGGTGAAGGTATAGAGCACAAAAGAGTTTTGCACTGTTCCCTTGGTTAGTGTTTCTGGCACTTATAACCTCACTTTGTTCATAAATAACACTAGAGGAGACACCTCACTAGACCTAGGCACTTGAAATTTCCTACAAGGGTATCACATCAGTGCCAATGTGATACGATACGAATCTACGCGGACAACACGAAGAGAGGCAGAGGGGAAAAATCATCACTCTAAAAGAAGTGGAAAAAGTGGACGAGAGGATGATAAAGGTAGACACCAAGTGTGTGTGGGTGAGATGAGGACAGGACTGGAAACAATGGGGGACCAACGAGAGAGTGAAGTGTACAACCTCACTGCATTAATTACTTAGGTTATCCAAATAGCTCCTCCTGAATGAGCAGAGGGAGAGATATAGCGGGAAAGTTCACGAAATCGCATAAAAATATCATTGTCATCATTATCCACATCATAAACTCATCAGAGTAGAAGAGAATGGAAAGAAGGAGAATAGGAAGAGGAGGTGGTCTACTGCAGCCCGAAGCCCTCCGTCTCGTCGATGGCCAGGGTCACTTTCTCCACCAAAATCTCGTACGACCGGTACGGTGGCAAGTCAAGGCGGTTGAAACACGTGTGACTAAGCGGTAGGGCGTTCTCCTTACCTGCGCGTTTGATTGTAAAGAGCTGCAGTCCATTGCTCCCTACATATGGATGAACGGATGGAAGGAAAAGGTCGCATGGATTAAAATAGGATCTCAAAAGTGTAAAGGCAGTGCTTGGAAGAAAAAACAGCCTACGCAGGTGTCATGGACCAGTACAGTCTAGACTAGACACCACAAATCGACATGGGAGCCGACTGGGATAATGTGTCCACAGAATAGTGTGTGGTGAAATCTCTGCCCGCCCAGGAGACTTCAAGAACAGATTGTATGGTGACGAGACTCTCAACCGGAAGAAGACATGAAGAGCGTAAAAGTCTGTACCTCAGTAACGATCTTTGCTGTGGACAAGTAAAGGCGCCCGATTTGGGCTATTCACCAGATGCCATTCTGGAACTACACCTCGAAGCGTCAATGAACTAACAAAGTGTTTAGCAAGGTGATGTAATAAATGCATCAACTGGGCAAGAAGATTCATTCCGACGGACAATTTTATTTCCACAACTAAGCCTGATCTTAGACTAAGACGGTGGACAACGAACAGCTAAAAGATGCTGTGGCGCATCGTACGGTGGTGGGTCATGCTTCCTCACAAAGAATGATGGTGCGATGTGATTGGGATCAATTAACCTAACTTGGTTTCCTTACCAAGGATGATCTTGATGGACCCGAATAACGCCGAGGTCATGTTCAGATGTAGAGACAATCCGAAACCTCGACAGATGTAGCGTTTGACGAGCTGACTAAGGAAATGCCCAGTGATCGCACACCGGTGAGAAGTTCGGCTTGACAGATGGCTTTACTCTCAACAGCGAATAACATGGCAGATCCAAGTTAGGGACATCCATGGAACTTACTCAGCCTTCTGCCCTACTTCATTTTAAATGCAGCTTTATAGCCGAAGGAGTGAAATAGATTAGTTTCATCGAAAGGGAAAAGGTACATTGTCAGGACTAGAACTGGGGAGTATTTCGTGATAAGATGTGACCTAATTATATTATTTTCACTCCCCCCTCGTGGAAGATACTCCGATGCATTCCATCAGGTCAGAAGGATAACTACAAAGAAACCCCACAAATGTGCGCTTAATTTCTCGACCCAAAGCAAAGCCACGAAGTTCCTCGATTATGCGCAATGTCGTCATACTGCTGAAAGGAAATAAGTAGGAAGGTTTGACGCACCCATGAGTTCTTTGAAGCCACCAACGGGTAAACGGCAGGTGCCCGTGACAAATTGCAGCAGACGCACTCGTCTCTCCGTGGACAGGGTTCGGACAAACTAAAAAAAGGCAGTAGAAGCAATAAGCGTCAACGTCATTACCAAACTCAAAGACCTCAGAATTACAATTTCATGGCATTCAAGAGAAGGCCTCCAGATTGTCGCATTTGCAGTACGTATAAGGAAAAATTCCGTTTCTCTTCTTTTTGAATAAAAGAAAAACGGATTGTCTTCCAAAAATTATATTGATCAGCACCCCCTTTCTGCCAAAATTTTAGCTTAATTAAAGTTACGGTTGTTAGTGAGTTCGTAAAGAGAGGAATCAGTTAGAATTTGATCATAGAAAGGCATTTTTTCAATCGTCTATACCAGTCTTCGTGAAAGGTGTCAAAGGTTTTCTTTCGTCAAGAGTATACAAGAGCTTGTGAGATCGTCTTGGCACACGAGAACCGGAGCATGAGGGTTCGCCAAATTGTGACAAACATTTGCACCGAGGCTGAGTCCAAAGGTGGTCCGGCAAAAAAAAGGGGTACAGGAGATAATGTATAGAAGGATCCGAAAAAGGCCTTCAGAAAGCGCAAGATGATGAATTTCTACGGCATACCTTCTCCATCGCACCGAAAGCGAGTGAGAAAATAGCTGGCGTAAGAAAAGTTCATGAGTTGTAGAACTGGCGAGAATGATTTATAAGCAATGAGAGTTGAACTTCAGAACAAGTATTTAAAAGTAGGCAAATTTTCTAGTGCTGGCTTTTATTCGTAGGAGAGGATTATATGGAATTAAAAAAGGGTGCTATGCATAAACGACGCTGAGGTCCGACGCGGCGTAGTTTTTCAAGCCACGTCAGCGACTTGAGCTGAGACTAAGGTAGTGAATAAGATGAAAGGCAGATGCGGTGGAAGAAAACCATGGATACGTCCATTCCCCCCACCTAAAACAACGCTATCAATTAGTGGCACCAACGGCAATTTTTGACACTTTACCACTAAGACAACACCGCAACGATTGAAATAAAAAGGCAAAGTAGGAGGATATACTCCTTCCTGGTAAGTGATTTTAATCTTGGTTCCATGTGAGCCAAGCGTCATGTGAGGGTGGGAGCTGAGGTGAGGCAAAGGTGGCTACGAAGTGGAGGAAAGCCTTCAATGATGAAGATGATCCACCTGAAACCCGAGCACCTTAAAACAGCTTAGGCGAAAGACGACTGAGAAGACAAGAAAGTGATCTCACAACGCATATGCAAGTTTCAGGAGAAAGACTAACCTTCCAGAACCAGACAATCTGTTTGCTCGAGACGGTGTAGTCCTTGTAATTCGTGTTCTGCTGCCAATCATCCACATCGATCTTCTGCAACCCACAGAGAATCATCTATAACAAGGAGATGGAATAGGCGTTTAAGGTTTCTTCAACTGATTGTCACCGGTTTCGCCCATCACCTTGATGTCATGGTATTCTGTCTGTGTTCTTTTGTATATTTACGGTATAATTCTACCCAGGACGTCTTGAGAGAAGACCCGAGGCGATGAATTGGTGACAACGACAAGCAAATTCAACCCACGTGAACGATAATCTCGAGATCTTTGGCCAGTCACCACGTTACAGGACAAAGGTACCAGCCAGGGATGGCTGAATGAATCTGTGAGGATTCAACACATCGACTTTTGGCAACTCTTGCTACAAAACGATCAGTAATGAATTGGGACCAGGCGCCAACAGGAAATATCTGACTTTGACCACAACGATCCATTAGTATCGGGTGGGAACCCAAGAGGCCTCCGTTACTTTGCCTGTAATAGCGATTGACATGCATCAAATACCTACCGTAGAACACGGCCCCAAGTACTTCCACCCCCTTCCCACCTTCCTGATGCAGTTCGCCTTAAAAATCAGGAATGCAAACCCATCGTACTACCGCTATTCCTACATTGAAGTTATCTACACTTCGCAGGAAGACGCCATGGCTGTACCAGAATCAACCATCTAGATCGCCGAGTACGATGACATGGAAATTTCTCTATGACTAGTCTTTCAGTTCTCCTACACGCAAATGAGAAACCTCCCTGTTTAGTGCCTCTACAAAAGACATGGGGCGGATAACTTCCAGTCATAACGTGTACACCATATCCGGTTGTTACACTTTGAGAAGAAAGTTTCTCGATGCTTAAGTAACAACTTTTCGCTTGTGCTCCCTACATGCTAAACAGCAAAGAACATTGCCATGGTGATACAATTAAGTGTGAGTTAGATCTACACGCTTCAATAAATCATGTCCATCAAGCGCATGAGCGCACACATTCTTCCTTCCTTATGCGCAAACCATAGCAACAAATAACCTTTTTAAGGGAATAGCTATTAAATGTTTTACCGATGGATGAGAGTTTCCAGCCAAAAGGATTGGCTGATTAGTATTGCAGAAGGAAATTCTGCTGTGGATGACTGAATGGGCAGAAACTTACGACGAAAGCGAGTATTTCTCAATTTTTACATAAGGATGATTGAGTTACGTAACTGTCTTGATCACCACAGCATTCTGCACTTACCACACCCGTGACCTCTAATTTTCCTGCTGTCATCGTAAAAAAGTGCCTCAAAGCATGGCCTCAAAATGCTTTGCTTTTGACATGGGGTGGCTGTACTAAGTTAGAAGATGATGTCTGCCACTTGACCTTTAGAGGTCCTGATCAATTGATAGAAAAGATTGTGATTGAAAAGGAGAATGAATTTCCGCAAAACCAGTCTATCTTTGCCCCAAATGTGAAATAACATGAGTTATTTATTCAATAACTTGTACTAATCTTCAAGCTGATTCTTTGCCAACCGAGCGTAAATAAAAGATCCATCGCCTTTGCGATGTAACTTCTGGTTTTCGGTTGGGAATCAGTCGCAAAAGACAAGGAAATTTATATCTAAAGTTTTTGGAGAGCCAAACCGACGAATGAGGCATTATACTTCCACTCTAAACAGATCGAGAAAAGAAAGCCGACTTCCGGTGAAGTGACAACCCCTCGAAACGGCTAGAAAAATGGCGACGTCACGTTCAAACTTCCAATGAGGTAAATCTTTAAAGATTGCAAGACTTAGGAAAATAACAAAATGAAGTTCAAAGTTCAAATCCGAATTAAACTGGCTCGACAACTTAAATAATGTAAGTAATAAACAAGCATCAGTCTATTAGGCGCAAAAAGACCGATTTGGTTTGAATAACACCCCAAGTGAGAGTGGACATTGCCCTGATATTTTAAGAGATGGGAGCCTAGCTTCCGCCTGACGCTATTGGGGCCGAGTCGACTGATCGTAACCACTGTGACAACAAAATGATTGGGAAGGAAGGTAACCAACAACAATGCAGCAGCAGCGACAGTCAACAGAGGGCAGATAAAGCAACAACGCATCTCGAATGTCGCAAAGTAAAGCACAACTGCTGTTTCAACTAGTGGAGAAGGTTTAAAGCGAACGCTTTATCTGTCCACCTGAACTGGTGTCTGTCTACCCCTTTCCCTATCTAACTCTCATTCTGCCTCTTTGGCTCTGTCTATTCTTCTCTCAGTTCGTATTTCTACCTTCCTGTACATACAACTCCCTATCGCACTGCATTCATCAATTCAAACTATAGAGAGTTCTCTTGAATCATCCAAACAGATATGAACAAGCTCTACAAATGCATCTTTTATCAATGACACTTGAAGCGAACGAAGGTATCCTGCTCTCTACTCGTGAATAAAACCACGCTTTCCTCATTTAGAAACCCGATAATCTAGTATCAAAATGCGTCCACAAAGTATCACAAACATAATTTCAAACAAATGCCTGGGTATTCCGGTTTCGTTTAACTCGTATTCACAATTAAAACTCCCTGATCTAGATGCTCTACATCCTCGTTTTATTCGTCAGAAATCAAACGCATGGCAACTGTTTTGCATTTTCAAATCAAATCCTCGCCAATGGCTCTCCACCACGACTAGAGAGATGGCACGTGGATGCAGGAACCCATAAGAGATGCACGGATGTAGAGCATAAATAGATGAATGCATCCAAGGTAGATGAATTGATGAATTTGGTATAAATGGATGAAAGAGTAGATATAAGAAAAAAAACCTACCTCTAATTCGCGTTCATCAAAGTACTGAAGCCATTGAAGTGGAAAGACATCGGCAAAACCAGCCATGAAGGCCTCCATTTGTTCCTCTGTACCCCGTGAGAACCGCCAGTTTACCATCAAACTAAACAAAACAAAAATGTCTTATTAATTTTTATTCAACAATTGAAAATAGATGATGGGCATCAATAATTAGGCCCAACCAATCAAAAAATGCAAATTTAAATTCACCGGTTCCAAACCAACTAACCAATTAGAAATCCGGATGAAGTATTCCCATTTTTTCAGAAAAATATGCATATAATGCATATTTCAAAACCTTAGCAGAGCAAAAAATGAAATTTCATAGCCCTGTTTGTATTTGTAAATAATTCGGAGAAAAATCCTACCGTCGTTCCAGTGGGTCAAGAACACAGCTTTGACCATCGTTAGAAAATGTAACCTTCCACTTCACAAAAAGCGCACACCCACCTTTGAATCAACCATAGCTCCATCCAGCAATCCAACTGACGAAAAAATTCCACACAAAGGTATTCTAATTGTTTGCCAAAAAATTAACGACGACTCCAATGTTGTACCCAAGATTACTGCCTCATAAAGCGCGTCCAATTGCTAAAGTGGTCAGCTGCATGACGTTGCTAATGCCAACTGACTTCACGATAGGACAAGCACACAAAAAGCCTCATTGATGTTTGCAGTGGAGGGTAAAGGTACCTTTGCCTAGCGCTCCACATTTCAAATAAACCACCACGTGAGGTGAGACGTGGCATAGATGTTCGTCAGGTCAACCTAAGCACACGACGCTAGGTGTCAGCTTTAAATGCCTGTTCACGGGGATCGGTCAAGTAAAAGCTAGAACCTGACAGTAAAACTCGCAGAAGATTAAAGTGCGTGCCCCTCGCTATGAACATTTACAGTCGGTAGAGCCACCGTGCACCAGTCCAGGCATGACTAACCGAGATGACAGGCGTACGTGAAGCGGCGTGTGGAAGTGAATGGAGTATCATGTGAACAAGGCCATAAAACAACGACCTGCCCGAAGACTTTGAGATCACTACGGGACCGGTGAGACGCTTGAATAGCGTAAACAGTTCATTCAAAACCAACCGCGTGTCTTTCATCTACAATCTCGGACGCGGCGGTTCCCAGCCTACGGCACAGTTACTCCTGCGAACATTTAGCCAGTGAGTGAAATGTCAAATCGTAAATACTCAGCACATACACAATCTGTTGTGGAATCGCGTGAGAAATGGGCCCTTTCCATGGCAGTGGTGAACACAGCCATTCAAGATAGACAGCGAAGTCGACTTGAAAAAACTTCACATTTTCGCAGTAAGTAAAGTCCAAAGGTGCCCGGGGTTCTTCCTGTTCAAATTCCTAGAATTTGCTAACTTCGTGGCTATTTTCGAGATCAATTTTGGAACTGCCTCTCGCCTACTCCCTCCTGATTGGCTGTAACCGTGGCAGCCGCACTTTAAGTTGGCAATTGGTCATTCTAAGCCCAAGGTCGATCAGTCACTACAAGTAGGCGTGACAAAGTAGACCAGGTGACTCGACTCAGACCAAGACGCATAGCCAGGCATTCTTCACTGATCTCTTTACTAACCAACCGCCACGAAACGATCCAGACGACTCGTGAGCATAGCAACTCCAGGTTATAACAACTGCCGACACGGTCTATAACAAACGCCGTTCAGGGAGGTCATAAAACGTGCCCACAATACTCTTGACAGTTGGATAATGAATAAATGAATCTGTTCCACCTTCAAGCAGCGTAATTACTTTTGTTTACAAAGTATGAACAGTGGATTGTGAGGGGCTGGTACATTCGAACTGCATAAGCAAACAGACGGGTGGAAGGACATGATGGAAATCACTCGAAAAAAAACGCTTGGCGAGGAACACCAGCCAGCCTTCTCTATTAAATAACCCTAAATCACGTCATCGTAGAACTAGATCCAACTGCTTTCAACCGGATTCATTTTCAGCCCAGTTATTTAGGTGTACGATATCAACATCAAAGAAAAAAAACGCCTACTTGTTAGCACACTTCTTGTTGCCAATCGCATTCACGTTCTCAGTAGCGCGAAGTACGTGGTAATCTGAAATGACGATATCGCCATCGCTAGAAGCCACGTAATCCTAAATTCGCAGTTCAAAAAAATGGGAGGAGGCAGAGCGATTAATCACCTCTGTACTCTATTTAATTAAAAACAAGAGGTGTCAAAATGCACACAACTTCGTAGAATTAAACGATCGCAGTCTACTTAGTTGCAATCCACTGATTGCCTTAGAGGAGATCAAAAACTTTTCATCCACCCTGCATTTAAAATAAGGCGACACCCAATTCGCCACCGCTTTCTTGTTGCCATTGGTTAAGCGCCTCAAAAATGCCACTCATTGCATTATCGTGTTTTGACCGAAAGCCGACGGCTTCATTGACTCTTTTGACTGCTACACAGATGGTTTTACGCAACATTTAGGAGTAAAAAAAATGAACATCGAAAATGAGGTTTTATAAACTCGGAAAATTTGAAGCAATGAATAGTCGTGTTCAGCTTTGTTGCGATACCCCCAGCCCCCTACTCTTCTACTGCAAAGCTTCATGAACCGCCAGCTCCCATGTTGGTACAACTGTTTTCGGACGCTGACATAAAAGTTTCGCCGTCGGTGCCATTTGAAAATATCTTCAGCTCAAAGAAGGGGCAGTTTCTCCTGTGGCCAGTGGATCTAGCACACGGGCTGACCGATTCACATGACGACGAGCTCTCCGACACAAAAGCAGAGATGTAAAAAACCGGGTTTTTATCATCTCTTATTAACGTTTATTTACATTCACAAGCAGCAGTAAATAGCAAGCGCGTTCTATTACCCACAGCCAACGTGCATGGCATAGGACACAGTCCACTCCGGGCACTGTGGGAAGCGACATTCGTCCACATTCACGCTTGTGATGGATGACGAATTTGTGGATATTTACTCATGCAGAAAACTTTAAGCATGGTGCCGTTGTGAGACGTTCGATACGGCGGAGACAATCCCAGAAGCAATGGTACCCCGACTACGCCAGCCATTCCTGTAAACATCCAGCCAGAGCGTGGAATGCGTACCTCCACCTGAACACCCACTCAACGCATCCACAACCTGTCATTAAATCGAGTCACAAGAAGCCAAAGTTCCATAGGAGGAACGGTGGACGTAATCGCTTACACACATTAGCAGTTTTGAGAAGCTATCTAACGCCGGCTACTTAAGACGGATGAGATGACGTAGTTTCTCTCCAGAGTGCTTCAGCCATACTGAAGAATATTTTTAAGTTGAAGCTACTTTGAAGATGTTATTTAGATGCTGCAATAAGCATTTAGTGAATATAGCAGCGGGAGGCTCTGGAAAAGAACAAAAAGGAAATAAATACTGTCACTCTCAAAATCGGAGGTCCCATTTCAGCCTCCATCCAGTGAGTAAGCTTCTTCATTTGTGTAATCTCAACCACTTAACGGTTAGTTCACAAGTTAACGCAGGGTGAGATTTTAGCTTATAAGTTTCATTTAGTGAACTCCAAAAAAGTCATTGGATCACCCTTCTTTGTTCAGGGTGACCGGAAGGGTTAGTTTCTATAGTAAAGTGTCGATCAGTGACGCCGACAACAATCACGCATGTTCTGCAACCTTAAGGGTCAAACTGATGTAACCTTCCGATAATAAATGCACAAAAGTTGCAGAATCTACAATATTATCCAAAAATAATCACGAAAAGTGTTTCAACGCCAAGATGAGACACTTTTTTCAATCCTGAATCATTCAAAACGCACTTTCTACCCAAGAAAGTCACCTGCTTCAAATAAACGTGGAGGCAGTGGTTGTATTATCCGAATTGTGTGTGTGCGTGGAGAATACAAATCCATCAGCAACAGAAAGGATGTCCAGGATGAAAATTGAGTTTCCTTCCTCCTGGCGTTGTCTATGAATGAACTGAATAGCTCGAAAAGTACCTGCATTGCTGTGCGTTCAAAGAATAGCATTTTTGCTTGGATAGGGGAAAAACGGTGTCGTACAAAAGAGAAATGACTGATGCCTGCTTAAACAAGCGGTGGTGAGGAAAGTAAGGAATCTTTTGCAGTAACTGGTTACTCTTAACGTTCACGCATAGCAGTGTGTGCTAACTCATCGTTCCAAAGTGCTCAATGACGACATTAACGACTCCTTAAGCGCAGACGAAGAAGACTATGTAGAGACAATTTGAGCGATTTAGGAAAACGGAGAAAACTTATTTGTTTAGAACGACTGATTAAGGAAAAAAATGGTAATGGGCATGACACAAAGCTCTCAGGAATGCAAACCTTCAATGATGCTGAAAGGACACCATAATGGGTGAGATCGAGCCTACACACGGAAACACTTCAAAGAAAGTTAGAAGCTTAGCTATTAAAGATATCAAAAATTTAGATATTTCGAAAGAGAAAAAACTCCCTCTTATTGACCGCTTGCTTAAGGTAGATCTTAAGGACTGCTCAACTTGCTGTATTAGCATTGTGAGACCTTGAGGCACAAAAAATCGACCAATCGCAGAGGGGATAAAATCACAGAGAGGTTGAGTGATATCCACTTAGTCTCTAAAAATAAGACACTCGTAACTCGGTACAAAGCCGTTGGAGAAGAAAACCTTCGAAATGTGAAAAGATCAAATATCAGTGCTTTGAGAAAGGAGTAACTACAAAACTATGCATTTTTACCAATGATCCCCACATCTCAAATTGTCATCTCAAAACGAATATTTTCAGGTAAGTTAGAAATCGAGAGAAAGCTTGTCTTTCTGTTAAGCGGTGAGTCAGGCAATGGTTTGAGCTAAGATTTCCTCCTAACAAACGATTTTGATCTTTTCAATGGGGAAATCTTAGATAGTACCAAGAACATGAACCGTCTGATAACTTTCGCAGTAGATCACTTAAACGAGAAGGTCAAGTGTCCCACTAAAGCCCTCCTAACCGATAAGAGTGAATTTTTTATCTTGGGCCAAAACAAAACTCGATCACAGGGTAATCGTAAGAAAGGGAACTCTTGCTCCAACCGACTTAACCCATTAGCAACTTGAAGCTTACCTGAGGTATTCTTCTTTGTTGGCATCCGTCACCTTGATGCTTTTGCCTCCCTGTTTCAGCTCGCAGGTTATTGTCTGACCGAAATGTTCATAATCTGCCTCAAAGTACAACTCCAAGTCTGCGTCGTCGATGGGATTTTCACTGAATAATAGGAAAGAGGAAGAAAAGAAGTTAATAAAGGTCATAGGCGGGATTAAAACGCATATTCTGATATTTTAACTTATCCTCTCCCTCACTCCATTACACAGTTCCTCAAGTCAGAGGCAAAACAATCAATTTCAAGTCCCCGTTGAGAATTGAGGAGATCCAAGGATTAAGCGAGTCTGAACAAAAAGTAGCATTACTTCTGTAAAGCTGTCGATCAACTTTGCCTGAAGATCACCTCCGGCAGCAGAAAAGCACACCACAGTGCCACTTATTTTGATGGCGCATTTAGCTACGCAGGCTCTGCGGTCACCGTCTTGGTGGTGTAGCATTCCGTTTACTTCCATTAATACCCCACCTCCTAAAGAGAGCACTCAGAGCGGCGCATTGGTGCCGACACTAAGCGTGCCCAGTCTAGATGAATGACATTGCCAAATTCTAGGATTAGATACCCAGCTCGAAAGCCATGTGGATTCTGTCATAGATGGCGGAAAATACGGACACACGTCCAAAATCTACCCAGACTTACACCAATGATAACGCTACCATTAAAATTGAATGTTTGAGTCCACTACATTCAAATGGTTGCATTTTACGGAGACAAGAGAGAAAGAGCGAGGAGTAGTACATCCACTTTTGGGGGAACGGAAGAGGAGGAGGCACGAGGACGCTACCATGACAACACCCACAAGTTTTCCCTTCATTTACAGTAGCTGAGGCGGCCACTACCGGTGCTCTTCTCATAGCGGACCCAAGTTTCGTTACAGTAGAGCTGAGGTTATTATTCATTCCTTAATTTCAATTTGTATAAAAAGGCGAGGCGGATTTCATCTCTTTTTGAGCTGTCATAAAATCGAAACTTGCATAAGTACCAAAGCAGCATTTGTATCAAAGGTTATGAAAAATATGTCGTCAACATTTGACGAGCGAAATATGACATTATCATGATGCCAATCTATCATCTTCGGTTCTGTCCCGTGGTTAGATGGTTTCAAATTAATGTTCTTCCTGGTGCAGATACCAGTAGAGAGGTATGGTAACTAAACTGGGTTCATCGGGGAAGTTGGCGATCAGCGTCAGATGGAATTTACACCACATGTTGATTGCTATCTTCTAATCTTTCGAAAAGGTCAGTCTGCCAGGTCATCAAGGTCATTGGCTCGGCAGCCCTTCCTTACTACCATAACTTCCACTTTTCGACGCTATCGAAAAATAACCCTGATACTTAAAAAACAGTCAAAAACTTAATTTGACCCTGGTCGTGAGAACTTAATGCAGCATCTAGTACAAGCGGAAACTTCCATGGACGTTCAGCATAAAAGAATTCGGATGCAGAAGGCACGCTAAAAAGGAATCCAAAAACACAATGCTGAAAACACAGATACGAAAACCTCACGAGTTGAATCACTCCTCCAAATTTATCAATAAAAAAACCAAAAGGGATAAATGCAAAGCTCCGCAAATAAAAATTGACTGCTTCCAAAGGAGTCACAAAGTGGAACCTCAGTGAAGCCAATTCACCAACTAAACTATACGATCGACAATGCCCTAAAGTGGAAGGCGAACATTTCAACAGAAGTTCCAAAAAAAGGGATTTGGCGTAAGGTCACGATTAAAAAACTGGAGTAGGTCACAGTGATGTGGGAATACTTCAACCAATAAAAGTGAGATACCCGAATGATAAACCCATTTTCTGACCTAAGTAAAAACAAAATGAACCGTAAGAAGGCAGGTAGGAATAAATTGGGCTGCTTAACCAAAAAACCACCCTAGACTCTATTATTATTCACACATAAAAAGGTTTGGGAACTCGAATAGGTAACAAAGATTGACCGTCAAAAAGAAGGCCTAATTACAACAACCTTTGTAAAATTTGCCACATCAGAAAGTATGAGAGGAAAGACTATCAGTTGAAGCGTAAACATTCAACGATTAATTCAGATCTACGTGTTGAAGCCTCTCCTCCTCCAGAAAAAAAACGTTCAGTACGGATCCATAAAGATACTCCACTAATGAAATTCTTGCAACAATGGAAATTGGGAGTTGCAAAACACCCAAAAATCAGACTAGATAAGGAGGTAGCAACTCGTCACTAAACCAAATCCCTTCTCATTTATTCAGCGCAAAAAATAAATGCCCCACTGTTTAAAGTGAAGATGCTAAAAAGCTTTTATCTAAGTACCTCAACTAAGAGCTGAGCACCTAGAGATGATCCATTCCCACAGCAAACTGGCGACCCTTAAAACAGCAAAAAATGATTAAACAAGGACTTTCATCTCTATTATCCAGAAAATGAGGCATTTACTGTATGATAACTCCCACTTTTGACCATGCTTGGACAGATATTTCCTAGGCACCATTTGCGGAGACTGCCAGAGACGTCCCGACAGAATTCAGGCTAGCCTTAGCGAAGCGATAATACTCCAAGAAACAATTTACAGGAGTCGAATAACGTATGGAAAGTCCTATTTTAAAAACCACTGTCTGTAAATTTTTATTCAAAAGAAAAGTGCAGCATTATAGTTAGCATGCGCTTCATAGAAGTCGTCTTCCAAGTCACAAGAGAGATTCACCCTGTTGGAAGCAGTGTTGAATCAAAACACGACGACCGCTGATTGAAATAGGCTGTAGTTAAAGGGTTTACGTTGGAGCCTTCCCCCCACCTAGGAAAAGGCAAAAAACTCAACACGCCCCATTGGATGTTGCTAATAGTAGTACCTCGAAATACGGAAATGGATTCTAGAAACAACTAGACTACCAAAAACAGACCTGATTTAAAACAGTTAGTGCAATTGGCGGTATACTTGGCTTTAATCACCCGTCAAACGCCTGCAATTGTTTATCTAAATGGATTTTAAGGCATAGACATACGCCAGTCTCTAGGTGAGGTCCTCTATTGTACAGACCCCTCTAGTTTCCATGTATTTTCAATCGAACCACAAATTCGAGAGAGTCGACTTTGTGAGTCAACTTTGACCCGATTGTACAGCGGCAAAAACCTTCCATAACAGTCGTAGAGAATTTGGAGAAGGCGGGGTAGTAGAACAAGGTATCGCTCGGAAATAGCCAAAAAACATACTTGGGTGATGATTCACTCAAAGACGGATGCATTGCGGCCAGAGGGAGGACAATCTATTGGCGATCATTAAGAGCAATGCGGCGCTTTTGATTAGAACGTAGTAAAAACTTCCAGCGATGTTTCAAGCGATTGAGAAAAGAGTTCCCTTACCATCCAAATCAGCCGGGAGTGGAAAATCATGGAGGCTAAGCAAAGGGTTCTACCAACACGTCGTGCCTCGGCATATGACAGACAATAAGGTTGGAGAATCCCCAATTTCTCCGTCTTCACTTCTGTTACCGTCTGAGAGCACGCTGTGCATCTTAGATTTTTGCTGATCAACTGATGTGGTGAGAAGTGGATTTTGCATCCAATCCGTTAAGCAAGACGCCACCCCATCCTGTCCTATTATCGCAACGCAACGCAACACAAGACTTCCTACTACTATTATACGAGAGAATCTCCAACAGTCTCCACGATTCGCCCGGGGCGAAGTAGACTTGTGATCAATAAAATTAGAGGACGACTCACCGGATGAAGAGAAGGGAATTATAGTACTCCTCATCGACAGTTTGAAGGTCATTCAACGACAGTGGTTTGTTGAGAAGACGCTTGTAGAAGGGCAGAGTGAATCCATTGTCAATGAACTTGCCATGGAACAAAGCCAACGCAATGAATCGACCCACGAACCTATAGATGTAAATAGGGAGACCTTCAGAGCCATTGGAGGGAGGGACTTACCGAAAGTACTGGAGATGTTGGGGATTCACTGAAGAATTGGCATTGATCTGTAGGGAAAAGTTGTTGCCACTGGCGTATTCGAATAGGCAGTACATAGGATTGAGAAGCTGATCGGAGAGTTGGAAAAACCATTCCCTGTTGAGAAACGAAGAGAGTAAGAAAAAGGGAGCTTTTAGTAACCTGATCTCGGACATCATAGAATGTTCTAAATAAGGTGAGAAAGGCAGCTGCTAACATTAAAATGTTAATTATGAGATGGTAATCCAAACTGACCCCTGCGTTTCAACAGTTAAAGAAATGCCTTTTATTAGGCGGCCAATAATAAAGTTCGAGTAGCACAACACATTTACCAATAGTTTGAGGTCCCTTCATGATTGCAAACAAATAAAATGCCTTCCAGTAGTTCAATCAATAAATAACAATTGCAATCTTGAAAGTAATCTGAAAGACATCACGGTAGACGAATGATCAAGGCGACGAATAGCATTTGCAGTGGGGGTTAGGCACCAACTACTTCACCAACCCATAAACCAATAACAGAAAACACACCTCTGTACACCACCATAATCGAGGGCTTCCTCGTCCTCAAAGGTGACAGAAAGACGACCTCGCAAAGACTTTGCAGGCACCTTGAGGAGTTGATTGAAGGAGTCATTTAGCAGATCTGACCGACGCACCCGAATCGCCACCTTATCAGTGCTTGAATTTACGTGACAGAGGTAGCGGAAACTAGCCACCTTACGATCCAATGTCCATTGATTCGAATCCCTAGAAGGAAAAGCGAGGGCTTATGTTAAGGGAGGTTTGCACAGATAAGACCCCTCACTTTTAGCAAAATAACACTCGCTTTAATACCTTCGCTATCGTCGTCACACATATGTGACACCCCGACTATTACCTGGCTCCTTACGACACAAGCGCGTGACACGGGGCCTTGATCAGTTTACAACAGATGGCAGTGGTACGCTAATAGAATAAGTTCACCAAAGAAAATCGTCCAGCTCTACTTAAATGGTTTTGTTCCCAATACAGTTCACTTCGTACCGCCTTTTCAATCCACAAGGTTGAATTTCTCACCAATTAAGTGCCTCCATTTGGTTGCCAGGACAATCGCCTGACCTGATTTTAAATCTCGGGTGCTAATGGCGTTCTAATCGGGCGAGAATACTTTTTGACACCTCCTGAAAACATACAACAGCTGTCACTCGCCTAGGCTAATGTGATGCGGCATCAAAAAGAAATCCACAATAGACACATGACAAAAAGGCGCAAAAGGCACACTCATTTATCCACCCGCCCATGTATTCAACTATTCGCCTATCTATCCTTTCAATCACTTGTCCATCTGCCCATTCATTCACCCGTTCACGCTCCCTCCCGCCCATTCATCTACTCACCTCTTCTTCTATCCAATTACCCATTCATTCACCCACTTATTCTCCAAGCGTCTACTTCAGCCATTCAGAACCTGTTGGGGATGATAAAGAACTCCACATCGAAGTGGCTAAAGCATCTAAAACAATCATTCTGAAGCGCCGATAAATGACTGCCTTTTGGTTAACTGCTGGTCTCGCTTCCAAATGCCGTAGACCTTTGCCCCAAGTAAGTGAATACACGGCACTTTAACTTAGAGTAAAGACAGGGAAGAGGAGTAGCTGGAAAGGACAAAACCTAACCCACCTTGATTCCACACCAAAGCAAGAGCCATTTTCGTCCGAGAAAGTGAAACAATTAAAGTATTGGGATCTCAGTACAACACACACACATACACACCTACTGCCATTCAGTCAAGTCAAAAGACTCCCTAAAAGTGCTAGCCACATTAGGTAAAGGATGAGCTTAACATACAGGCTCTTCTGGACTATCTGGAATCGTGATTGCTAATGATCTGGTGGAAGTTTCCAAAAGGCACCTTTGTGTTGTATCCGAAAAATTTACCACCTGATTCACGAGCAACTCTGTCAGTGTTGAAAACTGCGTGCAATTATAGTCTCCTAGTCCTTCCGTACTGCCATAGCTAGTCAGGGAGCGAGATCAGTTGATTCTATCCAAAATTTACGAAATATTACAGTGTCAGTAAAGTTGTTCGACTGTGTATCTGGGCTTTGACCATTTCCCCGATTAATTTGTAGGCGTTTTTATTCTTCCGTGGTTGCACATTTGTCTTATAAAATCTTTGGAATACAAGACACGAAAACGGTGTCTCAAGTGGAAGTCTGTACATACGTATGCTTCCAAAGGCCTATTAATAATCATTAGAGTAGCATTATTGGCCCTGTGGGAAAGAAACCCAAAAATTCTACCATCCAAGAGGGTTTCTTTGGCACAGGGATCATCCCCTTCCCCATCGAATTCCAGCTTTTTGGTCTCAAAAGCAAGAAAGATGTCTTACGCTGAGCCAGGTTGACGGGGATCCTTGAAGGTGGTGGTTCTGGTATTGTGGTCGACGTAGAAGACAAACCCCTCAGGGGTGTATCGCATCTCCCAGCCCGATGGTAGCGGTACTGTAGTTTGGCGTGGATCCTCCCACTGTGTCGTCTTTGTCCGATGATTCACGTAATACACGCGACCATTCGAGTCTCTGCGACGCTCTAGAGGAGGGAGAGGAGAAAAGTAAAAATAGTTTATTCACATCTCCAGCTCTATCTATCTACTGATTAAAAACGAGGGGAGGTCAAGTCATGTTAGCAATTTCGTGTTTATACAGGCCACTACAAAACACATAAACCACGAAAAAATTGCATTAATCTTTTCATCTAGTTCCCTTCTGCCAAGTTCATACCGCACCACCTCACCAATGCCTGCAAAGCTTTGAAAGAGGATGATTTGTCAGTGCGACTAAGCCAACCTGGGACAGCTTGCGCTATTTCGTTATTGGCGCTGAAATGTGCACCCCTGATGTTACTCCTGGCAGTCAGCATGAGGCAACTTTCCGAAATTGTTAATTTACACCAATGATTTCATGCCAATCTTTCCACAGGAACATTCATCTCTCGTGAGGGTTCACAACTTCGAATGACTGCTGTCGGCTTGGATCGAAACTACTACAACCTGGACTGCCACCGGCTCAAAGACGTCTTTGGGAAAATTTGCATCAATTGTCTTACAGTAGGACTGTGATTGACGTCTTCAGTAACTATCTGCAAGTTACACGTCTTCGATGATAAATAACATCATCACACCGTTGTATGAGTGCACTAGCACTGCTGCTACTGCCTTTCATCTTAAAAGACTGCGTCTGGCTTGGGTCAGCACACGCACTACAACTAGATCGGTGAAATACAAGGTAAGAAAAGTACATGCCCGACATTTACCACTGCGTACGGTACGCATGATACGTATGCACACTTCAAGGCTGTGGGTCGCCTTCATATATGTTTTAACTTGACTTGTAGCTGACTACATCACCGAAATTGTAACCTTGAAGGAAATGTCCACTAGCGTAGGTAACTACCCTCAAGCTCGTTCAGGTGAAATGGTGGGAATGAGGCGACAATAACAGAGTCGAGTTTGGAGACCTTGGGCTTCAACTAGCTGATCTATGAAGATATCACCTTCACATTTACCTTGAAACAACTTATTTCCAAGGCTGAAGAAGATTCCAAGTCTGCTCAAAAAGAAGAAACAGAAAGGTGGTAGACAACTGACACCTTCACATTACACTGCGCCGCACACAGTATCGATCAAGTGGGGAGAGAAAAAGGCACATTCAAAATTCACACACACGCACACAAGCAGTTACAATTGCTACAGAAATGACAACACAGTAGCGGACTGACACGTGATGTAGTCATGGCAACGACAAATAAATACTACGTCTCTCAATAGAAGCAGCGCCAGGTTGATGCCAATAGGCGGCTGACAGCGAGGGAAATTGAGGATTGTTAGGCAACTAGCCTCATCCTCTCACACACACATGGAAGGTCAAAATAGATCCTGAAAGATAAATCAGCTTAACTTGGGCGATGGAGCCACATCAATTGAGAGGTAAGGAAGAAAATCCCAAAAATGCTCAAAATAAGGGCTGTCAGACTGATAATACCATAATGGAACAGTTCTTGCTTGACAATTTTGCCATCAAGTATTTTAGATAAAAAAATCAACCACTACAGCTTATCTAGATGTACTGTTGCTCAAATATGGAACCAAACTGACCACTTCGCGTCAATTAAAGGGTGACCGCAAATTTCTTTGAAGCATTTCTGCAATGCTGCTTATTTGTTAACTCTAGGCTCGTTTAGTTGATACTGCCCTAACGGACAAATAGCCACACCAAAAATCCATGTTGTGCATTCATTCTTGCTAGCACAGTGTTCGTGGACCCCTAGCACAAACCAACTGCTCAAATATGACGCCAAGAATTACATTGCCAAAACGACCAATTCAACTGTTACTGCTCAACAACGAAGAAGGCAATTGTCCACAGACCACCACCACCCTACCACCATGTGACCTTTTTGAAACCAATTAATCAGTTTGTAGTACGATTCGGTGGGATGGGGCTAGCTATCACAAACAAGTAAAAAAACGCGTCACGTATTTGTGACGAGTGAATTCAAATTCGTAAATCAACGTGAAATATTTCTGTTGCTAGTTCAATTCACACGATGTTTTAACCTAGTTTAAATGATTTTTTACGTCTTACCGTGCAACAAGTCACCATGAAACACCTGTCAAAAAGCCCACGCCTCAACTCATCACTACACACCTAGTTCATTGGTGTTGTGAACCCCCCACACAGGAGTACTGATTTGGCAGTGAAATTCGCGTCAAAAAATACCATATACACACCTACTTAGAACTCCAAAAACTACCATAAAGTTGACGTTGCAAAACATGTGGGATAGAATAGCGATAAGCACGGAAACAACTAAAGTGGGACGCTAAATATTAAATTTTTCTTCCCATCTATAAAAAAGTTTTCGAGGTTATTTCTTTACGTTCGTATGGGAAAAACACCATGATGAAAACGAAAATGTTCACGGAGCAACCGGTTACTATAGGCTTATAAGGCACGTATGCCACATATTTGTGACAAGCGATCTTCGGCAAGAAAACCGGGGCTTCACGTATTCGTGGGGTCGGTAATGAAGGTGTTAAGTACGCGGGCTCTCGCGATCCGAACAAAGGTATAATCTCCAGTAATATCCCTGTCAATTCATTGCCGCCTAAGACTAAGCTCAAAGGGACTGGACTAAACAGGACAAGGCGGAATCAAAGGACCACATTTCAAAAGCCAAGGCAGCAGATGAAACAAAAGCTACCTCAGGCTTCATTGACTGATTCAGCGGTCCATAAATCCAAAGGTCAAACGTTTTTATAAAAATCAAAGCTACTGCAAATCGAATTCGAAAAAGCACTACCGACACATCCCTAAGCCTGATATCGAATAACTCACCAAAACCTTCGGGTAACGGACCCAGTGTTTCAGGGATGGAATGAGCTGGGCTACTACCGGCGCCATTGGCCCAGCCAGAGGAGGCGTAGAGCTGCGACATCTGATTCCGCATGTTACCGGCTCGTATGTCGTACCACTGGCGCCAGCGCACCACGTTGTCGAGCAGATGATCTGACGGTGGATGCCAGGTTGTTGTGCGCGTGTTGTGATCCACGTAGTAAACCCGGTTGTTCTGATCCAGTCGTCGTTCCCATCTGGAAGTGGTCAGACCATAAAAGAAAAACTAAAAGGGATCCAGTTGACAGCCGTATCATCAAATCAGAAGAAAATAGGGAGACACTTGAGTTTCACTTGGAACTGAAGGATATCAAGGATTCAAATATCTTCCATTCGAGGCATGAGTTTAGCTAGCAGACAAAAAAGAACTATCACATCATCTTCACAGAAAGAGTGGTAATTATTGAAAGGCGAAACCTGTCTCAATCCAGCCTACTGACTCAGTAAATATCTTCGAAAAGAGTTTACGCAAAAAAGAGACCTTTAATAGAACATGTTTACGATAAAAGGTACTTAACTGTGGAAACTTTAAGCGTAGCAGTAAGTTCAAGGTGTGTCCTATCACGAATAACCAGTACCGGCGCACCTAGCACGGACCAGTCCAAACTAGACACCGTTTATCCAAATGGTAAGCAATGATGGCAGCTCCACCGTTTACAGGCAACACAGAAGACGCCAAATTCGCAGATATTGCTATCTACAAGAAATCTTCAGACAATGCTGTACAGCGTAGTGCAGTACGGCGATGCAACATTCTGCCACGGCCAACACTTAAGCACAATAGTGTAAACATTTTAAAGACGACTACATCCTCTCAGAAGCAATCTCAATCTTGGTGCCTTCCAACCCGCAGCCCAGGCATCCATCCACCATGTCTGGTCTTGGACGCCTCATCGACACACATATTACCATCTTGGACAAGCCAGCCCACACCGAACGAGTACGTAAAGCAGACTTCTCCAAAAGGCATTAATCGCACTAGCAAACCTTTCCGCGTCGCAACTTCGCAGCTATTAGTTCAACCGTAGTATAGGCACTGGGTGTAAGCGGTAGTTTGCAGTGGCTAACATGACTTTATGCCTTCCATCAACTCAGAAGCCACACTTTAACTTGCATGCCCCTCGCGTACCTCCCCTCCCCATAAGAAGAATGCGTGACAGGACACACATTGGAAGGTTTGACTCTGTACTACATCCTACTTCACACGACTCTGTGATTATCCCCATGTTTGCTTGGAGTATAGCAGAGCATCCAGAGAGACCTTTTAATAGGAACAAGAGCAAAACTTGGAACCGAAAATAGCCTCAAAGCTCTGTTTTGTAAACCATATCACCACCGAAAAAACCATGACTAATAAGACACTGATTAGGGAAAGGGCGCAGGAAAAGCCTGTGTTCTGTCCTAATCGTCAAGTGGGATTGGTTTATTTGATCCCGAACTAATGAAGGGAAGAAAAGCACTCATCAAAAAATCGCCTTAACAACGGGGGTAGGTAAAGTTATTCCATAAAAACACGTTTTTACATACTGCTTGTTCGAATTTGACGATGAACTGCAAGGGGAAAACAAACACATCAGCAGTAATGAGGCAAATGCAACACCAGAGCAATTATTCTTTTATGGGTTACAAACGAACGAATCAAAGTAGGGTGTTACAACAGGAGATAATGGCCCATAAAAATAAAAAAAAAACAAAGTCGTTTTAAAAAGCATCACGATGATGCACGAAGAGATGCTTCAAACCAAGCAACCATTTGGCGGATGCAGAAAAACGGCAAAGTTAATTCACATAGGGATCGCGCTAAGATGACAAGCTACGGAGTGAATTCATCGAAAAGGTCCGGAGAGTAACCTTGTCTTAATAAAAGATAAGTACATCAAAGTGAAACGATCTATGGAGACAAAATAAGTAACATTTGACATGCGCAGGCGATGACATCAGTAGTGTTGGCCAATGAAAATGGTTCAAGAAGAAATCATGGGAAATGCCAGTGGAAGAACGAGCACACCTATCCAACCAGGGGACCAAGTCCCTGATTTTGCATGAAACCTAGTGCAATATAGCAGACGCCTCCACTAATGCCTGATGAACAACACCACGACAGTGGAAGAATATCTACCTCAACCAAAGCGACCCGCACCTCGACGTGAAATGGACACTACTTCACTCAAAGTTTAGAGGCGTTGACGTTAATGGTCGCAAACTGTCAACAACTTGATTGCGAGGTGGTGGACAATGCTACCACCAACACAATTGTAAAAAGCAATCAATCCAACTAGAGCAGCCAGCGATATTTACAATTAAAGAAGAGCTAATTCACATACTGAACTCTCGAAGTCGAAGGTGACTGAGACCTAGCAAGAACAAACCACCCCCATTGACGGAGTGATTAATCTACAGAAAGCCGTAGCAACTTTACGAGACAGTAAACTAGCAGTTGGCAAAGCTAAGGATGCAACGCTATCTACGACGCATGATGCCATGAAACGAAATGATAAACTGTGATCTATTGCACCGCAACAATGGGGTAGCATCATACCAAAGCAGTGTCTACATACAATTTGGTTTCACATCTCGGTGAATCCCTACGGTAAAGCAAATAAGTATTGTGATAAAGCTACAAGAGTGGAACATAGCAACCAGTACATCGAGGAAACGAAGCTACCTAACAACATCCCTAGTAGGCAAGCGCTTCAATAGTGGTGGCTTGCGTCTACAAGGGTAAAAGATTGTTTGGCTAGTGAAGAAAAGTGCTTTGAAGGGTATCAATTCCCATGGGGCCGATCATCGTCCCGCCATAATAGACATACGACGTGAGCAAAGTTGGTGATCTCGGTCGTCGCAACTCACTAAAACAACAAAAGCAGCCCCGGATAGCTCAGTAGAAGGGAAAGCAGGGAATTCACGATAATAGAAGTGTGTTCAACTTGAAAGACCTACGGTTTGGGCAAGGGTATCAATCTAGGCAGCTGTCTTCCGCTAAAAAAACAAATCACCAACATCTAATTAACCACAGGAGAAAAAGGTGCAAGGAGACGAGCCATAATTCAAAGAGCAACAAATACTTAACCCGTTTTCCATCACTCACTCCTTATCTAGGGGTGGAGATGGTGGTAGGACCGACCTAATTAAAAGGGTAAACACAACGCCGATATTTGAACAGGTGGGGTAAATAAGGGACAAGGTCTGATTCAAAACAGAGCAATCTGTCGTCGGACAAGCAGTCTTTGTCTTTGGGTTGAGACATTTGCGAGCTTTACCCGATAGAGAATCTCTAGGCAGCAAGTCGATCAGGCAAGGAGAACCCCCAGAGAGAATACTTATTCGAAGCACAGCAAAGCATCTTTAATTGCAGCAAATGTCAGCAAAGAGTGCGGATGGGAAAAATATAAGCAACGGTTGTACTCCACTAGAGGCAGGCTCGCCAGAAGTGAGAACGTAGCCGGCTGGATTGTTGGTTTATTGAAACAAGTCAGCGAGGAGCGACACACGAAAATAGGAAAGAAAAGCGGATCCACCAGACTTGATATTTTGGTTGGCTAGTTGGAATGAATAGGTAATGAGTATTGCCAACGAAACAGAGGTAGAGCATCCACATTGACCAGAGCACAAATCTTCCGGAAGAAAAACAATGGGTTTTTGACTGAAAACGCGTCGAGTTGAGGCAAAAAGGAAATTATTTACGCACTCTCTCCACTCCGGCTCATCTGGTTCTAAGCTCAACCTATTAGAAGAGGGATGAATAAAGGAAGTAAAAGGGCGATTTGTGAACAGATAAGCATTAAATACAAGCAGAGCGCTCCTTGCTGATGCACGAAAAAAAGTACCAATTTACAAACGATTTGAGTGGGCCCGTTAGTGTTGACGTCTGCGGCAAACTAGCAACAAGAAGACAAAGAAGTGATGAAAGACGCCACAACAGTTGTCGAAATGCGCATCAATCCATCTAGGAGTAGCCGACATCGGTCATAATGGAAATAAGAGCTACTATACACATTACGTGGGCCAAGTCCCTGACTTAGGATGAAACCTAGAATAATAAAATAGACGTAGAGTGGAGTCATATCATAAACTAGCATCTGGTCATGGATTCTACAGCTTCAGATAACGGCTCTGGGTTAAACCTACTTAAAAGGATGAACTGGAAGCCGAACGAGATGATATCAATAGAAGGACAACCAATCGAGCCAGAGGAAATATTTTTTAACCACGAAGCAAACCTCTATTTTCATGAAGTTGACGCTGGCAAATCGAAACTCCCTTACGAAATAGGCATAACTTCGTGAAACCACTGAGAAATTACGACGTATTCATCACGTACCCGCTTGGAAGAGGCTGTGGTTTCTCCCACTGTGTTCTTTTTGTTAAATGATCCACGTAGTAGATTCTCCCTGTAGAAGGATCGGTACGTCGCTCCCATTGCGGTGGTAGACCCTCCGTATCTGGGGCGGAACGTCTTCTGCCTCCGTTTGACCGACGTGGAATGGTCAAAAGGTCGCCAGTTGCAGGAGTTCTGTTGGTAGTAGAGGTATCAGAAGAACCATTGGTGACGGCATTGGTGGGCGCCGTATTACTATTGGCAGCGGGTGTGGATGATCGAGACTCCTCAGCAGTGGGAGTGGACCTCTAAAATGCATGAAATAGCTTTCACAAATAGGCTTTACTCTTATAAATGCACTCGCCCATTACTGTCCATCGGAATTTGAAAGATCCGCCGATGATAAGAAACAAAAATACTCATCAGAGTAATAGCAACTTATTCTACAATAGACTGTGTTAAGGTCAGAGTCTCTTAATTGAAGATGTCTACGATAAATGGAATTTTACTGTAACAACTCTAAACGTAGCAGCAAGTGCAATGTGTCCTATCACGAACAACCATCGCCAGTGAAGCTATCGTAGGCCAGTCTAGCCCAGGCAACGTTTGTCCAAGGGGTAAGCAACAGTAAGCACAGTACAACGCAGCTCAACACGGCGATGCAACCCTGTCGTGATCAACACTTGAACACGATAGTGCGAACACTTTAAGGACGGCTACACTGTCACTAACAATTCCAGTCATGGAGTCTTCCAGTCCACCTTACCCCTGGATCCAATGTCTGTTCCTGGATGCCTCATTGACATACACAACCCCTCATAAATCATCGTACAAGAGACGCAACTTCTCGTCCCACCCATTCCAAACATCTTGGACAAGTTAGCCCACGTTCAACATCCAAGTAAGGCAAATCTTTCTGTGTCGAAAGTTTGCAGTCATTAATACGGCCGTAGCATAGGCACCGTGTGTACGTAGCAGTTTGCAGTAGCTAACATGACTTCGCTTGTGCCTCCTATCAACTCCGAAGCCGCACTTCGAATCGCAGGTCCCTTGCACATCTCCCTTTCCCATCGGGAGGATGCACAACAGGACACACTGGAGGGTCCGGCTCTGTACCTCATCCTCCATGTTTGTTTGGAGCATAGCAGAGTATCCAGAGGGACTCTAATGGGGGCAAGAGCAAAACTGGAAACTGAAAATAGCCTTAAAGACCTGTTTCGTAAAACACATCGTTAACGACACCATTATAGTTTATGAGACACTGATAAAGGAAAAGGTCGAAAAAAGCCCATGTTTTGGTCTTAGTTATCAAGTGGCGTTAGTTCACCTGATTCTGATCTAATTGAAAGAGGGAGGGAACTCATTAGCAAATTGTATTAACGACGACGGTGGATGGATGCATTCCACAAAGTGCTCCTTACATCCCCCGCTCAAAATTGGGTACGAACAGCTAAGGGAAGACCAACAGACACCACTGATACCTTCCCAAGTCGATTTGATCAGAGGTTTCGAAATAGTAGGACAGCTGTTTCTATCTCCCTTCCCAAATGAATTCCTCCGCGCTCGCAGTACGTTTGGTTCAAGGAACTAGAGTACTACGAAATGCACCGGCAATACTAAAAATTGAAGTCCTCCCATTTCCACACTGCAGCATGATTATTTCACTGTTCTTGAGAGCGAGGCTAGTGAATGTTTAGTTACTTAATCCCACCATTGGCCGCTGAATCGGAAGAACACGCAGTGCCAAAAAGTAATGCCCCAGAAAAGCCGCCATATTAGCGCACTTTTTGTCTTCGGGCAAAACCACGAGACTCCACTTAAGTGCATAAGAGATTGGGTCCAAGCTCCACACGAAAAAAGTGCAGATTCAAGTTCCACAAAATTGGTGTCTTAGGTAGTTGCCTAGCCAGAAAAGTGCGACAGATTTTGACATGACTTGATGCACAGACAACATTTCAAGAGGCGCAAAAAGCCGAGGGCGAAGGTCGGTAAATCGAGGGGGTAAACAACATTGTAAAGATGAGAGGGCTACACGGGTACTGAAGAGCATGCCCCAGCAAAACGTCAGAACACGACTGTAATAAATCGAGTTTTCTTGAGACTGAAAACACGACAATGTGATGCTCTTTGATCTTGTGGTATTAAGAGAGATTGAGATAAGAGCGGATCGTTGTAAACTAATCAAAAAAAACTCATTGTTTAAGCTCAATGAGTGAAGTTGGTTATTGGCATGATATTACGTGGCTGACACAGTTGAATTAGCAATGCGGAGCAAACAAAGTACACAAACCCACACACGAATGCGCAGATATGGCATGGGCCAAATATTTACTTTACTAAATTGAAAAAGTCGCGTTTTTAAAATCCAGGTAGTGACACCGGTCAGTAGTCAATCAGAAACAGACACCTGATAATATTATATCAACCCAAGGTTTACAAGTGGGTAGCTCCCTGACCTTCCGACGATCGTGAGTTCAGGGCTCCGTCTCGGAGTAAATCACAGGCATAAACACCAACGAGGAGATGAAATGCTTGATGAGGCGAGGGTGGGACTAGATACACCCTACACCCAAAACACGAACTGTACTTCTATCCCGTTTGGACAGTAACTTCCGCTCTGGCAGATGGTCCTAGCCTTAGAAGTGAGCTAATTACAGGACAACAGAAGCGGTTCGCACAAGACACACTCAATTCAAACAGGGAGCCTTAATTACCCAATAAGAATACGAATGGGCGCCATCGTGATAGTAAGACACGATGTAGGAATCGCCAGGTTTGCCTCAGTAACAATCGGAACAGACTGCCCCAGTCCAGACTCTAGACACCGTAAATCAATACAACAATGGTAGTGCATGGGTGCAAGAAACACCATTCGATGAACGGAAGCGTTAAACCTGGAGGCGGCCAAACTTCCGGCAGTGGCAGCCTGGACTGTGATGATTCCTAGGCCTCAACACAGCGTCAGTTCTGTAAAAATCCGACCAGCACATGGAAGGTTTGATCCTTGAGGCCTTTACGAAACTTCGCAACAGAGACTTTGACAAGAACGGTGAACAAAAAATTGGTTCACACTGGATACCAAGGAATGCAAAGTGAAGCGAGCTGCTGTGAAATGGTTCGGCTAAACTAAAAAATTACCCTAAGCCGGAACTCTACGGTTATTAAACAAACTCTAAGTTATAAATATCGAAGCAAGGGATCATGTGGACAAATAAGCACTGAACTCCTTAACATAGTTTCATCTCTTTTGTGAATTCCAAAGCCCCGGCTTAAATCTAACATCCGTTTTTAAATTCATCCTTCTCAAAATGCGCATAAAATATTAGCAGTTAGATTAGACGTATTCGCTATTTCAGCCCTCAATAAACAATTCGGTAGACCCCACAGACATCTCCTGCCAGCAATGGATGCGTTGCATTAGCAAAATTAAACGTCCTAACACATGAAACCGTAGCAAAGGACCTACAAAAGATCGTTGATTAATGTTGGCAGCCACAATTGCCGCGTTGACAGCTGTAGCTGAGGCGGTGAGGAAGAGGCTGAGCGTCCCTAGCGAAGGCAAGGTGTTACCGTCCACGCACTGATCTGTTGGCAGGGGCAGTATATCCAAAGAGAAGGCCGCATCCTCCACTAAGCAAGCACAGATAAAGGCAAAACGATGAGTCCAGCTTTTTAATTCGTCTTATATATCGTGCCTGTTCGACACGCTCGCTACCAACGTCGCATACCTGCGATGTCTCAACCCTACATGAGCCTGCATGTTACAAGTGACATTTAAAAGGATACGAATTGGAGTGGAGAGGAGGAAACAAAACAAAAAACAGTTTATATCATATTGGAGTAATAGACACTCTGGGTTGTGATGGCTGATTTGCCTGAGATTCTGAGAGGGAACGTGTTAACTCTGTGAACTTTTCAGCCACCCACATTTCAGCCTCGGCCTCTGTCGCTAGTCTCCCAGACTTTTATATTTCCCTAGTAACGGATCAACTAGATTATAGGTGTCTTTTAAAATATCTTCAAAAATTAATCAAACAACACTTTAGTGGCACACCAGTAAGTCATAAAGGAATGGCCGAATCTTCAAAGTCTCTTAAAAGGCTAGTGAAACCGACGGCACTGGGTTTTGAATTGAAAATGGCATTAGAATAACTGCCTATGATTGCAACAATAGAGAATTTCTTCAGACTATCTAGTGCCTTTCTGCGCTGCAATAGGTCGAGAGTGACCCAGATATGTACAGGAAACATAGCCACTACAATTTTTACATTATGCCAAGTGAATTCGCTCTCAACTAAATGTTAGTCTGAAAAGTGGACAGCTTACGAAGTGCGTTCGCTCTTGATGACATATCTCCCTATCGTTGGAATAGAACATCTTCAGACCCTGACTTTCGTTAACATCTCATAGTTGGGTTTAATTTACCCAACGACATTGCGATAACCGAAATAGAAGAGCGATCACGAAAGGTTCCGAAGATAAGGCGCAAGAGAAGAGGGAAGCAACGCAACAGAGGAGCAATCATTGTTGCTGTTCGACCTTCACGCTAGTGCAACCGGATTCTAACTCTTCTGCACGTCGATAACAGAGACAATTCAAGGTTGGTACTTCTTATAATGGCTTAAGAAACAGCTCAGGCACTATAGCATCAAACAAGGGATGGCGAATAGTAAAAACTCAGCAATGACGCCATCGGTACATGTGCACATATGAAATGAAAGTACAAAGTAATAACACGCGCGTTTGGCACTCACAATTATTACCATAGTTTCTCAAAGCATCACGGATTCCAAGACGGGAGTAGCCGACAACTAGCCCGGTCCCACCGTTTAGAGAAGCATGCACAGAAGCCTGCGAGACAATGAGGAATTCGATATGAGAGTTGATGTTGATGTTAAAGTTGGTTCTTGAATTGAAATGCGGATTCCACCCGGTTTTGGTCGCAGTAACACCACGATTGGAGGTTACGTGCTCCGTGTTTGTCGGACTGTCAGATGGGGGTGGGGCGTCCCAGGATGTGGTGTTAAACTCCACGCGAAATATGGGGTTTCGGATTCGCGATAGAGCTGTGGATCTGGTGTGTTTGTGTAGTTTTGCGCTCGCAACTGCGGCAGAAATAGAATGAGACTGGTTCTGTCCTCTGATAAAAGCGGTAAATTTATCAGAGAAGAAACTCACTTTTCACCTTTAACTTAAACGTCATATTAGCTTGGCCACACTCTTCTTGTGAGGGCATATCCTGCAATACAAAGGCAACGAAAATACAGCCCATAATTTTTTAAATTTAGGATCAATCTTTTAAGCAAATCTATTCATGTGCTAAAATGCTCGAAAATCTTGACAGACCTCATCTTACGATCCGTAGAAACTACTGAGCAATCGTCCAAAAAAATAGCATGGCAAAAATTAGGTCAGGAATGAAGCTCAATTTAAAGTCCACTTTTGACAGAGAAAAATAGTAGGATAGCGACTTGTCCCAAAAGAGAAACCTACAAAGTCTTCCAATGACAAAAGAGGCTGACCACATAACATAGTTTTTAAAGGGGAAAATAAAAAATAGCATCACAGAGCAACTTCAATGTACTCGGTGACTTTGGGCATCAACAAGAATTTAGATGAATGCGAGTGAGGATATAACAGTTACGGTTAGGATTTACCTTAAATTGTTATTTTGAAACACAAAACAGGATAAAGTAACAGTCAGTGTGACAGGAAGCTTCAATTGAAAAGCGTACGCAAGCCGAGGACTAGACCTGCCACTTACAATAAATCCTACGCTCATTGCGCAACACCTCTGATATATAACTGCTTCCACAGCAGTTGCATAATGATTGGCTAGATTAAATCAAGCTCTTCTTGCGGAACATCAATTAAAAGCGCGAGGAGAAACATAAGTGGAAAAATAATTGCAGATTATATTTAAATAAAAATGGTGGCGGGAAAATTACAAGTTAAATAATAAGCTTGATTTTTTTACGATTGCAATGGACAGAGATTTAGGTGAAGATAAGCTGTTTCTATCTGAGCAGATAGAAATAACCTGGATCATTAAATTCGCTGTCACACCGCACTTAATTTTGTGTGCAACATAAGCCAGAAAAGCTCTTGCATATTGTTAAATAAGTTGATGGTTTTTGCGATTGCTACTGCGGAGTTCCGAGTCTTGCCTGAAGTCGAAATAATTCATCAAATTAAGTATGCACATGTATTACCAACGCAAGGAGGGGCTTTGGGTTGATCTTTTTTAGAACCAATACACTCACTCTTTGTCAATGCCAGCACCCTCTGTGCAAGACCACACCATTTACCGGCCGCACTCTCCTTGTCTACTCAGCTTACTCCTCTCCTGCCTCTTCAAACATTGATTTCGTTGACTCTTCTACCCAACCACCCCCCCGTCTGCCTCACTATTCACTTGTTAATAATTCATCCATCGCATAAATGAAACGAATTACAGCAGAATCCCAACGTAATCACAAGTCATATTAATACTGTCTCACACCATCACAGCATGACTAGTATACCATGAAAAGGAACGGAGGAAGGGGAAGAGAAGAGACGGGAGTGGAGTACAAAGTAACTTGAAAGTAGTCATTCTCTTATCCAAAAGGTGTTCCAGAACCCAGTCCACCAAAGTTACCGGACTGGAGTTGTCGAAGGACATTCTGCAGGCCTGCCGTCCCACCCATCTGATGCAACACCCGTGGGTCCATCGCACGGGCCATGGAGGCCTGTAGTTTTGCCATTTTTCCCGAATTTACTGAGCGCGCGGCCGCCGCCATGTCTGAGAGACTCGGCTGTCCACCTCCACCACTTCCGCTTCCTCCGCCAGTTCCACTAGGCATTTGCTGGAAAAGGCCGTTGATGCCGCCCATCTTCTTTACCACTTGGGCGAACTTTGTGTGCTGCACTAGCAACTGTTTCACCTCTCCTTGGCTAACACCAGCACCACGGGCTACGCGTTGAATGCGACCGGGTTGGCGGTTAAAGAGTCGTGCCCCGTCGTCAGAGTCCAATTCGTGATCGTTCATGCTGTCCATGATGGTCATCAGGCGCTTTAGCCGGCGGTGGCTCTCCTACATAGATGAATAGAAGGGGTGGAAAAAAAAATCCCTTGAAAGACTTTAGTGGTTCCAAGAGGAAAGAGAGACGACAATATTCCTAAAAATGTTAAGGAACGGTGGGAAGTCACTCCCAAATAATGTGAGGATCAGCTTTGAATACTGACGTCCACACCATATTTACATTTATGGGTAAAAAATGATTTTTTAAAGTTTAGACTCTCCTTCAATATTGCCGACTGAATCGGTCAATTCTCGGTGTGTCAGACCGACTTTTGATCAACGTGACATCAGATAGATTTTCTGGTGCACATTTACTTGATTAATCGGCTTTTCCGTTTGCCGATCGACCTGACGGAAAACTACGTCTTTCAGCTTCAAAAGATTGGACACTCCCCTCTCGTTAGACTTGCCTCAAAATCAATTTGCCCGTCGAGATCGGAACTTTGTTTTACTCAAATCAAACGAAAATTCGCCACTACTTACTTTGTAACAAATTTAAAGAACCATTTATTTCCGAATCCAAACTCGAGGTGGGCTTTTCACATATGAAAGAAAAAAAAAGCATGAAGTCAGCTTGGAACAACTGCCTACACACCACAAACGCGTGATCTTGTGCCAAATAGTTCTTGAAACAACAAATGAATGACAAGCTGTCACGATTCACTGCCAGCTAAAAGAATGAACAAAACATGTAACCACAAAGAACTGGTAGGGTACTTTGGCATCTCCATCAAACTTCGCCTCACCTTAAAGACAAACGCGACTGTTTTTCCTAAGCCTTTACACAAGGGTTATGTCTTCAACGGACCCCATGTTCAAGTCATTCACCGCCAGTTATTTTAATTCGAGGGGACTCCCAACAGAAGTGCCAAAGAAACTGTCAAATGATCGACAACCAACCTAAAGCTCAAATTCCACCACACCGTAACCGATCGGGCCGAAATCAACTGCAAAAGGCAGTGGACGATTGGAAATATCCAGAGTCGCAGCACCCGAATGTCAACGGATTCTGAATTATAAACAACGAAATGAAGGTGGGAATGAAGTAGGAAGAAACTTCAAGAAGTTGCCCCATAAAGCATACGTTTTCTGCTTCTAAATGAGTGTTTCCACGAAAACCGACCAGTACAGGATGTAAGGGAGCCGACATGACGAATGAACCCCCTCCCCCAGAGCGACGACTTTAGAAGTCCTCACAAAAGTAAGGGAGGCGCACACATCATTGCATTCCTGGCAGTCATGGGGACTGGCAATCTGAGAGCACTTGAGCCGCTGAACAACGCAGAGAAGTCTACACCCTTGTTGCTTAGTGAATCCGGAGTCAATTTATTCAGACTGTTCACCAGCTCGATGGCATGGACGTTTGCCTACGGCTATAGCCTTTTAACCCTTCTCACCTCTTCAGTGCTGGTAAACCTTCTTTTCGTTAAAGATGACTCCAGGTGCTTCATTGGCGGAATCGGTAAATGAATCCGATGCAAGTGAAGAACAAACCGAACTTCATCGGTTGAATACCAAATCCAGACACTGAAGAAGGGAAAATCTGCTGTAAGGAGGAGTTGACGCGGCTTCCTAGCTTTAAAATAGATCTCAAGGTAAGTATTAGTCTATAAGAGCACTAAAGATGACGTTTAAAAGGAAAAGGCCCTTCATGCTTCTTTGGTTCGACCACCAGCCTGGTGATATGGACAGTATTTCTGTAGGTAGTTTCGCAGTCTGCTCAGTGATACCAAACCCAAACTAGTATGCCACATTACACATCCGGGGATAAGTTATGTACTATAGATCACTAAAAGTCAACTCACTCGATCATTAGTGAAGAGCTCCTGACCTAGTCCAGGAATGGACGACAGAACCGCAGATAGAGGACCGATCTTTAAAATGTTCTGGAATTGTTCGTACATGCTGCGCAGTGTGAAGACGCCTTGCTTCAGCTTCTTGATCAATTCCTCGTTCTCATCAAACTTCATGTCTTTCACCTGACAACAGAGAAGAGTAGGAAGAAAATAAACGATGAGGGTTGATTCTAGCTCTTCCTTCCAAGGCGTTTCTAACCCCTTCACAGACGATGCTGATTACGTGTTGTTGTTGGCGGTGAATAGTTAAAGAGGTGGAATCGGAGCCATCAAAAAGAATAGTGATCCATGTGCATTAAGCGGGACTGATGCTGGAGTATTTTTATCTGGAACCGAATAGAGACCTTTTCAGTCTGCCGCGATTGGGCTACTAAGTTGGTCTTCAGGTCAGCAATGCCGCAGATCTTTAAATCCTTCTGTACATTGGTATAAATGAATTTCCAGACTGGGAATGCTTTACAGCGCCTTCAACGAATGCTACAAAACCATTAAGTGCCCAATTTTAAAACATGCATAAAGTTGACAATTAAACCAAGGGCCCACTGCTATAAAAGAGAAAAATTGACCAGTTTTGCTCACTGGTCTTGTTCAGCACAGTTAGCTATATGGGACAACCTAGTCAAACGATTGCTGTGAGCATATGCATATCGAAATGCTTTGAACGCCAGTTAACGGTAGAGCATCTAAGAGTTGAAGAAATAGCACTGAGAACAAATTTTTAAATTACCATAACTGCTGCAGAACTCAACGCTTTTTCAAGCCCTCAGCTAAAGCTATACAGCAATCCCGATGTTCCATTGCTCTACTACGACTACTTGTCAATAGCTCTTTTCTAACCATTCTAACCGATGGTCAAAAACTAATGTGATTCTTCTCAGGCCACAAACAACTTGCAATCTCTTTGGGACGCCTTCATACAACCAGTTGTCATAAACTAGCAAAAAAAAGGAACTCCACGCATTTATGGATTGCGAGATAGGGCAAGAACTCGAGGCGACATCTACACGTGATGGTTGTATGGAAGGAAAACTAATTAAAAAGTCGGTAGTAACATAAACCCATTAAGACCCTAATACGGCTAAAAAAAGGAAATGTAAACAATCCCGCCTTGAACACTTATTACTCAAATAACCCCTTCCTGATACGAATCATAGAAATAAGCAGATAAACCAACCCTTCCGAGCCTAAATGGCAAAACACTTTGAGAATTCACGGACGATGTCGTATTGTGTACCATCAAAAGCTGTCAAAGCTATTGAATGCACTAACACACCAATTTGCAGTGAGGTCGAACAATCAAATTCAGAAAAGCTGATTACACAAATAAGGCCTTACCATGAGATCTAATGGTACTGAATACATAAAAGAGGATAATGAAGAAAAACTACCTCAAGGACATGGCTGAACTGTAAATTCATGGGGCACCTTACAATGCGATGTGCGATACCTTCTTACACCGGAGCTTGCGACTACGGTTAGTAAATTTTAGAGAGAATAAGGATAGAGGAGGGGGGAGAGGGCACACACAAACCTTTTCAAAGAGGTCCTCCAAATCACCCAGCCCGAGGAGCTTTTTGACAAAGGGGTGCACACGGAAGGGTTCAAAGTCCTCAATGTGCTCACCCGTACCGATGAAGACTATAGGACTGTGGGTGGCAGCCACTGCACTGAGGGCACCACCGCCTAAAATATCATTATTAACTTTGATGAGGGATATGACGCATTTTCCCAGGTTGTAACAGGACGAATTCATTTGCTAATCAGCAGTTCCAAATCATGTATTCCTGAAGTTGAGATCAATGAAGCTGAAGGTAGCTGTAATGGAATTAGGCGACAGATACATCAACTTCAAAATAAAACTAGTGAGATCTCATCGACCTCTTTTACACACTTCACTACCAATTTGCATAAACGAGTGTTGAAACCTTTGCGACAAAATTAAAATTTCAAGCTCACCCTTAGCGTGGCCATCAAGTTTGGTGACGATGACAGAGGCAACATCCACCATTGCTTTGAAGGCACTGGCCTGGGCCTCGCAGGCCTGACCAATTGATGCGTCCATGACATAAATTACGTGGTCTGGATTGATGGCATTGGACACCTATTAAAATAAAGAATCCAATAATTAAAGCCAGAAAGAAATAGACGAACCTGAAGCATTTCCTCGAAAAGCGCCTCTTCCTGCTTGTGTCTACCACTGGTGTCGACAACGATTATCTCAAATTTCTCCTCGTTAAATCGCTTTACACCCTCTTTGGCAATCACAGCGGGATCCGCCTCTGTATAGGAACCATAGTATGGGATTCGGGCTTTCGTGGCATTTTGCTTCAGCTGATCAAAAGCACCGGCACGATAAGTGTCCGCACAGATAAGACATGTCTTCCAACCCTTCTTTTGGTAATGGTATGCGAGTTTTGTAGCCGTGGTAGTCTTACCACTACCTTGCAATCCAACCAGCATGATGACATTGCTCTTCCCCTTAGTTGGTTGCCAAGCTTTCACTTGAGGATCAATAATCCTAACAAGTTCATTGAAAACAGCGCTTTCAATTAGTTTTCTCTTATTAACTCCCGCTGCCAGCTCGTCAAAGTTGATCATCGACTTGACATTTTCACGTAGTTGTTTGACCAACCGGATATTCACATCAGACTCGATTAGGGCAGTGCAAATTTCTTTCAAAAGGCTGTTAAGGACATCTTCATTGATTATTGTGGCATTTCCGAGGCTTCTGAGCGCAGAAGTGATCTTACGTCCGAGTTCAGCTAACACCATCTCCGGGGAAAAAAGGCCGGGATATGGAAAGCCAAGTATGTGATTGGCTCCACATATAGCGAATCAGAAGGTAGGAAAATTATTTCTCACCTATACCACCAAAACAAAAAACGATTTCCGTATTAAAAAAACATTGGGACCAAAGGCCTTTCAAAGGACGAGAGTTCTTAATAACTTGGAGGCGTATGGAGGCATATGGTGCACTCAAAATAATAGACCCAAGTTAAAACCAATAGAAAATTGGCCTACGCGTGCGTATATCCTGGACGAGTGACCAGCTGGCAGCCTTTTGTAAGATTTCGTGTATATAAACAATATATATACATATTAGAGTAGCGATTAAGAGACCTTTTAAATTTTAGTTTAAGAGATAGAAATATTTAGGAATCAATGGCTTGAGATGCAATCTAAAAGCTAATACGTTTCTTTTTTAGCTTATGGCCTTTTTTGTCCCAAAACTACATTGGATTATTCCGTGCCATCGTGCAGACTTCTTATCTTGTTGAATATGCTTAATATTAAATACCCTGCTGTTTGTGACTCTCAATGCAACATCAGAGTCATACTTCTCATATTGCTAGAAAATAAGTTTATGAGCTACTGTAAGCCATCATGCATTCGCCTTCACATATTAATTAAACAAAAGAAGGCGCAAGCACCTTTATAAGTACACATAAAATTAAAGGAAATTACTTGGTATGACTCTCATTTATTAAACAAATTTAAAATGCGGGGGAATTTTACATGCCATGGTAACTAAGTTGCCTTATTTTCCTCAGCCGACTGACAAATTTTAAGGTTGCGAACAAAGGTATCTACTGCGTAGGTACGAATTCGTCGAAGTGATACTGCCCAGAGAAACGTGGCGTCTGCCTTTGAAAATTTCCTAATTTCACATTCTGTCACAACTCGGCATTAACTCAAATGAAAACTTCCTAAATTTCTTTAGGCATAAACTCATCATAAAACCCAGGGGATCGTTTTTTTAAACTCTGAGAATTTATAGGCTATATAAACTTTGGAAAGCGATGTGTATGCAGATTGTGGATATTTGAAGTTTTGATAGCCATTTTGGCAGCACCCTTTCATAAGTTTTCAAACCTAAAAATACCAATCAAACGTTCACCTTGTTCTGCCAGATTACTCAAGGGTCTATTAAAGTCTAGTCAGACATTTGACAAAGAGGTGTAGTGAGACCAATGCTCAAAAGGTGAAGTGGAGCGATGCAGTGTTCAACTTCATAAAATAGCATATTTAACCCGGCAAGCCCTTTGTCCCTGCTCTATGATGCTCTCATTAACACTCTAGCCCTTCAGCCCTTCTAGAAGGCTTAAACTGCAAACGTGCTAATGACAGCAAGCAGATCCGATCGAAAACGACGGTCGGATCATTAAGCCTTAACGCTATAAAGCAAACCACTTACTATGGGTGGATGAATATGGTTGGACTTCTGACTTATAGATTAAAGCGCGTCTTCTTTTGGCAACTTTAATGACGCTACCATGAAGGCACTTTCTACGCCTCAACAGAGATAATCACACAAGTATAATGACACCTCCTCCACGTCTTCACTTGACGAGGGAAGAATCGGTATAAGAGTAATATGGAAAGTAGAAAGAGATAAGGAATATCAGATTTACAAAGTGGCTTTAGATTTTGCACTTAATTAAATGGCCCCCCTCTCAGGCCACCATTTTGGTGACCAGCGAACGATATAGGAAATTTACCTATAGCAAAGTAGCATCAACTTTTAAACACTGTGAAGTTGGAGTTAACCTTTTCTAATACAATTTTAGAATCAAACTAGATTATATGCCCGTAAGCAGCTGAAAAACTGCCTTTTCGTAGGATGTTTTTGCAACACTTGCCATGCATAGATGGCCTTAGTAGATGAAGAATCATCTTGAACACCGTGAGCTGAGCTAAAGAAAAGGACTAATCAATGTAGGGAATTGAGACGCTGTCTTGATGCGCATATTTTACGGTGGATCTTTGCCACTCATCCATGTCCTCGCACTCTCAGGAATACCCGGGGTGATAATAACAGTCAGATTATTCGAATACCATTGCCTACATACAGTCTTAGATTTATTTACCACTTGAAGAATCCAGGTAAACAAAATGTTTTGTTTGTTCGACTCTTAGTTTTGGTTACTGGGCAACCCCATTGGCCCTAAGCACTGCCGCTCTAATAGTACGTTCTTCATAATCTTTAAAAAGTCCGTAGAAGCTACATAAGAACAAAACGCAGTTAAACGAAGAGGAACCCCGTGGGTAGAAATTGCTTTCATTGATTTTAATAAATGTTTCAAATTTGCTTCATTTAAAGTAGTCTAATGCAACGGATTAATTTTGCATGTAACTTAAAAAGTTATTTGCATTTCCATATAAAGTAAACAAACTACCTACATATAAAACTCCCAATAAGGAGGTATGCCTACCTTACAAAGCATATGCTTTCAAATATTGTTGGCAGCAAATCGAAGTATCTTAATAATTTTCTCCTAAGATTTGCAAATACAAGTTCATTTTGAATGACCTTTTGAATATATGGTGGGTTTTTTACAACACAATTGAATGAAAATTGCAGAATATGGTTCTTACTTGACAGAGATCTTTCAATGTTTGTGAAAAGCCCCTTAGCCTTTATTTTGGTCATATGCAGTCCGAAAGCACACTGCCGTCCCTCTTCTCACGCGCACTTGGGAACTATCTTAAGATTAAAAAAACTGGAACGGTTTCAACAGATGACAAATTTAGGGTATGCTTTATAAATTCCCATGATTCCCCTGTTACGATCGTGCCGCGCTGCTTGTTTTTCTGTCTTATTTCATTTTTTAGCTTTTATATAAGTTTTCTTGATTTCAGTCGTTGGTTTCATGGTAAAACCTTGTTGCTTCTGACGTGCATAGGAGTTAATACAAGACAGCTGTGCAATATGTCAAGAGGCCATTCAGATGATCAATCAACTCGAGCTATTTAGTAAAAATGAGTTACTCGAGGATCTATCCACTCAATCAATTCGTTACCTTACTCTTCCCGCCTTCCTGGCTTTTTTTAATGGCCAAAAAACCGATCGAGAGGAGCGGCTAACTACATTGAAACTTGCTCAGGCATGCAAATTCTGTCTTGGTCAAATTTTGTTAGACCTACTATGACGAGTTTCTGGATTTAGTCGACTGTTACGGCATTCCCGACTTACCAAAGCGTCAAACAGCGCATGATTTTTCTGGGCAAGTAAATGTCAAGTAGTTTTTGCGCGCGCCAAATATGGTTTCGTAGTTGTGCTTAGTACCTGCCATTTTCTTCTTCAGTGATGGTGCTAATTCGAAATCGAAACCATCCGTAGTTAGATGGGATCCTAACGCTGTTCGTGAAGAAAAAATTCGTGCCTACAAGGCGAAAAAAGCTCTTGAACAACGTCTGGAAAACTTCCACTTCCTTGATACTTCCCATGTGGACGATGAGGTTCTGGTAAGCGAGTCTCTCCTTTGAAGGAAAATCTTGCCCTTTGGGATTGATAACCGAGTATTATTTATTTTGAGAGGGAAGAAAGTTTGGCGATTGTTCGCTATTGGGCCTATACAGCGGTTGAAGAGCTGAAATTGATTAGTGAGGAGGTGGCCATTCTTTTGCGGTTTCTAGAGCCGCAGGGGCCCTCTTCGCCTTTCCCTCCCCCTCCCCCTCCCCCAATCAGTCGACAACCTCCACTCCTCATCACTCGGGAAGAGATTCAAGCTGCTGTCTTCGGTGCCGGCTATCCAAGTTTGCCGACTATGACTCTTGATCACTTTGTTGAACTGCAGGTATGAGACCAAGTGCATTTTGTGTTTTTAAGCAACAATAATATCTCGAACCGGCCAATGTAATCATGCGGTTCTGTAGGTGCAACAAGGGCTGATGCCACTGCCACAACCGGCTAAAGGCAACAAAGTAAACAATAAAGGAGGCACATGGCGACGTATTAATCCTTCGGAAACTGCAGAGGTCAAACAAGAAGCGGAAACAAGAGCAGCGAAGGAGGATGCGCTGGAAGACGCGTACTCGGAAGAACAGCGGGCGAAAGCGCGCAAATTTGACGAATTCAAAGATGAGCATCGGCGTGGTTCTGGGAACCGTGCTAATCGTGGTTGATGACTCAGATAACCAATAAATAGGTTCGCACACCATAACCCCGTCCTTTGCCTTTCTCTTATCCAGGACCAGTTTGAATGGATGTTTGACGGGGGGGAGGTTTTGGCTGCGCTTCAAACATATTATTCAATTATTTACAGAAGCGACGTGTTGAGGCGATAAATGCGGAGGAGCCGGCTTTCATAAAGCGCTTTCGGGAGCGATCCGGCATGCGTCCAGAAGCCACAATCGAGAGCAAAGTACATTTTGGGTGATGATATATTTACTTGATTTACATCAGTAGCAAGAATATTTTAACGGCAGGATTTTGTGGGTGTCTTGGCTAGCTTTGACATCTCTGTTTTAATGAGTATTGGAAAGTATACATGGTTTGAATTGCCTATGCTGGGTTGCATTTTCATCTCTACCGTCACACTGTTTGCTCCTCCAATTGGCATATTTGAAGTCATCGTTTTCAGAATTGATGATACATCTTGTGGTTTTAACTGTTAAAATAAATGTCTTCTGTGTTTCCATTACTGATGCAAAGTAGTCAGAGTTTTCTCACCCGCTTCTTGCGATTCGCGATTAGTATTTGTACCAAGATTTTGAGTGTTCACCTCTGGTTGCGCTTACCTCTGGATGCTTATTTCCCTCCGCCACATTTTTTTATCGTCTGGAATAGATTCAGGCTTGTGTATTTTTTCCAAAATTTGATTTTTTAAAATAAGCGAATATTGCATTCGTCTTAAAATCCCATTTTACTTAACAGAGAGCTGTATTCTCCAGCTTTCTAATGAGAAGAATTTAGTTTTGCCCGGAAGCGGTTTAATTTCCTTCAATTTTAATTATAGATAAGTGTTTGGATAGACAATCTAGTTCATTTTATGGATCCTTCCTTCTGTTGATTTTTCTACCCAAAGCAAAGAACCTACTCGAGTTTATTATGAACTACACATTTTGTCTTTCCCCTCCCTTCCCCATATCGTGTGGTTTCTCCCAACAGAGGGTACAACCGCGGTGTGGTGGAGACGACGATGAAGATTGGCGTGACAGGGAGGACGAAGCCCCCCAAGTGGTAGCTGGTATTGGTGTTAGCGAGTCTGAGGCCATCGACTTTGCTCAACGAAATCTCGTTAAGAAACAACCCCAGACAAAGAAATCAGGTGCGGAAAATAACAACAAACCCACTGCTGAGGAAATTGAAGCAGAACGGTCTGGTTCGTTTTTTCGAATAAACCTTGCCACTTATTCTTTCGTCAGTACGTGGTACTTTACAAGCTGCTTTTCCATATTGCCATTGTAGGCAGGGTGCTCTTTCGCAAACCAAAAGCCAAGGAAGATAGCAAGGATATGAGGGAAAAGAGAGACAGAAGTGGGAGGAAAGGAGAAAACGAGGGGGTTAAAAAGACTGAAATGGTGAAAAGGAACAAAAAATCAGGAGGAAGCCTCTCTTTTAGCTATGACGATGAAGAGGATGGGATGCTTGAGTAAATGTGACAAAATCTGTCATCTGTAAATAAGTTTAACCACCTTGTTGGTCTTAATTTTATAAACTGCGGTAGGCTCTTGCTTAGACCTCGGTTCACCGCCTCAACCTTTCGATTTGGTTTAAATTTTTGTGCCTCATCCTCGTGCTAATTTTTCAGAATGGTATTCTTGTTCTCTTTGCAATGTTTTCAAGTAATAATAATGACCTGGTTCGTTTCAGACTTTTGCAGATTGTAATTTGACATTACTCTGAGAGGGATAACCCTCACAGTCATAGATAATGGTTTGGAAGGCACATCTGCTCGAATGCTGACATGGATTTGCATTAGGTTGGATCATTAATACGAATTATCTTTTTGGACTGAGCCAAATTGAAACCTTATCACTTAAAAACAGTAATTTGAGCAATTTCGAATCTCTCGGTAGTAAATAGATTTGGCAACTTAGAATTGGTAGATCAGAGTTGTTTATTCTCTAACCGTGTGGACTCTTCGGTCGTCTTACCTTTTTAGTTGCCCGTTTTGGCGTTCTGTGCATGACTATAGCCTCTCGACTCCTCCCTCCGCTGTTAGTAACTTTCTTCCACCCTGGCAATGCCTTATTATGAACCTGGGGGCGAATCAAGGAGCGACAATTTGTTTGTTTTGATTTAAGCGTGGGGTAAGCAAATAAATTCGTGCAGCCTCCTAATGACACGTGCTAGATAACTACAGAAATCCCCGCCAGATAATTACCATTGTTATCGGAAATTCTTCCCCTAAAAGTGCTAGGATGCTACGTATTCCATCTCCATCAGATATTGTGTGCCTAGAAGGCAAAAAGAGGTCTAGGACCGCCGACTTTTTCTCTCGTATTGTCTCCCCTACTTCGTGTCTGATCATACCATCTCGGGCGAAAAAAATAAGGGGCAAGAAGCGGATATTTTGGGAGCTTTGTCACCGCCCCTCATTGCGTGTGGATGGTGTCCATTTGCCTAGATTATAGACCACAATAGGACCTATCCCCTTTCTGATTACAGGGTTTTTCTTGATCTTAGAATTCGCTGTTATATGCCTTGATTACGATAGCTGGGTGGCGAAAAAGGAGGTCATGATGATATGCCACCGCAAAATCGATACAATTATTTTACCCAAGAGGAGAAGACAGTTTCTTTACCTTTTGGATTATAGTAGCACCATAGATGTAGTCGAGGTCTCCTCTAGCCCCAGCGTTGAATCTATTTACACCAAACTCCATTTCTTCCAAACTGCAATATACTTAGTTTCTAAGGCAATAAAGAAGTGAAGTAAATTGCATAGAGCCCCCTGTAAAACACTCTACTCGACAAAACTCACTGCAAATGGGATGCAGAAAGACATGACGATCAGATAAGCCGCGCTTTTTCACATCACGTGTACAATCAGCTGATTGCCACGCCTGCGCACGCGCCAATCGATAGGGCGGCGGAGGGAGCGCAGTCCACTCGGCGAGTATCCCAAAATGGGTGAGGAGAAGTTGGGCTATCCCTATACCCGGCCGCGGGTGCCTATTTATGCGACGTACGGCAGTCCCGGTCCTGTCTACAAACTGCCTCCATTATTGGGCGAAAAGGATCACGACTTTGAGAGCATTCATATAAAAGCTCCGGCTTACTCGTTCGGCCATCAATACAAGAATCTCTATTATGAGGCTAGTCCGGGACCAGCTGCCTATCCTCAAAACGGCAAGATGACCAATCATGGTCTCATGCAGGGTCCAGCTTACAGCCTGAAACAGAGATTAGATCCAGACTCCTCATCGCCTGGACCTGGACCAGCTCAATACCTTCCCAATGACAATGCGGTGCATCCGAGATCCCCGGGGTACCAGTTTGGGCTGGCAGCACCGGATCTTCTCAAAAACCCCGGGCCCGGTAAGCAGACTTGACGATTTCTCGTTTATAAGTTAGTTCCGGGGATGCGCATAAGCCCTAGCCTCTAAGGTTGTAAAAATTTTATCGTGTGAAAGAAGACTTCTTTTTAACATAGCACTGTGGGCCGAGAAGTTCCTTTTACAGCTCAACTCGTGAGTCACCTTGTAACCACATTAGCCAGTATTTGACAAACCAATCAAGTCTCTCGGCCGCTTCTTCACTGACAGCTAGGAAAAAGAGGTGAATATTCGTTGCTACTTTTCCCCGTTCCTTTTTTAAAATTCAGCTCCGAACGCCTACTCACTGCCTCGACCAGATATTATTAGTGGAAAGATTTCAGCACCTCAGTACACTCTGACCGGCCGAAATGATGGTCTTTCTACACCAAAGGTGATTTTTTGTTAATGTTTTCTTCTACTTTTAACTATCAAATGTGAAACAAATTTGGTGATTAGGACCAAAAAATCTTCCCTTTTTTTACCAAGAAAATAAAAACAAGAAGGTTTAAAATGTCAGCAATGTCCCAGCATCCTCCCTGATCTCGTAATAACTCTGGACGGCGTGGAAGAGAAGACATTGTTGAAGTAGTGGAGGATGAGGCAACTACAGACAGCCAGAAGACCACGCCACTAAGCCGGATGCACAAACGCCAGAGATTGATGAGTCCACGGCAAGAGGCTTCAGAACTCGACTTCAATAAATTAACTTGAATATAGTGAGACGGTAGTTATAAACTTAGGTAGTAGAATTTATTCAGGCGAGGTATTAATTCAAGCTTCATGGGAAGGGTTGTGGTCCCTTAAACTGTTAGAAAGAAACTGACTCTTTCCCCTTTTCGTGCACCAGAACCCCGGCCCAGCGGACTACACTATCGGCAACCCCGAGATCACCAAACCATCTGCACCCAAGTTCTCCATGGGCGCCACTTTACCGATCCCCCTGAAGCCTATGCCTGGTCCGGCTGATTATCGTGTAGACGACGTAGGTTTTCGCCTTCGGCATCACCAAATGCCTTCCACTCTTTTAAAATAGTTTATAACCAGACACGTTTTCCTTTCCTCCCTCCAGGTGACACTAACTCGACGCAGAGCACCCAAGTTCTCCATGGGCATCTACCACAGCCCCTACAAGTTGGATATCATTGACAAAGGCAAAGATGATTGGTTGGAGTGCTGATGACCCTGAGGCCTCACCAGAAGATCTGTTTGACCCCTCTGGTTTAATTTCCACATGTGTGTGTGTGTGGGGTGTGAAACAACTGACTCTTCTCAGTATTTTGTTTCAACAATCCCACTTAAAAAACAATTTTCTCGAAATTTGAGCCTTTTTTCAGGCTAAGGATGGTAGGGTAAGATTTTGGGCTTGAAAAGGGCGAACTAGGCGATCCGCAATCGCTAGCAAAGGGCTGTGGAATATAGGTACCACATGATCAGTGGGATAAACCACTTGAACCAATTTAATTCGTGTTTTATGCGCAGGTGAGGAGGCAGAAATCAGGAGATTAACTATAATTTGGTGGCATTTAATGCAAATTTAATAGCTTTCCTGCATGCCTGCAAGAAGTTTAGCTTGGATGCGTTGACATCGAATTGACAAGAGGAACGCCGGCTTAAAAGCGAGCAACGAGAGTCCCAATTTCCTCTGTAATCTTTCTCAGGACGAAAACTATTCAAAAGAAGGCAAGTCTTGGACGGTATTATTGGGTTAAGCTGTGTAGGGGAATTTGACAAAATGGTGGTTGGACAAAGGCATGGATGCATAGAAGGCCAAGTAGGTGATTTGGACGCCCGAAATATTCTTGACCTATTTTGGGATGGTACAAAACTTCTGGTTGTGTAAATAGTCGGCGATGGAGGGGTGAAGGACGTTTTTGGGCGGACGAAGCGGGAATAGAACCGAGGCAGATTCGCCTTCAGAATTGACACTGCATGTTAGATCTGGCCAGAATTATAGTTCCACGCCACTAGCAGAACAGACATTTTGCCGGCTTAGCCCACCCCACAAATGATTGTCTTGACGGCATGCATAATTCCAGCACCTTCGCTTAAGCGCAGAGGCTATCCACAAATAGGCGTGTATTGGTCGATTTGCGGTTTTGTCTCCGGGAATGGGGAATGGTTACTCCCGTTTCTTCGGCTGTCGGCTTTGGCCTTGCCTATCCAGGTCTCACAGATATTCAAGGTGTAAAGACCCGGCCAACCGGCAACTTTTCAAGGAATGCCTTGCTCTTTGATATGGTCGTACCCTCCCAGAACATGGGGCTCGGACAATAGAGCGCTAAAATTCTAACCACAACACCGAACTACCACAATGCATTAGGTAATTTTTTTGGCACTTGCAGCGGTTTCAAGAGGCCTCACCTCACAGCGACCGCACCACTCCAATCCATACTAACAGGGTTCGCAATGGAAGGCATAGGCATTGACAACATGGGGAAGTGGATATATTCTGGTTATGGGAGACTGTTTCACGAAAGCAGCTAAAGCTTAACCCCTGATGACAGAAGACGCATGGTCTTTCTTCAGTCAATGGCATTGACAGCACAAAGTGCCTGAAACGGTACTTAGCGACTCTTTGCTGAAATATGCGCGAACTTCGGGATTTTTAAGACATATAAGACACCTAGACATCCGCGAGGTAATAAACAGGTGAAAAGAACGAGTCGCACCCTGAGAGAAATACTACCAGCTTTCAACAAGGATGTACAAACGGAAGACGGGATTAACGCCATGGACGGAGCCTCCTTGCCTACAGTCCATGCATTACCGGCGTTTCACCACTCAAGATGCTTACAGGTAGTGAAACGATAGTACAAACTGATATTTCTTTAACAAATATGGAAGAAGCGATCCACGATATCCCACAATACATCCTGTGGCTAAATAAGGAATGGGACAAAAATTGTAAAATCACCCGTGGAGCAAAAATGCATTCCAAGAAGTGCTAGCCGTCTCACGCAGTGCTCAACCAATCACCGATCTCCGCGCAAGATGCACCCCTACAAAGGTACACCAACTTTTGGATACGAAGATGGAGCTGACGTACAAACGAGAGAAGTAATACCACCAGAAACGGCATTTGCAAGGACCGCGCATTAAGGAAACATAGAAGACTACTATTAAAAAGACGAGGGAGCTGTGCAATGCGTCTTTTAGGTAAGAGGCAGTCAGCGAGCCCGAAACTTGTGGCGGAATGGACGCCATCTGTTCCCAAGGAGGAGTGTACTCAGGACATTCATAACCCTGATCACTGTGCTCGTTCATCCTATCCCCAATGAAGAATGCCCACACCTAATCAGTCCACTCATTCTAAGGGATTCAAGGCCAAGGTGGAAGAGGTGAATGCCAAATCTGTTACAGGCTGGCAGTTTGATGATAACATGCTTAAATTTGCTGTCTCGTTGTACTAGGAAAAAATAGGCGAAATTTTTGAAACGAACTTGTAATGCATGGACCACCCACTAAAATCGCAACACACTTTAAGATGGCTCGTGTTTCGCACGAAATTTATGATTAAATTGACAGTTTGAAAGAAACCGATCATAACAAACTATTGGTGATACGCCGTCGTAGGATCTAAAATTAGGAGGCAGTTATACTTGGCAACGTATTCAGATAAACACAAATGGCCTCATTTCTGCCATTTATTCAGCCTACTTAATGGCAGTTAACTCCGACGCATAATTTTTTCTGACATTGCACTAGTGAACCAAATTTTCATTTTGGAAATGAAGTGCAGTAAAATTTGCCCCACCTCCACGGCAAAAGCATGAATTTAGAAGGAATTTTCGGGTCCTTTATTGGCAGAAAATGCAAAAAAATCAAATTCCATATTTTATCGGTCCGCAAGGTCAAAACTTCTATCAAATCAAGGCATGATTTAGATGAAGAAGGCCTCTAATTAAAAAGCATTTAGCCCGCCTTGCTGTTTATTCTGTTGCTTATTCCGTATTGTGTTCTCCCATTGGTTCCTTACCCTCTAAACAAGAGAAATCAGGAGAGGAGGACGAGAAACTTTGGTGAAATTTAAAAGATTATCAAAGTCCGATGTCGTTTTTCGACTAAGGGCTCAAGGATGTTTGGTTAGTTGTGTTGTCTGTGTAAGCTAACCACTTGCCACCTACAAGGTGCCTTCAAATCGGCATTTGTTGAACTTCATCAAGCTGGTTCTCACTATTCACAGTAGGAAAAAATATGAAATTCTCATTAGGTTTGCAAACTCCTCCACAGCCATGTGTTTGCCTTAAGGCTCCACCCGAATCCCAAGAATTTAGGATTTTGTAAATTGACGAACGCCCAGATTTTGCGTGTCTCCTATAAAAATCGTGAATTTAGTTGACGTTTTAGAGGAATATTTGCTTTCCTGTCCTAATCTGTAATTAATTAAATCGCCTCCGAGGTGAGAGCCCAAGTTTTAAAGACACGAGAAATCATTAAATTTTGACTTCGGCCATCTGCCCGTATACAACCATCCATCCCGTATCCATCCATCCAGCATAAATCCATTAATCCATCCTGTGGCCATCCATCCCGTACCATCCGTTCATTTTGTATCCATCCATTCATTCATCCACTCATTCATCCATCATTTTCTGTAGGCAAGCTTTGCTTCACAGTTTGAACACTAACCAGGGGTGAATGTTGCTGATCAGTAAAAACGGACCCCCTGACTACTGCAAAGCCAACACACACTGGTGGTCAGCAGTGGATAGTCGCTGCCGCTGATTTGGCCATATTTTGACAAATTTTCCATACTTGACCTTCGGTATTTGTTGTCTAGTAGAAATGTGTTTCAGCTTATGCTCGGATTCATCCACATTTTTTTCCACCTTCCTCCTTACAAAAAGGCGTCTTCAGTAAGCAAAATTATTAAAAAATCTAGTTGAGCTTAAATAAAGAGTTCTGGATTGCATCCCAACTAAACAAAATACTCAGGGAACTGGTTAAAACAAAAAATGTCTTTTGCTTTAATAGACGCCGACTACGCTTTCGTTGTTTGGATGATTTGTGGGGTAGAGGCAAACTTCTTTCCAAGTTAATGGCGGCCATCTTCCAAAAAAAGTTACAAAAACTTACACTTTTGCTACTTTTTACATTCTTTGTAATGCTTCAATTTTTATTCTCTCAGTTTTGGTAATGGAATACTTAGGAGCTCCGCCATTGTACCTTTGCCTAGCGGCCTGGTCTCTGGGTCCTGCCAGTAGATTCAGGTCCCCGACTGTGCGTCGAGAATTACGTATTCTCCCTGAGTATTACAGGAAATCTTGAGACACTGCCTTTCTAAATAGAGTTTATTTAAAAAAACGATTATGAGGTGATTTGATTCGACATAACCGATAAGAGAGACCGAAGGAGCCAAGCAACTATGTTGGATTCGCATGCTTCTTGAGCCATCTCTTAAATCGCCTTCCTCAAAAATTACTACAAAAATCCCGGAGAAATCTTCCTTTAATTCCCCAATCATTTACCATCACCATTCAAGTCAAACCGGGACGTTTGGCCGAGTTGCCACTCTGGCCGTATCGGGGCATCCCAGGCTCGGTCCCAGCCCAGACAGAAATCGCCAATGAAGGTGAGGGTCGGGAGTGGTAGCGTGGCAACAAAACTTCTTGTAAAACCGACCCTTAAGTTCTTTTATGCGTCCATTCGCATGGCTCCTATCAGCACTGATTGGTGAACACTTTACAATGCTGTTTTCTTTTGATTTTTTGACAAGGGCTTATCACCTGTCCCTTGGGTTGCCTTTAGGAGGGATGAAACAGCATCCAGTCAGCCGGTAATTGGCAAGCAGACATGTTGGGTTCCTTTATGATAACTTTCTTGGCTTCTTTTCAAAAAACCCCCTTTTTATACAGAAAAGGTCGATTCATTGTACGAAATAGTTTTTTGCATCTCCTTTGCCACATTACGTGGATGTGTAGCGCCCCGAGAATTCCCTGCGGAGGAAAGAAGACAAAACACTTGGATAGCATATGTATCAGCTACGTACACAAAAAAAACTGGGGAGGTGTAGTGACGGAGCCCCTAAGTGGTCCATTACTGAGACTGAAAGGTAGACAAGCAGGCTACTACGGTTGTACCCACCTGTGCCGTGTGATGTCTTCTGTTCAACACTATGGCTGTCCTTGAAGTCTGAAGGTAGGCTTTTCATCCTTCGGTTCTGAGCACTGAGAAACGTCTAGGTAAATTGTCCCAAAGGGGAAGGAAAAGGCACTTAATCACAGGCCTGGTATTGTGGAGCGGGGCATGTGTGTTCAAAGCACAGATCCATCTCCGTTGGGATGGGATGAGTTTTCCACTTGTGGTCGTTCCTCCATAACCTGAAGAACTCTTAAATTCTTATGCTGGTGTGATGAATATTTAACCACCCCCAATTTTCAGGTGGCTACATCGAAGAGAAATAAAGAACTCTGGAAGAGATCCACGAAAATTGGAGAATAGAGACTTGAGAATTCACAAAAAGGCGGCTTGTGAAAGAGAAATTTGGAAAATAGTTGTAAACCGTTGCGTTGGCGGTGATCATTTACAAACGTGAAATCAGGTGGTAGGACGAGATGACGAGACACGCGGATAGCCTCGTCAGTTAGATTGAAACATCCTTGGACGGCCTGTCTAACTTAACCACTGATGCCGAAACCGTGGCAAGCTATAATGCGAAACGGAACCTGGAGATTGGGACGGAAACCACCACGGCCGAAATTACGCTTAAATTAACGGCCCCATTTTATCCGTTTGCAACTCATCACCACATTGTCCACATGAAGTATTCTCTACGAGGTGATGCGTCCGGACTCGGTTTTTACACCCACGTTGACAGGAACCTCTACCAGACAGCACGTACACACCACAACTCATGAGTGAGGGTCCCCGAGTGATGCAGCTGTCCATGCGTTGTTGCCATTACAGTGGCAGCAGACCTTTTTGTGCCTGTCATTTCGAAAGCCAACCTCGGCTGAGACGTGACTTGCACCGACAAGTTTCTTTCCGCCCACCTTGCTACAACGACGGCGGCGAAAGTTGGCATAGCTATAATGCCATTTATGCATGCAAAAGTGCAGCTCTTCCATACCACCGTAAAATCACCTCGCCAACCCACCATTGCCATGACTTTCAGAGGCAGACGAATTGGTGCCTTGGTAATGACCAAAGAAAATGCGATATTACGCAATTGCCTAAGAGGGTCGCATCTTATGCCGTCATCCTAGTTAAATAGATTCCAGTTTAACAGTCCAGTATCAGAAGAGATAGCAAAGTGGCGAGATGCAAATTGCCATTACAGAAAATTAAACCCTTTTCTATAATGGATGAGAAGGTGACAAAGTGTTATCACACTTAAAGGTGAAAAACAGTCATATTTTCCAATGTATAAAATGAATGGTACAGTGTCTTTGTCTCCAAAAATTAGACAAAAGTCACCTTTTTGTGATCCATTCAACAGGGATGTCGTTGTATCAGGGGAGCATCAGGGGCATCAAAGACGACGCAAGTAATCTGTTCCACCCTGATATAACAGTATCGGGTGTCCCAATTTGGCCAAAATGTCTTTTGCCTTGTTCTCTCCACTTGGTGTATAATTCAGGTTTTGATAATTGATGCGTTAGAACAGGGTGGAAAAGGATATTGGTGGATCCTTACAACACAAGGAGCACTGACCTCTTACAATTGGAAATGACCTCATTCTTGAAATAGAAGTGCCGAAATGTGGGATAAATTTTATTCGTTCTTCTTTTTGTGATAAATCAAAGTGTCGACAAATGCAACCACAATCCATAGTGCCCTTGAATTTGGCCAAAAACACCAAAAGATGTGATTTGTAGCTTTCATTTGAATTAATTACTCGGATAATCTAGTCAAAGGGGAGAAATTTGTCTTCCATACGCTTGACGACGATTCACAGAGCAGGTCCACATATTAGTCCAAAAAGGTCAACTTTTTGCTAATTGGTTTGTTCATTGATTTGAGGTGCGGAGATCGCTGATTGGTGGTAGACGCCGAACCTTTCAGGAAGCTATTTATTGTTAGAATGCATACATCTGTAATACTTTTCTCATCTGGCTACCTCTTTGGTTTGGTTTCGCGGACACTTAAAACTCTGTGATTTTACTTCCACTGGGCGGCACGGCCTTTGGGCTATACCAGGATCCTCTCAGTCCTTCTGTACATCGGCAATGCATTCTCTACCCCATCATTATAGCATCTTTCGTCCTCAGGAAAGCCTAAGGGTGCTACAATACCTCTAATTACTTGGTGGTTTTGAAAGAACTCAAGAGAGTGGTTACTGCCACGCAATTGAGGGCCCGAGTAGTAAATCAAGTTGCACAACTGAAAGAAATCATCCCACTTATTAGACAATTTATTTTCTGCTACTGCTTCTTTAAATTCCAAATACCAAATGAGTAAGAGACAGATTTGACGCTAGGAAGCACGTCTTAAACCAATGAATTATGGTTAGAGAGAAATTGGTATTGAACCGAACTACAACATCATTGTTGGCTGCAAAGAAAGTCTGGCAAATGGCCGATTAATTGGTCAATCAGTTTGAATCGGATTACATGCAGTATTCAAGACGTCGCCTCTTCTCAGGATTTGAGGGACAAACGTATTGGAGGTATCAACAACTCCTAAAAAAATAGTCCCATTATAAAGTCCCCGATAGTCGCTTTTTGAAATCCAATCCCTCAGACTTTCTAGAGCCTTCCTCCATTTGATCCACTTTGAGTTCGTTTCGTCGTCTACTGGGACATGGAGGCGAACGCCATATATATATATACATGAAGCAAGGTCAAGGTCAACTAAATTGATATAAATATATGAGAATGGTGACAATCCTAGAGCCTTAATAGTCCAGCCAGCAGGCACGTATCCACACGCCATAATCCCAGTTTATTCAGCTTGTCAAAGCTCAAGATCACGTCTTTCCAAGGTCTCAGCTCTTGATTACTCTGGTTTGGAGGTCAGTAGCTCATAACGCTTAAATGTTGGAATATAGCGTGGAAAGAAGCAAGACAGATGCGAGAAGGCATAGCAGATGTACCGAAAAGATCGCATCAACGGACTGACAGATATCCAGATTATCAGTTCTGTGCGAATAAACCGACGATCCAATGTATACGAGGGTGCAATGAAAGGTGAAGGTTTAATTCCTCTCCGTAGGCTGCGGGAGGCATCGAAATCGGTCTGCAAAGTGAAGTCGGTTCAGCTCCAACCACCACTTTTCATGTTACCAACATAAAGGGGCACCAGTAGGAGGCGGCAATTCTGTCCTCTCACGCCTCGATGGCCGGCGCACGTTGTTTTGTGGGCCATTCCACCCAGATGACCGTTAATCAAGATGGCAGGCAACAATGGTAGTATGTGTGTGCGTTATGCAGTTCCTTCTAAATGTCGCAAAGAGGACCGCTGATGATTTCCGCTTACAGCAAACATTTCGGTGGAGGAAAGCTTGTCCCATCGAACACCCACCTGGACTCCAACTCGATGCCTTAATAAGCTCTCTTGAGAGGATACAAGGAAAGAGTTGGCCTAGCAGCAGCAAGCACTACACCTTCGTAAGTTCGGAAAGTTGGGTGCCGGAACCGCTTTCCGCCATCGACCAATGCAGAAGGGTTTTCCAAATCACCGAGTCAATCCACACAGCAAAAGCCAGATACCTGATTCTTTACCTCGTAGTCAGGACAAAGAATAAAGCGCTGGTGAAATGAGGATCTTCCACCTCCAGCGCGAGGGCAAAGCCTGCAAACTATCTTCTGGAGGTCCAACCACACCAACAAATCTCCTCTGATTAAAGCTGATTCACAAACGATGGGGAAGTGCTACCAAAAGTACTAAGTAGATATAGTTCGCATTAGCTACGGAATGAGTGGAGAATGTTCATTCCACGGAATCGGCTTCCATTCACTTGTAAACTCACAAGTCCCGGCGTGACTTGAACACGTTTTGGAGAGACCGCCACCTTCTTTACAAGATCGACTTGCATAAAATGGGATATAATGTAAAGAATATCAGCAAGATACACAATAAAGCAGCACCTCTTACCAAAAAAGTGGGGTGGATAGATAGCCTATGGATTGCATATCAAGACTCTTGATGGCAAGCAATCCCATTCTAGGAATTTGAGAAACCAACAGGGATATTGCTTCCTATGCACCATTAAAAAGTTACGCATTTACGACAGATAGCAGTCTACTTGACTGTTACATAAGCAGGTAGGTGATAAATGGGCAGCAGCCTCATGTTCATCTGTTAAGCATATATAATAAACTATTGGGAGAGGGTTTAAAAGTTAATGAAAGAAGTAGTCCCCGAGAAATCTGTATCAACTGTGCTCCACTTTTTAAATGAGAAGTGGAACTAGGAGGAGGAGGAGGAGGATAAGGGAGGAAGCGATCATTCGAGGTGTGGCATTCCAAGAGCGGAAAATCACACGAGAAACTACAACGTTGGCCGGATTGACCGACTTCAGTTTTCTGTAGTTATTCGCCATTTTAACCTCCTTTTCCTCACTGGCGAATTGCAGAAATCGCATTGCCTCAAGCTAAAATAAACAGAACAAAAAATTTTTTTGCAGAAAGGTTTTGACTACTACGGGTGATTGGTGTTAACGCGTATATCCCGTAGTCCCGGTTTAACTTGAATATCGGTTTAGCTACATACCAATTAGTCATTTGCACCATCGCTTACCTGTCGAGGGCTAACTGGCACTGGGGTTCCAATCACTGTCCAGTAGACATTTTCCGTGCAAGGAGGGGTGGTCAGCGAGCCCTCATATCGAAAGTAGCGTGTATTGGCGTCACCAATATCTAATAGCGCATTCACCGGGAAAGGAGGGAGGTTAGCTTTATGATTGGGGCGCTCGACCTCCGTCACCTTCTGCAAAAAGGCACCCATATTATAGAGTAAGGTTTTTTCGCGTGGAATATTTTGGTCCTCCAGAAACACAAGACCTAACACGGCTAATCCGTTCACCCCTTTAGAGGCCTCCGAGAAGTTTGCGTATAACGTTCGGTCATACGACACGATGTGCATCTGAGAAAAAAAAACAAGTTGATGATTAAGTTTTTGAAATGAAAGCGAGTGCTACCGTTATAAACTGTACTTAGAGTTAATTTTCTTCCACAATTTATAGATGACCCATCTGTGAACTACTTATAAACCAAGTGCATTTGTAAGTAGTATGGATTGACGTCACCTCAAGGGGGAAGAATTTGCCATCAATGCTATGCTCCGAGCCAACAGAGCTTTTATTACCCCAGTGAAAGTGAAACTGGGTGATGCAGAACTTCATATCCCGCGTATCTTGGAGGTTCAAGAAGTAGTGACACGAGTCGATGTTGACAACAACTGGAAGTAGAAAGAGGAGGAGATTTGGTTAGTTAAATCGACACGTACACACCAATAGATGGTCTATAAATACTTGAAGGGGCCTTTTTCGGTTGCTGGTGATTTGACATCCACATTGACGACATGGAGCCATTTCTACCAGCCTCCTAAGACTGTCGAACTTGGGTAGTCAGTTACCTTCCAGATTGACACGGCCTACATAGGCAGCTGTGCGGTGCGGTGTACTGAACACCTCTTAAACTTTTGTTCTCTGATGCTCCAAAGAAAACTTACAACACAGTAAAGTGGTAAGTAAATGCAGAAGAAAATTTTCCGCTGCAGATGACCCAATGTGTAGAGACTTACATACTGAAATAGTGCGAGACCGAAATTTCCAGCGTCTACTCAATTCACAAAGAAATGATGAGCCCAAGCCTCCTTATTTAGCAAGAGCCTGGGAAAATCTTACATGGGTGGGGATCCCTCCCCAAACAAAAGGTGGAAAGAGGTGGTGAAGGAGAAGCACAGCCTCAAGAGTTCACTTCGCCTTGCTGTGTGATTTAATAAGTGACTTTGCTCTTGACTACACAATTCCCACGCAATGCGAATTCGGCATGAAGTGTGCTTGTTGTAGAATATCCTTCAACTTTAAGGCATACCAAACCAATTAATCTCAGCGGCGTCTGTAAACTCTTTGAAATCCGCCTCGTTATGATGGAATACCATCTGACAAAATTTCCTCACGTCACTCAAAGAGGGTTGTGTTGAGGAGTCAGGAAGAAAAATCCGTGAAAGTGTTGCAGATGGACTACTCAGAAGTGGAAAAAAAAAGATTGTGGAGTGGTCGTGTAGTAGACGATTACACAGGACTTCTTCTTAAATATGGGAAGTGAAAGATCTACTTTAAGGTTTGTCTCCTGTGCAACGTCATCTGGGGACAGACTTACGCGTGTGGCCGTTGTTACTCATAACGAAGGTTTCATCGACACCAAAGGTGCCGTTTTGGTAGACACCGATAGGCTTCAAATGAGGATCGTAGATGGAATCCGCGTAGGAGAGAGGGATTGGCGACTGTTTCGATCCTTTGCACATCTTGCTAGCTACCTCGCCCCACTTCTCCTCCGAAGAGTTTTCGTTTGTGTAGGACCAGTGGCCTTAAAAATTGTTAGTAAGAAAGTAAAAGAATTTGTTCTTTATCCAAATTGAATAGATTTCGGCTTTGACACAGGGTGAATGTTTACTATCTACTTTTGTTTTCTCACTGACTTAATGCTCTGACGTTCTGTTTATGTCACCTCTGTTAGCTGTTATCCGGTCCCACAAAAAGTACTATCGGACTCCTCCATTTTTTGACGCATTTGGGAGGAAGTGGGGGTCTTATTTAACTCTTACTTTACCATGTATTACTTAAAAATGCCTAAAGTTGAATGACCCAAATTATTCGCTTTGATGGTTAGTTACACCCGACACCTTGTAGGCCATCTTGCTCTACTAACTCATTTCACTTCTTATCTAAAATATTTTGAACTTTTTTGGCATTAATATAAAAATGCCAACCTATCTGAGTGTTTTTATGCAATTTAGTTTTTTAAGGGGGTAGAAAGGAAACCCAATCTCACTAGCTGAAGAGAAGGAGAGAAGGAAGAGGAGAGTAAGGCCCAGTAGCGTGCCCATTCTATAAATTTATTTATCCATCCTAAAACAGAAAAAAAGTGCAATTAGCTTTTTTCCAAAAAAAAAAACAAGTAAAAAGGAGAACATCCGTAAATGTGAATTTCCGGTGTCCCGCTAGAGATGCTGTCACTTTGCCACCGCTTTAAACGTATCGTACTGGCTGGGGGACAGGGAAAGGAGGAATGTGTAAAATTTAATCAAGTACAAAACATAGTAAGGACGCATATAAGAGTAATAAAGGATTTGGGAAGATAATTTTTTTGCGAAACCATCTTTGAGAAGGTCATAAGAGGGGCATTTTTCGAAAAAAGATAGAAAGGTATTATTCGTAACTCCGTCGATTTGTATTTTATAACACTTTTCCCCATCCCTTCTTTTTGGTTAAATTTGTACTATTTTCTAATAAAAAGGGCGATTTTAGGGTTCTTCTAACAAATATCGACTTGTTCTATTAATTGAAAGTGCCATCCGAAGGTCATAAAACTGACCGAAGTATACATGCCCACTTATGATTCGATTTGGAAATACCCTATTAACACTGGATTCCACTTCTACAGAGATTCTAAATAAAAAAAATCGGAAGATCTTTGAGGAGAAGGTTTTTTGCCAGTGGGAGACCGGAGAGGCCCGAAGCAATCAGTGGCAACAATCGTGACACTCAATGCCAATATGTGATACCAGTGGTTGACAAGAAACGCCAAGGAAAAATAGACCTGGTCCCACTTTAAGTACCCTCTTCAACCGATGGCGAGCCCAAAAGGATTCATTCCGTCATGGAGGTATAGAGCGCTCTTCGCCAAGATGTAAGGGCACCGTTCCACTCAAACACTATTGTGCTCATTTTCTTTTTCATGTAGGTGTTGACACTTAAATTTTTACACTTGACTGCTTGAGGACTAAACTTTGAAAGATTAATGTAAGGTGCGTAAGACAGGTGCACTTCGACATCGTTTATCAACCAAGATGAAAAGCTATTGAAGGCAAATCAGAGGACACAAAACAATTGTGGAGAGTACAGAAAATAAGGAAAGAAAAGAAATCAGCGTAGTAACCTCGAAGTTACCCGGCTTTATAAGAGAGCTTGAAGGGAGCCCAACCTCTCCTTGTCATCAACTCTCAAGTGGGAATTACGCCTTAGGCACCAACACTTCCCGATTACTTTGGTAGGGTGACAGTTCCTATGGCGAGAGACAAAGAATTTGGTGGACCAATCTTGCAGACTGACATACGTCATTAGGATGTCGCAAGTCGACTCACGCCTGCCAATTGGCTCATCTGGAGGACTAAGTGCTCGACAAACATAAACTCCGTGGACCTTGCCCCACCACATACAGCCTAAAAATTAACTCATTGGTTTTACGTCAAGATATTCCACCCTGCCTAAAAATAATTTGTTAAGTTATTATTTTTATCGCATTAAAGAACTTTTGTTAATTCACAATTTCACTTGGCTAATTTAGGTCAATTGTCAAAGACAGGCTGGCAATTTTTCGTGGAATTTTTTATCCGCCTAATTTGATCAGAGCATGAGGTTTGTGGTGAGATCATCAAGGCCAAAAGTGCACGGTCAAGAACAGTTAATGATCAGCCTAAAGTGTGGGGGCGATAAAGAAATTCTTTCCATCCAACATTCTTCCACATCTGCCCTATCAGCAGTGAATACTGTCTCGTCGCTAAATTGTGACCATTTATAAACGAAGAAAAAAGGTAAAGGCAAGGTATGGATGGGTTGGGTAAAGGCGACAAGCAGTAGCGCTGGTCAAAAAAAAGCATCTTGTGGGGTTAAAGCCTTCTGAATGACGCCAACTTTGTGGGCTTTACCATAGTTATCAGAGAAAGACTTGAAAGAGCGTGGAATAGGCAATGAGTGAGGTAATCACCATTTTTTGAACTGCTTAAAGCTAAAATTGTCAAGCCGTATGCCACCTCGGAGGATGCAAATTGACTGCACAGGCTTGACACCTGAAATCCCGTTTTTTGTCTTCACGTCAGCTTGCTTCTACAAAAGCCTATTTTTGTGCATAGAGGTAGGAAATAAAAAGTGAGAGGACCGTGGACCAGAAAAGCCATTACGCACGTAAGAAGCATTAAAAAGAACCCGATGCTCCACAGAACCATAAATCAGGTGCAGAGATGGAAATGCTGTTCTGGCAATGCATTAGTGCCATAGGATTTCTAAAGGTAGCTGTAAGGGAAATTTGCAGTACAGTGACACATGAACAATTATGAAGAGTTCGGTAGAAGCAAAAATGCGCTTAACAAATCTGTCTAGTTTAAAGTACCTTCTACCAACGGAGAGATAGAGGCGTTTTCTATCAAGTTATTTGTAGCGGGATAATAAATGCAGCATCGCACCCAAAAAAGAAAGCCCAATATTGACAACTTAAGATCCGTGTAAGCCTTGTGCACAAAAAAGACCTTTAATTGCCTGACAGTATAAAAATTAATGAAGGAAATCATAGGTAAAAACTCAATCCCGAGTTCCTTACAAAGAAGAATGGGAAAAAATGGTATTTGATTTCATACCTAACCAGTTGTGAGTACAAAAAGAGGCAACAAAGAGCTGTGCAAATGGGGTGTAAGTGACACTTACGCAAGATAACACTTAAATTACTAAAGAGTCCCCACCCAACACAGTCTGCATATTTAACGTCGCGGGCGTTGCACCGTGATTGGCCCATTTCTACACCTACATCGCCTGCCTCGGATTGGCTGACAGGCGTGACCGCTCAGACAGACAAGTGGGTGTCAGCTTCAGCTCTATTCAATTTGTTCCACTTTATACTACCACTGTCAATGAAAATGTGGCTGCGGCATACAACGAATTTGAGAACCGTTAAAATAATCATTAACATCATCATCCCACCACTAAACCCCTTCCACTTCTAGCTTACCTCCCACTTTTCATCCAAGATGCCTTCTACATCGTGGAAGGAGCAACAGATAGTAGTACTCTTAACACCGCTTTTTTCCCGACTCACGACCACAATTTGAACATGGTAATTAAATTACTCCCACCTTGGTGACTCTCGGCACAATTTGCCACGCAAAGCTCCTAAAAGTCCTCTGTCGATGGCACTGGAGCGCAGGGCCTACCAACTTCACAATACTCGCTTTATCATCGCGCCAGCAAATTGGTTATAAGAAGCAATGGATTGTATTCTTACGAGTGTGGGTGCCCTGATGTTTTATAACTTGTAAAAGCGAAGACAAATTGAGCTTTAAACAGGGGCTAAATCATGCATAAGAAGGTGCAATGCGGACCCGTCAAAGTACTGCAATGACTTTTTTGCTTTAACAGGAATGGCAGGTTTGATACGAGAGTCGTACGTCAATGGAATGCATAATTTAGCAGATGAGGGTGGCTCGGTGGAACTAATTTGTGCTGCTGCAGCGATAAATTGTATGGAAAATGTTCGTAGCCACGAGCAAAATCAAATCTGTTTTGTAGATTTTAAGCAGTAGCAGCAGCAGTTGAGGCGACCAAGTTAGTGGCCAAATTGGCTTCGAGGTCTTCAAATTATCGGGCTATTAGTGGACGGACTTGGGGCGAATTTGGTCGATGAATTGGGAAGTCACTCTTCACATTACAAATGCAACCACTGCTTTTCGTATTCCGTCTCCTTCCAACAGTAAAGAGGTAATCGTTGCCCCAACCACGACGCACTTCGTCCACGCTGCATGCCAAAGTGCACCTTTCGGAACCTTCAAGAAAGGGTTGATGGGAGTGTCCACCACAATGGACAGTGGTGGTGGCAAGGGTATTTCAATTCGTCTACCTATTTTTTGAGGTCGATGCCCATTCAAGTAGGCGGAATGCTCAAATGTTGAGGTAGTCCTCTCTGTACTGGTCAATCAAAGAACTGGGAAACTCCTGGATAGGATATCCACAATCGTTCGACTGGTCGTGCTCACTGGAACGCAGAGATTCAGACTGCTGAAAGACAGTTATAATTGAACAGGTTAGAACGTCCTCTCACCCTATCTCAGACGAACCATAGAACAAATACTGCCCATTGTAAAATTCAAGCGTAAAAGTGCCAAATTATGGGATTTTGGCTACCGGAGAAGCTCCAGGAAAGAGAAAAATTCTCACCGGAAACAACTTAGGCACCTGCTATCTAAGAAGCATTTGCTGTACTCCTAGAAGACTAGCGTATTACAGAGGGTTGGAAGTAATGAAGGAAGGCCTGGTGTCATGGCTCCAAAGCCTCCTGCTATTGGTCTACGGAAGAGGTCCTTCCACAAATGCACATCTGCTTGATTGGACGTGTGGGGAAGAGGTTGGATTTACCTCATCACGAAGAAGGTGATGCATGCACTACACCTTGTAGGAAGAAAGGACATCGTCACCTGGAACCACGGAGTTGGCCTTTCTATCCCAAAACGAGGAATTCCAGTTAGCATATCTCAGTACGAGAGAGATTGATTTGAGGAAGAGTACTACATGTGAATGTGGTGAGGAGGAGTTCGCTTACCGTGGTTGATGGTGTAGACTGCTCGCAAGCTACCGCTATGCTGTTGTGGGCAAAAAACCTTCCTACCAACAGTCGAGCATGTCCACCTCTCCAGCCGGTAGGCAAAGAAACGAACCCTCCAAATTATTTTACCCACCTTCCTTTCGAGTCGTTTAAAATGATGTCAGCATGAAGATGAGAAGGTTGGATGTCAAAGGTTACCTGTATATGCGGATGGAAGCCTCGCCAACCAATGTGTTCCATCCTCGAAAGGCGATCCAACCCTTCATCTTGGGATGATTAGAGTGGAGGTTGGTTCAACTATTCACTAGGCAAGCATTATCTTAGGAGAATGGAAGACAAACACGTGTGGGGGAGAAGTATTCTGGCACCTGACATGGAGAAACCCCTCCACTTGACATACGCGACCGAGAGGCAACGCCGATCAGCCACGCGGCACGCCATTTTCGTATAACCGATCTCGCTAAACGCAAGCTTACCATGAATCTGACAAAGGTGACTGAGGGAAGGACAATTGTTCAG